ACCCACAAGCCTAATAACCCAGCAAGACCCATCATTAGCTCAGTTGGGTCAATCTCTTATAAACTATCTAAATGGTTAGTTTCTTTACTAAATCCCCTAGTTGGCAACATTTCTAACTCCAATATCAAGAATAATATGGATCTGGTTGATAAACTCAATAACTTACACATTAATCATGATTTTAAACTGGTCAGCTTTGATGTAACGTCACTCTTTACAAAGGTCCCAGTTGATGATTTACTAGAGTTCCTCATAGATTCCCTGGATAACATTTCACTGCCCGTCTCGAAAGACGACTTCATCGAACTCATCAAACTATGTATTAAGGATTGCAAATTCGAATTCAATGGGGAATATTATACTCAAAAATTTGGTATGGCAATGGGTAATCCACTCTCACCTGTATTAAGCAACCTATATATGGAATTCTTTGAAAAGAAACTATTAAGTAATATTTTACCACCCTCAGCAGTCTGGTTTAGATATGTTGATGATGTATTATGTCTCTGGCCATGTAAGGAGGACCTAAAAGCTTTCCTACCACAACTTAACAACTTAGCCCCCTCGATCAAATTCACTGTGGAATTAGAGCAAGACTGTAAATTGCCATTCCTAGACTGTCTGATACACAGAATAGGTAACACTTTTAAGTTCATTATTTATAGAAAACCAACTAATGTGTGTTCATACATTCATTATTATTCTGCCCACCATAATAAAGTCAAACAGTCAGTATTTTCAACAATGTTTTTACGTGCCTTGAGAATTTGCAGTCCAGAATTCATCGATGAGGAATACAAATATATATATAATATTGGCTCAAACCTTAAATACCCTAGATCTTTCATAGACAAATGCTTAAACATTACTAAGAAAACTTTTTATAGAACTGACCCCAAGCCCACCCATGACCATAAGAATATCTTAATATTACCATTTCACAAAAATTTCTCACATTCCTGCACAGCTAAAAACCTGGAACGTCAATGTGGCATTTAAAAACTCATGCACTGTTAAACAAATGTTAATCAAGAACTCCCCCAACAACACAATTGGTTGCATTTATAAAGTTCCTTGCAAAGAATGTAATATGTTTTACTTAGGCCAGACAGGTAAAGATCTTGCAACTAGAATTAAACAACACAAATACAGTGTTAGGACAGGCCAGGAATCCAATGCTCTGTTTGTTCATTTAAGGGATAACAAGCATTGCATTGACTGGGATAATGCCTCCTCAATATTACCATGTAATTCAATTGATAGTGGGAACATCATAGAATCTAGTCTTATTAAACATACCGAAGCATTCAACATGAATTTGAGTAGCGGCATGTACAAGCTGGACAATTTTGTAATTAAGAAGATTTGTGATCAGGTGAGAAGGCCGGGTCACTTGACCATCTGACCTGACCACCGACCGTTGTGTGCTATTTAAAGATTAGTAGGGTCATTACCTAATACCTGACCATTGTGGACCTGGTCTCACCCTCCTCTGTATATATACACCTTGATTTGTATTACTCTCTCTAGTCTGTACTCACCCTTGAAGATGTGAATTACACGAAAGCGCTTGGGAACTTCGTGTTTCTTCTTTCCTTGTGGTTATCAGCATATACCTAGATCACGCGCACCTACAGTGATTTACTTGCACATATATATATATATATATATATATATATATATATATATATATATATATATATATATATATATATATATATATATATATATATATATATATATATATATATATATATATATATATATATATATATATATATATATACAATATTACCCGCCCTAGCAGCGGTTTCATAATCGTTTTATCATATCTGGCGGTGCCTTGCAGAGCTGAACTTTCACTTAACACGGATTTTTTCACATATACTGCGGTGAGTGTCGGCACCGAATATATATATATATATATATATATATATATATATATATATATATATATATATATATATATATATATATATATATATATATATATATATATATATATATATATATATATATATATATATATATATATATACACACACACACACACACATTACCCCGCCTAGCAGTTTCATATCGTTTATCATACATGAGTGCCTTGCCAAGAGCTGAACTTTCACTTAACACGGATTTTTTTCCACATATACGCGGTGAGTGTCCGGCTCGAGACGCTATTTTTAGATTTGCCCCACCCGCCACCCTGCCTGACTGCCTGTTTTAGTTCATAAAATTCATGCAAATTACCCGGTCAGAATATAATTTACATTGCTGGAATTCTTATAATTTGGTGATCATTTTGAATATAAACATCATATATTTTGCATTAGACATACAAATTTTAGATAAAATGTTTTCTCTGAGTAAATATGTTATCTTTTGTGCAAAATATATGACATTTATATTCAAAATATTCCTGGTCTTACAAGGAATCCAGCAATGTCAATTGTATTATCCTAACTTTAGTTTGAGGTATTATTTATTAAAATTTAGTGGTTTTCCCCAAAAATTTCTCAGAGAGGGAAGAGCCAGCAGTGTAGTGTGAGAAGAGGGGAGGGAGTTGAGTCCATTATTTGAATGGACATTAACTTGGCGACTGTATTTCTCTATTTCTCTTAAGTATTAATTGTGTGCATGTACCATCATAAAATTAAGATGTTATTTTTACTACAACATAGTTATGTGTCTTCAAAAAGTGGAGTTTGGGGGTCGGGCCGGTTTCTATTGGAATTAATCCCATATGTTCTGTTGTTCACTTAACGCGGATTTCACTTAACACGGGACCCTCTGGGTTCTATTGACCGCGTTAAGTGGGGTACAACTGTATATATATATATATATATATATATATATATATATATATATATATATATATATATATATATATATATATATATATATATATATATATATATATATATATATATATATATATATATATATATATATATATATATATATATATATATATACTGTATATATATATATATATATGCAAATAAATCACTGTAGGTGCGCGTGATCCAGGTATATGCTAATAACCACAAGGAAAAAGAAAACACGAAGTTCCCAAGCGCTTTCGTGTAGTTCATATCTTCAGGAGTGAGTACAAACTAAGTAGAAATGCAGAACAAGGTATATATATATATATATACAGAGGAGGGTGAGGTCAAGTCCACAATGGTCAGGTATTAGGTAATGACCCTACTTATCCTCAAAAAACCACCGCAGCGGTTGGTAGTCAGGTCAGAGGGTAAGCTGACCCAACCTTCTCACCTGGACACAAATCTTCTTAATTACAAAATTATCCAATTTGTACATACCATTACTCAAATTCATGTTGACGGATTCGGTATGTTTAATGAGACTAGATTCTATAATGTTCCTACTGTCAATTGAATTACAAGGTAAAATTAAACAAGAATCTAATGAAACTTAAGCACAATGGGTTATATAATCGAAGGTCACTGCACCACTCGCTCATTCAAACTAACTGCCGTTAGACCGAAACAAAAAACACTCGGCTGGCCGATGGATAACAAAAGACAGTGACAATGCGCGCTGTCCACTCAACAATGACACGCGAAACTGGTAATGAAAATCGCTTTTCTTGAGAGGCTCGAAATTTTAAAAGTGACGCGAAACATATGAATCACGAATCTAAAACTCACTAAACTTCAGATCCTACTGTATTTTCTTCACTATTTCTTTCCGTATTGTGTCCAAATCACAGTTTTCCTAATTTTATTGTTTTCTGAAGACTGGTATACAACAGTTATTCCCAAGACGCAGTACAATGTCGTATTTTTTAACACAGTCCGGGAAAGCTAACGCGTTAGCTATTCCGTGCATCTTAAAACACCTTACAATAAACGCCTTAGATTACATCATCAAAGATGAGTATTGCATCATCCACTGCCAACCTGTTACATCATGCTACGACCTGTGCCAGTGTGCAGTAGCCCCTAGTCACAGGCTTACAGCTAAGCAGTTAACATTTACCTACAACTCCTAGTTGTTTGAAGCATAAGTACGAGACAGTGCAAGAGAACATGTGGGTCAAGATAAGAAATGTGATGATACTCATCTGAAATTTGTGTTTGTTGTTTCACTTGCAAAGCAAATAGTATTGTAATTTTTGTTGTGAGAACAATGAATAGTGAACATTGCAAAAGTGGAAGTGTTTAACTATGTCAGGTTCTCTAATAAGAGCATATTTTGTTTCTGTGTCTGATTAACAATACAGTAAGGTATGCAAGCAGTTTTGTTCATTTTTTTCCTTCCCTTTACATGTATCAAGTTGATTTAAATCAAACAACCCTGGTATAATTTTAATGAACGTAAGAGGGGATCTCCTTATAAGCTGTAGAGGCAGGAAATAGGTACAGTAGTGCATGCATGAGATATTTAGTGAAAGAATGTTTCATAAGATATCAGCAACACAAGTCCTTCCAGGTATACAGAAACAAAAAATTATTATTACAAAGAAGCGTTGGACATTATGAACCAACGGATGACGGAATTTGGCATCCCTACCAAGATGACAGGAGTCGCAGTATTCATTCTGATATTCATCGACCCCCCCATGTACTGATTTTTTATTGACTGTACATATACATACAGTACTGTAAAAAAAAAATTGTAAGGACCTGACAATAACACATATAATACTTTTTTTTTCTTTACATTTTCCTTACATAATTAGATTACTGTACAGTACTTGTGAAACTTTATGGTGACTCAATTAATGATTTTCTCCTTTGCTTTCATGGATCAATCTTTTGCGGTAAGTCTTGACTGCTTTCAAATAATAACTTGTGTCTCGCTTATAGAAATTTATAAGTTATGGAATTGTGTCCTGAAATATTTCCTCAGAACTAACCTTTGTTTAGCACAAATATGAAGCTGTGAGAAAACAACTGATAAGCAATGCCTAAATTTTTATTACTGTACTTATAAAAAAAAATTATAGATGATGTTTTTATTTTTGCAGGTCAAAGGAAAAACTGAGGAACAAACTTTGGTCAAGATTGATCAAGAAAGGCTCTAATGCAGATGAACCAGCATCCATTGACTTCAGGTGAGATTTATGTCAATACCACCAATGTATTGATTGCTGCTGTGAAAACATCTCCCTACTTTTTTTTTATGCTTGTACTGTATGTTTTTCATGGCTTATAGTTTCACGATAATGAGTAGTTCATTTTCAAAAGTTTCTTATGAATTAGCACAAATTAGAACATGATAGCACGACTCATTACTTCTTCAGCGAGAGCAACTCGAGCAGCGGTGACTCAGACAGGCATGCGACGCCGGTGAGGCTGAGGAAGAAGAAGACACTGAGGAGCACTCGGAAGAAGGTGGGCGTGAGCAGGAGCAGTGTGGCGCAGGTAGTGGACAAGGTCACCACACAGATGAGGATGGTGAGATAACAGAAATATCTCAAACTTAGCACATTATTACCCTAATCATGTACAATACTGCATCAATGATGATAAGAACAGGAAAGGTGAGATTCTTGTGGCGTGGATTGACAAGCGATAAAGAGGAAGGCTTTCTGTTGGGCTATGGACGGATAATTTGATTAATGGTGATTCCCAGAATCCTGACGGCCCATTATAGGCAGTGAGGTAACGGCACACAGAATAGAAAGCCTCTGGTACACACGAAGGCAGTGTGGCTGTCACTACTCTCAACTGCCTACGCTTTCCTACCTTTAAAGTTACGTACTCATTCACAGTTAGGTGATCTCAGGGTGCCCTGGGGTTGAACCAGTGACCCTTAGACTCAGGAGGTGAATGCTGCATCCACTGGGCCACAGCATCCATTTTGTGGATATTATTTGTAACACTTTTATAATAAGACATCCTTTCATATATTCACCAAAAAACCAACCAACCAGCTTGGTTTGAACTTATAAATATACACAATAGTAGGTGTGAATACATAAGATGTAAGAACACTGTATACAGTTATCTGCCCCACAAGACTGAGAGCCAGTGTTCATATGAACGTGTGTCTCGTGTTCCCTAATTTAACTTTTGACTTTACGAGAAACTGAATGGCTGGCTAAATGATAGCAGTCACTGAATAATGGTTGTATACTGATGAGTACAGCACTGTCACAAGTGATGCCACTGTGTACCAACACTGATTTAGCAGGGGTAGAAGGTATCATTTTGGACCACTGTATTTCCAGATGTTACCATCTTCTTCAGACTACTTTGGTCAACTCCTTGAACAATCATGGCTGGTTGGAGGGATTTCACCACAGCTCACTAGGTGTACATATTGCCAGTGAGTCTTGATAAACTGACCCAAATAATAACTTAAAAAGCCAGTGTGTTGCAGTGTTACTGTTCTTACACGCCACTTCAGACAACACAGTGCAGGTGTTAGTGCAGCAACATCACACAACACAGGAGACCAACAAACAAGTCTTTTGTCTCAACTAGTTGGACTGATGGTATATCCCCAGGTCAGAAGTAATTATTTCTCCATTTATAATTGTCCCACTGCTGGTAAACTGGTGAGCAGCAGTTGTAGATAACCTTACCACCTAGTCCCTCCAGCTCACACACACACCCATCCATCCATCGTGGGCCAAACCTCCTTACACCCGTATAAAAAAATCACTTATTTCACATTGTTGTTGCTCTCGCCAAATAATTCATCCTTAACGACAGTCTTAACCAAGTCTTGTCTTTTTTAACTCTTTTAAGTTAAAATAGTGATGTCATCAATAGCACCAATCCCTTCATTTAACCTGAGAAAAAAAATCACTAGTACTTGGTCCTTTCCAACAGCCTCCATTCTCTTTCCAAGGTTTATATCTTGATGTTTAGAATGGAGGAGTTTGATCCCCAACCCTTAGATATGATATCCATACACAAATTGTTATGATGGCCATGATACCCATACACAAATTGTTATGATGGCCATGATACCCACATTTACTTTGTACTGTATGACCATAATATCTCTTTGCAATATATTGGTCCTTAGTGTTCCTAGGCATAGTGGTCCTGAGTTTTCCTAGGCATAGTGGTCCTGAGTGTTCCTAGGCAGTGGTCTTGAGTGTTCTTAGGTGTAGTGGTCCTTAAACTTTGTTCATCGTGACCCAAAACAACATAGGTTCACGACCCACAGTATAAAATAATCACAATTAATACAAAAAATAAGTTTTTCTTTAATTTGTTAGTATATACCAGCAAAAAAGCATTGAAACTCAAACTAATAATACTGTGGAACGTTGATTTAACACGAGATTAGTTCCAAGAGAGGTCACTCCCACTAAATCAAATTGTTGTCTCAATGGAATAATTTAGTTTGGTACTTGAGAGAAACACAAAATACGAAAAGACTGAGAGTCTACCCAGATGCACCTCAGCCCATCTCCTAGAATAAACAAAACATTGTTTTTTGTAGTATTATGTGAAAACAAACACTCATAAATCAACACAGCTAAAATTAAGGGATGCGAAATGGTCTGTTTACTGGCTGGGAAGATGGAGGGAGGGGGGAGGGAGGTAAGGTGATATGTTTGACAGTTGATGCCAAGGCCTAGTACAGGTTGTACCTCTCTAGTCCGGCAACCTCGGGACCTGACCGGTGCCGGATCATGGAAATTGCCGGACCATGGAAATTCACCCTTTTCCTGGATAGATAGTGACTTGTGCTTATGCCTGGAAGCACTAGCACCACTTTCTCTGCGTCATGGTCTCTTTGAAGACATATAGAAGGGTTAAATGTCGTATAGTAGCTTCTCAAATTTTGCGAGCTTTTAATTCTTAATGTATTTTATTGGAACATACAAAAAAATAAATAAATAAAAATTTTGACGGCGGAAACTTTAATTTCGACGGGTTTGAACGGCCCGCCAACGTGCAGACGACGTGCATAATTGTGTAAACAGCGTCATTTCTCTTATGTACAAAAGATTCATTATTGTTTATTACTGAATGTCTTTATTACTGAATGTCTTTTTTATTGAATTAATGTTTATGTGTGTAAAATGCGCAATACAATTCATTAATAATACGTAGAAAATTAAAACACACGAGGAAATGACACAGCATTGTTTTCGTTGATTACAAAACCAGTGACTGACTGGTTCTACATATAAAACTGAAGAAAATAAGACCTTGGTTGTAGCTGTAGTAAAATTAATATGGTTGTTTTAAGTAATGTTATTTAATGTTAATAAATGGAACAATAGAATTAGCGAACGATAATGGTAAAGAAAAAGAGAGATCGCATATGTAAGTGCGCATGCGCACACGTGAAAACATATCGTCATTACTTTACATAAGAATATGAAAGTAACACTTATTTACTGTTCATATATATTTTAATTAATGTTTCTGAATTTGTTTTTATTGAATTAATGTACGTGTGTGCAAAATTAACAATACAATTTATTAATAATACGTGGAATATTAGAGGAGACGAGACGGCTGCCGGCATTGTTTATGTTAAAGCTTACGAAACCAGTGACTGATTAGTTCTACATATAAAACTGAAGAAAATAAGACCCTGAATTTAGCTGTAGTAAAATTAATGTAAAAAATGAATATGGTTGCTTGAAGTACCTGTAATGTTATTTAATGTTAATAAATGGAACAATATAAGTAGCTAACCATTAATGGTAAAAAAAAAGTGAGACTGCTCGTATGTAAGTGCGCACATGTGAAAACATATCGTCATTACTCTACATAAGAATATGAAAGCAACACTTATTTACTGCTCATATATATTGAAGGGTTAAATGTTGTACTCTGTATAGACAAGCAGAGAGAGAGAGAGAGCAGCCGAACTGCCGGATGTAAACAAACCTTAATTTCCCGCGGCTTTTTTTTTTTAAGGGGATTAGCCCACCCGGGCATAGGTCACTGACCCACATTGGGGCCTGAGGGGCAAAAATTTAATACTCCTGTAATAATAATAATAATTCAGATAAGTAAAAAAAACAAAAAAAAAAAGCTGCCTATCTACCTATTGGACAAACTAAAATCGTTCCGGACCACGGGAGTTTCCGGACCACAGAATGCTGGACTAGAGAGGTACAACCTGTACTTATTTATTTATCTGTCTTTAAGAGTGACTTTAAGTTTTCTCTTATAAAATATCACTGAACTGACAGGGGAGAATATAATTAACATTGCTGGTATTCTTATAAGATAGTGATTAATTTGAATATAAACATGCTATAGTTTGCACTAGACAAAAATTTTAGTAATCATTTAGTATATTATTTTGAGTGCACATACAGTACAGCTTTGCCCTTAGGACAGTGTAGCGTGCCCAGAGAAACTTTAGGCGCAAAATTTTAAATGTAATGCGCCAGATTGACTCGCCAAAATAGGAAAGATTCACTTTAGATTAAAACATTGTCCTTAATTGTGGGTGTCACTTTAAATCAATAATCTTAAATTGAATAGCTTTAAATCGACGTTCTACTGTACAATAATATAATATCATAAAATGTAAATAATAAAGCTCAAACTAATAATTAATGGTATGAAATCATCATGTGTACCCGTGACAAATGGGGTACCACAGAGCAGGGTATTGAGCTGTTGTTTGTTTGTGTCATAAATGACATGCCAGAAGCTATACAGTCCTCCATACAAATGTTAGTGGACGATGCAAAGCTATTCATGGAAATTAAGAACCAAACAGACTGTGAAGAGCTGCAAAAATATCTCTGTTAATTTCAAGAGTGGCTGAAGAAATGGCCGCTAAGATTAAATGTCATGAAGTGTAAGAAGCTGCACCTGGGACATACCAACGGTAAAGAGGCATATCATACGCCCCAACGGGATGAAGAAACTGCATTAATAGAGACTGAATGTGAAAAGGACCCGGGTGTGTATGTTGACAATGAACTGAAGTATTCAGCCATTGTGCGAAAAAACTAAACTAATGGTCTTATAAGAAGGTCGTTCAGATATTTAGACGGTCCGTCCCTTGTAACACACTTCAAAGAGTGAGGTGCTTCCCCGCCTGGAGTGCTATCACCCTGTCTGGTCCCCGAGATATGATAGGGACTGCCATTTGATTGAAAATGTTCAAAGGAGGGCCACCAGACTGGTGCCTGTATTCTGGCACCTCGGTTATCCAGTAGATTAAGTCGCCTGCAACTGCTTAGATTATACTACAGACAGGCAAGGAGTGACCTAAGTGAGGTGTAGAAACATCTCAAAGGCCTCTACTCAGTCGAGTATCCATTACCTGGAGCTAGCAGATGCCTACCCCACAAAGAGGTCACAGCTAACGGTTGAAGAAGCCACAAATCCAGAAAACTGTCAAAGCAAACTTCTTTCGAGTGAGAATTGTGAACTCTTGGAACTGTCTGCCAGAGAGTGTTGTGAATGCATCAAGTGTGAGCTCTTTCAGGATCAGACTTGACCAACACTGGAGCAGGTTCAGATACATTCAGGCGTCAGTACTTGCTAACACTGTGTAACAGACATGACCAACTGCTCAAGCGGTTAATGAGCCGATCAGTGACGAACAGGATAGAAATTAAAGAAAGAGAGGATTTTCTTTTCTCTAATCCGGGTCTTCAAAGTGAAGTGTTTTGGCAGACAGGTTGCAGCGCAGATCCTGTTTTGAAGCTTCATCTTTGTCAGTGCTAATGTTGACAATTCTGCCTCGAAAACGGTACAGTACATGATGGTGAATGGCAAGAAGACTTTCAGAGCTTTGACAGGAACGATTACTCTTTCATTGAAGAACATGACCTAGAACTGCTTCTTGAAGCTGTGGTGCATTAATTCATCATGTTGTATTTTTATCAGTTGTTACTGCAGACCTAGTGCATTGTTGTCTGGCAAAACTTCCATATTAACATAAGAAAGGATGTAGAACCCAGTAGTATTTCTTGGTAACTTCAGCAGGAATATATTGTTTGAATATTACAGTATTATTCTAAGTGTTTGTTCAAGTGCTCCAAGACACTGCCATGAATGTCCTCTAATGATGGTGATATATTTTCCTCAAATTCTTCTGACAGGTGACTTAAGGACGGGAAGACCCAGTCTTTCCTCACTCCATTTTGCCTTTCCACAACTACAGTTTATCCTTAAATGAGGATAGCTTGTCAGTGAGCTTGATGAAAGTGTGACCCCTACCTTGCATAGAAGCATTCAGGCATTTTATTTCACCGAATAAATCTGTGAAGTGGGTCACTTGAAGCAACAATTTTGGCTCAAGAGAACCTTTCGGCCAAACCATGTTTTGTGAGTGAATTCAAGATTTGAAAATGCATCATTGTAAGTACATTTCTTATCCTGAAAAAAAATATTGGTAAAATGTCAAATTCCAGGAGTAACTCAGCGGTACCTCAATGCAAAAACACACACAAGCAGAAAACAAATTGAGACAAAACAAGGAATGAGATGATTACAGAATTGGCACAGCATGAAAAAAGAGCAATTAAAAGCAAGTGAGAAAAACTAGGATACATAATTACACAGAAGTGTTTAAACAATTATTAAAAACCAGCCATTGCCACAAGCAACACCATGTGTGTTCTGAAGATTGAAGTGAAGCATGTGCAGCCTTAATGACGATGAAGTTCTCGTGACCCATTTGAACAACTTTGAATCTCACGACTCATTCAATCAGCTTGGTGACCCAAATTTGGGTTGCGAACCATAATATAAGAACCACTACCCTAGGGTCATTTATATTGTTTGGAGGCTGAGCATCTCTGCTCCTGGTTTTAACAAGAATAACTTTGAGTTAAACTTAGTATATTGCTACCATCTAATTTCTCATTTTCATGGATTGTATTTTAACTAAATAACTAGGAAAGGTTTTCCTAACAAATGGATGTATTGTGTCTCTTTTGATTTATGTATCACTCTTTTTCAGGATAAGACAGAGCGACGCAGTAAAACTTTACAGCACAGTCGGTCTGGCTCGTCTGGCTCGCCGGTGACCAGTTGCAGAGAACCCTTGGTGGGTGACCGGGTCAGTGGTAGACTGTGTAGTGAAGCTACATCAGGCGACTCGCTTCTCCACGACACAGTTTACAAGCCTCCACTAGATACCAAGCCATGCCTTAAAAAACTACTGGAAAGAATACCAGTCTCCAGCAGTGCACTTGACCTAAGCTCAGGACGTACCAGCCTTAAACCAACCCAGTACAAGCTAGAGGAAGCTTTGCCTACGCCCTGCTCTGCCCCCCCACTGCGCAGGTCCAGTCATAGCCTCATCCGTCCTCCCTTGCAATCCTCCTCAGCCACTCGGGAGTGCTCCTCCTCTTCCCCTGCCCCATCAGAGAAACTCACCACTGGCTCTGTGAACGAGTCTTTAGCACACAGACGCAACAACAACAGACACAGGGATGCCACCAATAATGTACGTCTGCCATCAAAAATATCCCATTATGTACAGTCACATTATATCCTATGAAAGAAGTACTAGACCTTCCTCTGTGTCTATTGCACTCCATAAACTCTTCATGAACATCTACTGTAATTTATTAGGACGCAGACCTAGTGTGTGAGGGTATAGGGACATGTTCTATGAGGGCCTGGGGGGGGGGTATATAAGGATGTATGGGAGTGTGAGGGTATGTGATGACCCAGGGAAGAGTGAGGGCCTGGGCAAATGGGAGGGCCTAGGCAAGTGTGAAGGTACAGGGTAGTGTGAGGGCCCAGGGAGTGTAAGGACCTAGGGAGAGTGAGGACCCAGGGGAGTATGAGGGCCCAGAGGAGTGTGAGGACCTGAGGGTATGTGAGGGCCTGGGGGTATGTGAGGGCCCAGGGGAGTGTGAGGTTCCAGGGAAGTGTGAGGGCCTGGGAGTAAGTAAGGTCCCAGAGTAGTGTGAAGGCCTGGGGGTATATGAGGGCCCAAGGGATTATGAGAACCTGGGGATATGTGAGGGCCCAGGGAAGTGTGGGGGTTCAGGGAAGTGTGAGGGCCTGGGGGTATGCGAGGGTGCAGAGGAGTGTGAGGGGCCCAGGGAAGTGTGAGGACCTGGGGGTATGTGAGGGCCCAGGGGTATATGGGGAAGTGGGAGGCTTAATTTGAAACCAAATGATCTTGATCAAAACTATTAAATTGGAAACATTAACTTTATTCGGCTAGTAAATAGCACGAGTTGTTGCCTGTGCTGTATAGGGTTTACTTCTCAAAGCATAGAACTCACAAAAACAAAAATACCACTACTGCCTCTGTAAGACTCAAACTCACATTACTTACAGGGTCAGCGAGGGCATTACCAACCGCATCATAAATAGCTAAAAGTCATTTGAACCTGACCTGATCTGTTGAAGTTGACCCAGGAACTTGATCTAATCTTACAGTAGGTTTATTTATTCATTGTACAGTTAAAAGCTTACCATCTGAAACGGTTTGAGTTCAAATCCTGCTTCTTGTTCTGTACATCACAGGATGGGGTATGTGGCAGCCAGGTAGATACAGTGCTCGCCTCCTGTCCTGGTTTATGCTTGGAGCAACCCCAAAGTTGTCCAGCTCTGGTTAATATTCTAATTTCAGAGTTAGGAAGGTTAAGGGGTCGAATTCAGTGCCAGCCACACTTTGCACTGTAGGATTAGTTTCTGCATTGCTTTTAACTGGCTGTCAGGTTTTTAGAACTCATTTTTACATTTAAACTGCTTAGTATAGCTTGTGGACACTTAGGTCTATCTCTTATAAGTACCAGCAGGTGCTAGGTTGTTGACCTCACTTCCATCCTGTAACACTCTTTTGTGTTACTGTATTACACTGTGTCCTAGAGTATTACACTGTGTCCTCAGGTATTACACTGTGTCCTAGAGTATTACACTATGTCCTGGAGTATTACACTGTGTCCTCAGGTATTACACTGTGTCCTAGAGTATTACACTGTGTCCTCAGGTATTACACTGTGTCCTAGAGTATTACACTATGTCCTAGAGTATTACACTATGTCCTCAGGTATTACACTGTGTCCTAGAGTATTACACTGTGTCCTCAGGTATTACACTGTGTCCTAGAGTATTACACTATGTCCTGGAGTATTACACTATGTCCTCAGGTAATACACTGTGTCCTAGAGTATTACACTATGTCCTCAGGTATTACACTGTGTCCTAGAGTATTACACTATGTCCTGGAGTATTACACTGTGTCCTCAGGTATTACACTGTGTCCTAGAGTATTACACTGTGTCCTCAGGTATTACACTGTGTCCTAGAGTATTACACTATGTCCTAGAGTATTACACTATGTCCTCAGGTATTACACTGTGTCCTAGAGTATTACACTGTGTCCTCAGGTATTACACTGTGTCCTAGAGTATTACACTATGTCCTGGAGTATTACACTATGTCCTCAGGTAATACACTGTGTCCTAGAGTATTACACTATGTCCTCAGGTATTACACTGTGTCCTAGAGTATTACACTGTGTCCTAGAGTATTACACTGTGTCCTCAGGTATTACACTGTGTCCTAGAGTATTACACTGTGTCCTCAGGTATTACACGGTGTTCTAGAGTATTACACTGTCATCAGGTATTACTTTTACTTTTATCCTCTTCACCACTGATCAGCTCGTTAGCCTCTTGGGCGATTGGTCACGTTTCTGTTACTTTCTTTTTCTTTTATCCTCTTCATTAAATGATCATCTTGTTAGCCGCTTGGGCAATCGGTCACATGTTTGTTACACACTGTTAGCAAGTACTGGGCATGCACCAGCTCCTGAATGTATCTGAACCTGCTTCAGTATTGGTCAAGACTTGTTTTGAAAGAGCTCACACTCGGTGCCACCACAACACTTTCTGGAAGATTGTTCCAAGAGTTCACAACTCTCACCCCGAAAAAGTTTTCCCTCACAGTTTTCTGGGCTTGTGGCTTCTTCAATCTTGAGCTGTGACCCCTTGTGGGGCGAGCATCCGCCAGCTTCAAGTAAGGACACTCGACTGAGTAGTGCCCCTAGAGATGCTTATATACCTCAATTAAGTCACCCCTTACCCGTCTGTAGTATAAACTAGGCAAGTTCAGGCGCTCCAATCTCTCAGGGTAGTTGAGGTGCTGAGGTGCAGGGACCAGTCTGGTGGCCCTCCTTTGAACATTTTCAACCAACTGACAGTCCCAAGCATATCTCGGGGACCAGACGGGGAAGCACTTCACTCTTGAAGATCGTTACGAGAGATGGACTGTCTAGATATCTGAACGACCTTCTTATAAGACCCAATAATTTATTTGCCTCATTTACCTTCTTCTCGCAATGGCCCGAGAACTTCAGCTCATTGTCAACATACACACCTAGGTCCTTCTCACATTCAGTCTCAAATAGTGCAGTTTTACACTGTCCTCAGGTATTACACTGAGTCCTAGAGTATTACAGTGTCCTATAGTATTACACTGTGTCCTAGAGTATTACTGTCTTAAATTACCCTGTATTACACTGTGTCCTCAGGTATTACACTGTGTCTTAGGGTATTATACTGTGTCCTAGAGTATTACAAACTGTTTCCTCAGGTATTACACTGTCCAGGGGTATTACACTGCATCCAAGAGTATTACGCTGTGTCCTAGATTATTACACTGTGTCCTAGAGCATTACATTGTGTCCTGGGGTATACAAATATTTTCTCCGGGTATCAAATTATGTCCCAAGGTATGAAACTACATCTTGGGGCATTACATTGCAGTATATCCTGAGGTACTGTGTTATACATGATGTGGGGACTAGTATTATATATTATGGTATTGATCTACAGTATATAGTGAGATACAATACAGTGCAATATCACAATTTCTTGGGGTTTTATGTTTTGTTCTGAAAAAATTAGGTTATGTTCTCAAGTATCACAAATGCTGTGTCAATTATTTTAACGTGATATATTTCCTTTGCTTTAATTGTTGTCTCTGAACTAAAAACCTGCGTGAATTCCCTTCATTAGATCCTTGTAATATTAGGCAGGAGCTGCTTGAGGTAGGTACATGTGTTTGGTGAAGTATCAGGTTGTTTCATCTCCCAAGTAATACAGTACAATACCCAATTAGTCACCTAGGTGTGCCAGATGCATTTTTATGTTAACACTTGATTGTATGGACTGAGGCAGGACACTTATTGATCAAATGATAATGCACTGGGAGATGGGGAAGGTTTCCTCTTCTGAGACAAGTGAGTGTTGGCAAGCAAACTGCATTTTTACCTATAATAGCAAGAAAGTATTTAGCTGATAGGTTACTGGGCTTCTGCTGTCTGCAATTGTGCCATGTTTACACAGCCATAGCAAATTATTTAAAAAAAAAATTGGACAACATGTAGCTAGCTTAGGCATTTACCAAATTGAACTGGCACATTTCAGTGAAGTATATATGATTTCCCCGGTCATTATTAACAAAATAAAGGTACATCAGAGTTTTTCTTGTCTTCAGTAATTAACAGTTAGATAAGATCCAAGAGCTAGAATATAATTCAAAGTTCCCAGGTGATAGCAGGTTTAGTAAAGAGAGTCTACTTATACTGTAATATATTTTATCTACTCAGCTATAGGAAGGTTAGTTTTTAACTTTCAAAATCTTGTTCAGAAATGTGAGCAAATAAAATTTTGATTTATAAAACGTCTCTTACATTTCTAATGATTTCTTGTTGTAGACTTTATTGAATAGTTAAACTTCAAGTTAAAAGAAACTCAGAGATTCCCATCTGCTATACAGGTGCTGTACTGTATACAAAGATTACCAACTGAAGAAAAGACTCAAGAACTGGTTGCTGTAGTCATACTGAAAAATGTCTAGTTGTTACTGTACTTGTGGATAGAAACTAAGTGATAGCAGCAGTAGTGTATCTAATTTTTTCCAGATGCGTTTTGTTATTCAGTAAAATTTGATGCTAGAGAAATCAAGAAATATGTGTTTACAGTACAGTAACACTATACACCTTGGGTACTGCTGTAATACAGTACTTAGCGTGATAGTGATTGTTTTTATATTATTTATCATTTCGTCACTTATTGGCATACTAGCTGTTTGGCTGGTTGGTCTGTGCTTTGTTACTTTGTTATGACCTTTATTGTCCAGTGTTAGTAAAGGAGGAAATTTGTAGTGTATTGTAGGGTCACGCTGAGCAATACATACCTTCTCACACGTCCTGAGTCAGGGATTGAACCCAGGACACGATGATAAGAGAGACATGCATTTCTGGTGTATCACCAACACTTACACATTTACTGTACTTCCTTTAATCAATTTACATTTGAAGTACTGTATGTATGTGAGTCTTTGCTATTCTCATAAGCAAAAAGTTATTATAAGTAGCTTCTGAGTAAGTTGTCTTTGCTTTACTTAATTTTGTGTTCTGTTCATCATCCTGCCATTTCTTTGTTCCTTTGCACCTGAGATCCTGATAAGACTTACTGCCACTGGTTCTGTCTCCCACACACAATTTAAATGCATACTGTGACATAGTTCCTTTGCGAACGTGATGAACCTTATAGAACTGTGGTGTAATTATGTATCCTTAAACCCTTGTGTACAGGGCCCTCCTCTGTACTGAATTAAAATTGTGTGGTGTTAGCCAAATAAAATAGTAAAAATGGCATACCTGTAGTTAAAGGGTTAGGAACAGTATGCCATATTATACCAAACATATGTCCTTATGAACCAGAAAGGAAATAACACTGAACATAGATTAGTTACAAAGGAGATCCAATTTTTCTTGTCAAACATCACTGCAAAAAATATTATTCTTTAACAATAATAATCTCTTTTCAGAACTATAGATGCTCAGTGTCGTCCATGCATAATTTTACTGGTATATTTTTTAAAGCTACATTGCCACAATCAATCAAAATTAACTACATTTGAAAAAAATATCAATAGAGCACAGTATTTTAGTTAATCTTACTTGTAGTAATAATTGGAGTGTACTAAGTAGTGTGTGACAGTGTTGTGTTCTGTTATGTACTTCAGGACATGTGTGACATAGACAGCCTGGACCCCCATGAGCCACGTGGATACCTTGATGGGGCAACAAAAAGCTATATGGAGCGTATGGGAGAGCTCATGGCCTCTAGACTTGCCATCAGTGACACTGAAGGTGAGACATCCCAAATCTGGCAATGGGTTTTATATAGTAGTTGTATTTTAAACATCACAGTCATGCAGGTATTAGGAGAACCAGCTATATGCTGCAGTGAGTTATGTGACCTGTTATCTTTCTCTCTTGTTTGCCACAGATTGGCTCTAGTCAGTCAGGCAGTCAGTCATTTCTCTGTTAAGCACTGTTGGCAAGTACTGGGCATGCACAGGCTCTACAATGTACCTGGTTATGCGCCAGTGTTAGTCAAGTCTGGTCTTAAATGAGTTTACACTTGGTAGGTGCTGTCACAACACTGTGGCAGGTTATTACAATTGTTCACAGCTACTGTCACAACACTGGCAGGTTATTACAACACTGGCAGCAAAACTACTGTCATAACACTGGCAGGTTATTACAACAGTTCACAACACTGGCAAGTTATTCCAAGAGTTTACAACTCTTACACCAAAAAAGTAGATCTGACAATTGTCTTCATTATACTTGCAGCTTCTGTAACTTAAGGCTGTGACCCCTAGTGGGGAGGGCATCCTCTAGCTCTGGATATGAACACTTGACTGAGTAATGTCCTTTGAGGTGCTTATTAACTTATATTAAATTACCCCTTGTCCTTCTATTGTACAGCATTAGCCAACCTTATAGTATGGAGTGTAGGCATGCTAGCCACATTTTTTTAATACAGTATGTATTAACTAGCCTTATAGCAGTTAATTCAGACATTACCAGCAACAGTTTGCTAGTATCTATGATCCTGGTTCATGAAAAATAGAATTAAGGCATTTTCCAAGCAACACAATGTTCCTTAGCTGTCAGTGTTGAGAGATACTCAGGGAGGACAGAACACAAGACCTCTATGCTCCAAGTGCGAAAACTGTACAGTACTACCAAGTTCATAACAGACTTGTATCTGCCTGATGTCAGTCTGGTCAAGCTTGAACAGCAAAGCAGAGAAGGGAAGAGGGACAATGACCATTCATGTTCTTGCCAAACTTATGTGTTCATTAAGCCATTGTTCACAAGAAATCTCATGTGTCCCATGCAACTTTTGTCTATTTCATATGGATATGGAGTCTGTTCCAAAATCTCTAAATAATATACAGTATAGTCTGCATTTACGCGGTTTTTGTTTACGCATTTGGTCATTTACGCGGTTTCTTGCCAGAATGAAAATGTTTTAATTGCGCAGTAAATTTGGTCATTTACTCGGCGAGCGGCTGGAGAGGTCCAGACCGCCGCAGCACCATTTTCTACACACGCGTTCCATTCTTGACCATACACGGGAAGCGGCGCGGTGAGTGGTGCGCATTAGGCCGCTCTTATGTTATCGCTGACGTCATATGACGTATTGGACTGTGATTGGGCCACGCATCCTTACCATCCACGCATTCCCTCCGCCGCTAGCTGTGATTAGTTTAATGTAATATGACGTGCCCTGCCACCAGAGGGTAGAAGTCGCTGACCTAGCCGGGCCTGTCTCATTGTTCTCAGTCCGCGTATACAGTTCTCTCTTGTGCCCGCTATTCCCCTCACAACGGCTTCCGCGGGACCCCCACCACCAGAGAAAAACATTGAATTACCTGGACCAAGCCATGATAATGTGAAGGAAATCATCGAGTTGGGGGAGAAACTTAAGCTCATCCTTGAAAACGACCCAGATAAGCATCGGTATGAAGTGTCTAATAACCATCTGACAAAATTTATAGAGCCCTATATCCAGATCTATCTCGACAACATCAATGCTAGTCGTCAACGCAGTATTGAGGACTTCCTCGCTCGCAACCCACCACAACCACAACTGGCCCAAGTCAGTGATAGTGATATTGACGACAGTGAGAATATGGACTTTGAGAAGTTTGTCTGGGAGGCCCTGCAAACATCTGCGAGTAGTGAAAGTGAAAGTGATTCACTGGAGGGCAAATAATCTGCCCTCTGCCTCGGAACCAGCCGCCATCCACGTATGCCGACCCACCTCTTCTACTAACGTAAGTGTTAAAAACCTAATATTATTGATATTTCTTAATTATTAATTGTGTGTGCATACCATCATAAAATTAAGATGTTATTTTGACTACAACGTATGTGACAGTCGGAAAAGTGAGTTTGGTCGCCCAGTCTCTATTTCAATAATCCCATATGTTCTGTTATTTCATTTAAGGCATTTCGTTTTACGCGGGTCGGTTCAATTGATCGTAAATGCAAACTCTTATATATATATATATATATATATATATATATATATATATATATATATATATATATATATATATATATATATATATATATATATATATATATATATATATATATATATATATATATATATATATATATATATATATATATATATTTTATATATATATAAACCAGTGGGATATGCTATGACGGATCTACCCGAATATTTCCTATAACTTGAGCGGTTTTTACCTATAAAAATTGAGATGCCTGTGAGGCATAGCTCCTGCTTGACCTTGTGAGGATGACTATATGGGACTATTTGCGTCAAGCGCATGAATAATGTTGTACCGTATCTTTGTCTCTCATTGTGTAGCCAGTGCACCACTCTTATTGTTGAAATTTCGTCTTTTGATGTGGAAATAGAGTTATTTGTATAAATATTTTTTGTTATACAAGTGTACAATTAGCAACAATGAATCGTCCAAACCAAGTGAAAGCTCACTCTTGAAACTAAGAAAGAAATCATAAAAAAGCGTGAGAATGGAACAAGCATTGCGAAACTTAGTGATGAGTATGGGATGGCTAAATGCGACTATATGTATGATTTTTGAAGAATAACGAGGAGTTGAAAAACTGTGCAAGAAATTGGCTAAGGAATCTCTAGACTTAGCAAAGCAAGGTGTAATGTGATTGAGGAGACAGAAGAATTTACTCTTAGTGTGAGGAAAGAAATGGCGGAGTGATAGCATTAGTGATGCTATAATTTTGTGAAGCCAGACAATTGTTTGAGGACCTTAGCCAAGACTCCCAGTGGAAGTGATAGTGATGTACTTGATGTTTAGGGGTACCAAGGGTGGTTTACTGGTTTCAGAGGAAATAAATTACATAGTGTTGGCAGAGACATGAAGTGATGCTGCTAGTGCAGATAAAGGAAGCAGCTCAGGAACACCATGACATTTTTTTGAATGTAATTAAAGAGGGAGGCTTTGTTTCTCAGCAGGTATTCAACTTGTGATGAAACTGGACTTTCTGGGAAAAAAATGCCTCATACGTACATACATTACCAGGGAGAAACTTCTGTCCTGGCCGCCAAGCCAATGAAGAAACACCCTCCTTCTTTGTACTAATGCTTCTGGTGACTGCAAAATAAACCCCAGAGCTTTCAAAAAAATTAGGAAGACCCGCCTTGGTGTTATGTGGCGGTCAAACCCAAAGGCTTGGGTGACCAGGAATTTATTCTCTGAGTGGATGATTAAGGTGTTTGGACCCAGTGTTCGGGAATACCTCAGGGAGAACAATCTTCCACTGAAAGCTTTGTTGGTGATGGACAATGCACCAGCCCACCCTCCTAATTTGATGGTTGAATTGCCAGAGGAGTTCAACTTCATCACTGTGCACTTCTTGCCACCCAACACAACACCTCTCATCCAGCCCATGGATCAACAGGTAATTTCTAACTTTAAGAAGTTGTACACAAAGGCACTGTTTAGAAAATGTTTTGCATCCACTTCTTCCAGTGATGTTAGCTTGAAGGAATTTTGGAAGAGTCACTTCAATATAGCAGACGCTGTAATTTTAATTACCTCAGCCTGGAAAGAGGTTACTGTGAGGTGTCTTTGTGCTGCTTGGAGGCCATTGTGGCCTGAATGAGTCCTTCAAAGAGAATTTGAAGGCTTCGAAGAGTTTGAAGAAGAGGCTGTTGTTCATGAAATTGTGTCTCTGGGCAATTCCATGGGCCTGGAAGTGGATGATGATGATGTTGAGGAGTTGGTGGAAGAGCACAGTAAGGAATTTCCACTGAGGAGCTGCTTGAGCTTCACAAAGAGGAAAATGAGACACTGAAGCGGAGCTTAACTTCTGAGGAGTCAGGGGAGGATGAGGACAAGGAGGAATGCCGCATCATTCCAGCCAAAGATCTCAAGGATGCGTTCTTTTGCTGGAGTAAACTGTCCAAGCTTGCTGAGGATTATCATCCTGATGTTGGTTCTGTGCAAAAGGCCATCAGTGTGTTTAATGACAATGTTATGAACTACTTTTGGAAGGTCCAGAAATCAAGGTTGAAGCAGCCAACCCTGGATTCCTTCTTTACAAAGGTAACAAAAGAACCTACAGACAAAGTGCCTGTGAGACAGTCACCAAAGAGGGCTAGGAAGAATGACTCCTCTCCTTCCACCTCTTCTCCATAATTCTCTCCTCCCCCCTCCCCCTCTGCCTCCTGTCCTGCATGCTGTACAACACTAAGGTAAGATAAAGTACCGTATTTTTTTACATTTTCCACAGAATTTTTTCAGTGTTAAGTGGTTGTATTTGGGGGCCTGGAACGGATTAATCCTATAACGAACGAATGCTATACTTGAGCGAGGTTCGAGGCAAATTAGATTTGTTATAACACCCCATTGGCATATATATAATATATACAGTCATCGCCAGTTAACGTCCAGGTCGGAGCAGACAACGTCAAGATTGCATAACTACATCCATTGCCCCCCCTCAAAAAAAAAAAAACTTCCGTGACGCCTACTGGACCACCACTCCACGACACTCTGACGGAAACACGATGATCCTCTCCAAACTGGCCAGATATTATGTGTTAAAGGAATATCCTTCCTTCCTTAGGCATTTGCTTCCAGGTGTAATGTTAACCTACATCTATTGAGGATAAAATCTTTCACCTACAAATTGACAATAACATATTTGCTGTAATCAGACATATCTAGTTGCCTCAACAATTGCAACCCCAGTTGCAATTGGGGTTGCAATTTCAAATTCTATGTCATTACTAAGGAATAACGAAGTTTCTAGTGCACTGCACTCAAAGATTAAGAGAAAACGGACAACTCAGGCGTCCTGAAGTGAGAGAAAACGGACTCCTTTGACGGGGCACTCAAATAAAGAGACATAGCTACATGTTTTGTGGACTACCCACTGTACAGTATTGATCGTATCATTTTCATCACTTTGTAATAAACCTAGCCATGCCTATGTGTGTTTATGATATTTACCATAACATTATATATATATATATATATATATATATATATATATATATATATATATATATATATATATATATAATATGCTGATAACCACAAGGAAAGAAGAAAACACGAAGTTCCCAAGCGCTTTCGTGTAATTCACATCTTCAGGGGTGAGTACAGACTAGAGAGAGTAATACAAATCAAGGTGTATATATACAGAGGAGGGTGAGACCAGGTCCACAATGGTCAGGTATTAGGTAATGACCCTACTAATCTTTAAATAGCACACAACGGTTGGTGGTCAGGTCAGATGGTCAAGTGACCCGGCCTTCTCACCTGATCACAAATCTTCTTAATTACAAAATTGTCCAGCTTGTACATGCCGTTACTCAAATTCATGTTGAATGCTTCGGTATGTTTAATAAGACTAGATTCTATGATGTTCCTACTGTCAATTGACTTACATGGTAATATTGAGGAGGCATTATCCCAGTCAATGCAATGCTTGTTATCCCTCAAATGAACAAACAGAGCATTGGATTCCTGGCCTGTCCTAACACTGTATTTGTGTTGTTTAATTCTAGTTGCAAGATCTTTACCTGTCTGGCCTAAGTAAAACATATTACATTCCTTGCAAGGAACTTTATAAATGCAACCAATTGTGTTGTTGGGGGAGTTCTTGATTAACATTTGTTTAACAGTGCATGAGTTTTTAAATGCCACATTGACGTTCCAGGTTTTTAGCTGTGCAGGAATGTGTGAGAAATTTTTGTGAAATGGTAATATTAAGATATTCTTATGGTCATGGGTGGGCTTGGGGTCAGTTCTATAAAAAGTTTTCTTAGTAATGTTTAAGCATTTGTCTATGAAAGATCTAGGGTATTTAAGGTTTGAGCCAATATTATATATATATTTGTATTCCTCATCGATGAATTCCGGACTGCAAATTCTCAAGGCACGTAAAAACATTGTTGAAAATACTGACTGTTTGACTTTATTATGGTGGGCAGAATAATAATGAATGTATGAACACACATTAGTGATGGTCAGTTCAAAACTGATATGTTACATAAATTTATTTGTCAGTGGCCCAAGGTTAAAAATGCTTTGAAAACCTTTGATCTAGATGTATGATAATTATTTTGTGGGTCCCTTATTTTTGACCTGACCTGACTAGTCACGTCACCCCCCTTCTCTTAAGCTCCTCTTCGTGTGTGTTGGTGTGGGGATTAGTGGATGACATCATTATGACCTGACCTCATGTTTTTAAGGTCACCCTGTATATTTAAGCCTCTCTCTGTCCATGTAATCCAGTTGCCTCTGATGATGTCTTGAATAAAGACGAAAGCTAAGGTGCTCCGTTGTTTCCATTTTCCCGTGTGATTTTATCAATATATATATATATATATATATATATATATATATATATATATATATATATATATATATATATATATATATATATATATATATATATATATATATATATATATATATATATATATATATACAGGTACTGTATATATATTATACAGGTACTGTATATATATTGTAACTTTGTTGGTCATCTTGTTAAGTGTTTATCATACTTTACTTTTTTACTTTAACTTTTATAAGTGAAACTAGCTGCCGCTTATATTTCCTGGGAAAGTAATTGTTCTGTTCTCCTCCCACAGAAGGCAGTGTGAGTAACTTCTGGGAAGCTGACCCACCCTCCCGACTCTTGCTGCCCACACCAAGGTACACACTTTGTGCTCCTCTGCACACATTTTCTTCTTAGTAAACATTTTACTTCACTTCAACAGGAAATTCTTATTTTTTCTAGCTCCTAATGATTGTACTATACAATAATCTGGTTCAACGCTCCTAATGATTGTACTGTACAGTAATCTGGTTCAACGCTGCTAATGATTGTACTGTACAGTAATCTGGTTCAACGCTGCTAATGATTGTACTGTACAGTAATCTGGTTCAACGCTCCTAATGATTGTACTGTACAGTAATCTGGTTCAACGCTCCTAATGATTGTACTGTACTGTAATCTGGTTAAACGCTCCTAATGATTGTACTGTACAGTAATCTTGTCAACGCTCCTATGATTGTTCTGTGCAGTAATCTGCTTCAACGCTCCTAATGATTGTACTGTACTGTAATATGGTTCAACGCTGCTAATGATTGTACTGTACAGTAATCTGGTTCATCGCTGCTAATGATTGTACTACAGTGAACCCTCACTTTACGCGGTTAATTCAACCCACGGCAGCCCGCGTAAAGTGAACAACATAACATATGGGATTAATTGAAATAGAGACCGGGCCGACCCCCAAACTCCACTTTTTCCCGACACAATACGTACGTTTTACTAAAAATAACCTCTTAACTTTATGATGGTATTCACCCACATTTAATAAAGAAGGGAACAGTCAATAAGAGAAGAATAAACTGAAGGTTAGGTTAGAAAAAAACAAGGTTGGGGTTAACACTTACGTTAGTAGAAGAGATGGGTCGGCGTAGGGGAATGGAGGCTGGTTCCGAGGCAGAGGGCAGGCTACTGGCCCTCAGGTGAGTCTTCATCGGTGTCATCCACACTTACTAGTGCCTCCCTGACAAATCCCTCAAAGTCATCATCACTGTCTCTACCTCTGTCACTATCACTGGCTTGGGCTGGCTGTGGTGGGTTGCGGGCGAAGAAATCTCTGTTATGCTTTGTTGACGGCTGGTGTTTATGTTGTCGTGATAAACCTTGATGTAGGGCTCCATAGTCTGCAACAGCTGGGTAGTGAAGATTTCATACCTGTTTGCGTCAGGGTCGTCGGAAAGGAGGAGCTTGACTTTCTTGATACACTCGATGGCACCCCTAACATTACTATGGGATAAGCGGCGTTCTTCTTGGGATGACTCACCACCTGCCTCTTCACTGACATCATCATCAAAAACCATCTCGTCGGTAGTCACATCAGGATCCCTTATCACCTCCAGGATGTCGTCGTTGGTGGTCTCGGAGAAGCCTGCAGCTGTAACACTCTGCGCAGCTTCTCTGGCAAGGTCCACTGATACTGCAACAGTCTGAACCTCGCCAGTCACAGATTTACTCTGCCTAACACCCGGAATGCCTTGCAACACATGTCTCCAAGCATGACGAACAGTTGCTACAGACAGCTGATCCCATGCCTCCACCAAGAAGTCCACAGCTTTCTTGACATTGAATGTTCTCCAGAATTGTTTTAAAAGTACTTCTTGCTCTGCCAACTGTTGATCCTCGTCGTCTTCGCTCTTGCTATCTGTGTTGGTGTCACTCAGGTTACGCAACTCTTCCTTGGTGTTGGTGTAGTCGTTCAGGTTGAATTTTTTAGCAGAGAATGCAGCTTTTACATTACAGATTAACTCTTGGTCCATGGGCTGTAATATAGATGGCGTGTTGGGAGGAAGGAAGGCCACTTTTACGTTGGGGTGACGATCTAACAGTAGGGGCGAGTGTCCTGGTGCGTTGTCCAGCAGCAACAAAATCTTGAATAGCACATTCTGTTGCTCACAGAATTTCTTCACATCGGGAACGAAACAGTCATCAAACCAGGAGAGGGACAGTGTAGAGAACATCCACGCCTTACGTGCGGTCAGCCAGTGGACATTTAGCTTGGTCATGTCCATGTTCTTGTAGGCGTGTGGCTTGCGTGCTGTGTGGATCACCGATAACTTGAGCTTACAGGTACCGGAGGCATTGGTGGTAAACAGGACGGTGATGCGCTCCTTCTGCAACTTCCAGCCCCGACACTTGCTGGCATTCTTCACAAAGAAGGTCTTGGAAGGTAGCTTTTTCCAAAAAAGACCAGATTCGTCCATGTTAAACACCTGGTCGTCGGTGTACTGTCCTTCCTCCATAATCTCACGTAAAAACGGAGGAAATTCCCTAGCCGCAACACGGTCAGCACTAGCTTCTTCACCACCAATGTTGATATTGGTGATCTTGTTTCTCTTCTTAAACCTCTGTAACCACCCAGAGGAAGCATTAAAGGGTTTGGGCTCTGTAATTCCCATCTTTCGTGACGCTGCAGCATACAGTTCACGTGCGTACTCCTTAACTGAGCTCATGTCCACCGCCATGTTCCGTCGTGCCTGATGCACCAAGTAGCTCACAAGTAATTTTTCTGTCTTGAGAAGCACCTGGTTGTGGCAATACTTGATCATAGAGCACCTGTAGACTTTGTGATGTTCATGTGCTCCTTTATCTTGGCTGCATCCTTCTTAATTGTCCTGATCGTAGAATCATTAATACCATGCTGGCGCGCGAGATCAACCTGTCTTGTTCCTTTCTCCAACTCTTGTATGATCTTATATTTAATTTCGTAGCTTAAGGAACGTTGTGTCTTCTTTGGCTTAGAGCGGCTGGGTCCAGGTAATGCAAGGTTTCTTTGTGGTGGTGGTGGTTCGGTGGAAGCCATTCTTATGGAACAATGGATACCGATATACACGGTGTAGCCTGGAGGGGTGTAACTGACGCGGTAGGTCGAGGGGCTTGAACGCTCCCGCGGCGGGGCACGTCATTAAACCAATCACAGCTAGCAGGGAGGGAGGTAAGGATGCTTTGCCCAATCACAGTCAGCTACGTCATATGACGTCACCGATAACGCAACAAAGACATACACTGCGCAACCTACTCGCGCCGCTTACACAACATGGCGGATGGCGGGAGGTTTGGATCCAAAAATGGCGTGGCGCGAGAGGACCGCCAGCCGGTCTCCGCGTAAAGGGGTACACACACCGCGGAAAGTGAGCATTCCGGTTTCGGCAGGGTACCTCGTAAATGTGGAAACGCGTAAAGTGGGACCGCGTAAAGCGAGGGTTGACTGTACTGTAATCTGGTTCAACGCTGCTAATGATTGTACTGTACAGTAATCTGGTTCAACGCTCCTAATGATTGTACTGTATTGTAATCTGGTTCAACACTGCTAATGATTGTACTGTACAGTAATCTGGTTTACACGCTGCTAATGATTGTACTGTACATTATCTGGTTCACACGCTGCTGATGATTGTACTGTACAGTAATCTGGTTCACACGCTGCTAGTGATTATACTGTACATAATCTGGTTCACACACTGCTAATGATGGTACTGCACAATAATCTGGTTCAATGCTCCTACTGATTGTACTGTACAGTAATCTGGTTCAACGCTGCTAATGATTGTACTGTACAGTAATCTGGTTCAACGCTCCTAATGATTGTACTGTACAGTAATCTGGTTCAACGCTCCTAATGATTGTACTGTACTGTAATCTGGTTCAGCGCTCTTATGATTGTTCTGTGCAGTAATCTGGTTCAACGCTCCTAATGATTGTACTGTACAGTAATCTGGTTCAACGCTCCTAATGATTGTACTGTACAGTAATCTGCTTCAACGCTCCTAATGATTGTATTGTCCAGTAATCTTGTTCAACGCTCCTATGATTGTTCTGTGCAGTAATCTGCTTCAACGCTCCTAATGATTGTACTGCACAGTAATCTGGTTCACATGCTGCTGATGATTGTACTGTACATAATCTGGTTCACACACTGCTAATGATGCTACTGTACAATAATCTGGTTCAACGCTCCTAATGATTGTACTGCACAGTAATCTGGTTCACATGCTGCTGATGATTGTACTGTACATAATCTGGTTCACACACTGCTAATGATGCTACTGTACAATAATCTGGATCAACGCTCCTAATGATTGTACTGTACAGTAATCTGGTTCAACGCTCCTAATGATTGTACTGTACAGTAATCTGGTTCACATGCTGCTGATGATTGTACTGTACATAATCTGGTTCACACACTGCTAATGATGCTACTGTACAATAATCTGGTTCAACGCTCCTAATGATTGTACTGTACAGTAATCTGGTTCAACGCTCCTAATGATTGTACTGTACAGTAATCTGGTTCAACGCTGCTAATGATTGTACTGCACTGTAATCTGGTTCAACGCTCCTAATGATTGTACTATACAGTAATCTGGTTCAACGCTGCTAATGATTGTACTGTACTGTAAACTGGTTCAATGGTGCTAATGATTGTACTGTACAGTGGTCCCTCGGTTAACGAGCACAATCCGTTCCAGCAGGTTGCTCGTTAACCGAAAAACTCGTTAACCGAAACCATTGTTTCAATGGGTTTTTGGGTAATTGGTTCAAGCTCACCGAAAATTGCCTAAATTCAATAAAAAAGGTAGAAAAGTACACTTACTTTGAGGTGTGTATGTAGAAGGCTCCTGGATGATGATGATGATGGGAATTAGAATGGGGGTGGAGGAGAAGGAAGAAGAGAAGGCATTGGGGTGGAAGAGAAGTCACCCCATGGTGCCATTGCACCCATAAAATTTTAGCTCTCTTGGTGTAATTCAAGATTATTTTCTTTAAATCAACACTGCACTGCATTATATATTGTCAATATGTAAAATATATTTCAAAATGACCAATAATTTGCTTGGAAACACAGAAAAAAGCGTTTAGTTGAAGAGAGTCTCAAGGAAGATGTTACCTCCACTGAAAACAGAGAGAGACTGGTGTGTTAGCAGGCTGGATGGCACGCCAGAAACTAGTTTCTTTACCTTCAATTATGCTCAATAATTGTTAAAATGACTAAAAAAGTTAATATTAAACTTTTAAAATTATTGAATAGTATAAACTTCTTGATATTTACTAAAATAGTAAGGAATTTAAGCCCTAAAACCGATTAATGTATTGGCAGACTAATACTACAGCTGGTGGACCGCCAAATGCAAGTGAAAACATGTTGAAGTCGGCTCGTAAAAAACTCGTTAATCGAGGGATAGCTCGTTAACCGAAGTTAAGAATCTTATGGAAGGTAAATCGTTAACCGAAATCTCGTTAACCGAGGCGCTCGTTAACCGAGGGACCACTGTACAGTAATCTGGTTCAACGCTGCTAATGATTGTACTGTACAGTAATCTGGTTCACACGCTGCTAATGATTGTACTGTACATAATCTGGTTACCACGCTGCTGATGATTGTATTGTACATAATCTGGTTCACACGCTGCTAATGATGGTACTGTACAATAATCTAGTTCACACGCTGCTAATGATTGTACTGTAATCTGGTTCACATGCTAATTATTGTACTTTTTTGTAATCTAGGTCACACGCTGCTAATGATTGTACTGTACATAATCTGGTTCACATGCTGCTAATGATTGTAGTGTACAGTAATCTTGTTCACACACTGCTAATGATTGTACTGTACAGTAATCTTGTTCACACACTGCTAATGATTGTACTGTACAGTAATCTGGTTCACATGCTGCTAATGATTGCGCAGTAATCTGGAACACACACTTTTATTTAAGGGAAGATCTGTTTACGGTATTTTAGTTGAATTATTGTATACCTAAATCGCACATACTTTTTCGAGATATGATATCCCGATCAGCGATATTCTGCTTTAACAACGGTCGTAAATTAAGATTATCTTGTTATATATGATAAAAAAATTCACTTTACCAATGTCCAACGAATAGCCATCAATAACAGTTGGTTGGAAATTTATTTTTTATCTTTAGTGCAAACTGTGGGTTGTATACAGTATACTCAAATTAATTGCGGTCTTACAAGGATTCCAGCAATGCAAATTATATTTTTCTATGTCAAATCAGTTCCATTTTATAAGGAAACAATATTTAACCCTACTCGAGCGCCACCACACCTCCAACCCGCTCATTACAGCCCTGTGTTTGGTTCTTTGTAGTATATAAACTCGCCATCGCCTGGTGCAACAATTAATGGCCAGCATTGTACATTGTACATATCATTGGTGTTTTTTCTTATATATAGTGATAGGACAGCACTAACATTGAACTGTATTCTGGTGGCAGCGAAGTGATATTTTTTTGTGTTTTTGTTACTGTAAGGTGCGTCAACTCTGTTGTTTTGAAACTGTGAATAGTGTCAGCTGCTATCACTGTTTTTGTTATCATCGTTTGCTCTGTTTTTCTGACAAGTGCTTTTGCTCTGTTTTTCTGACTGAAGTGAGCAGTGTAACTTTGAAAATGTCTGGGAAGGCCAAGGCATCCAAGACAACCAAATCTCTGAGGTGAAACTTGACTTTGTTAAGCAATACGAGACTCCCTATCTACAATAATTAGCGATGGGTTCTTCGGGAACCTAACCCCATCATATCTCGAGGTTTACCTGTATTTTGTATTACATTTACAGGAGTGGTAAATGATTGGAGAAAACCACCCAATAAATAATTTTGAGCTGAAATAGAACATGTCCATTTTTTAGGCTAAATAGGATTTGAGAAGATATACTTGTATACCTACCTAGAAATTTATTAATAGATTATAAGAATCTAATTATTCTGCAGTTACAGGAAACACTGTATGTAATAAAGTACTATAAATAATAACTAAACAGGTAGTAGTACGTTACACTGTTTTACTAACTATAGGTTATCCTCCAGTGTCAGAAGACTGGAGGCCCTGGAGCCAGTGGTGGCCAAGACACGGCTGCACGATCCTCGACGACCTGCCAGAACCACCCGACCAACACCAACCATGTACTCCTCCGTCCGCACTGCCCACGTCATACACCGAGGCACTGCCCACCTACACAGGGTCCCCTTTACTCGCAGGGACAAACATAATGATCAAATAAAGAACAAAAGAAGAGACAAGGATGAGGAAAAATCATTCCAGTACCTTCAAGATGACAGAATGAAAGAGAACGGGCACTTACAAAATTATGACTCTAGATCTGTTTATAATGGATACGACAACAATAACTTAATATGGGTCAGAAAACCTAATGGAGATACTTTAGACTATCTAACGGATTCATTGAGTAATGCAAATTTTAGTTATCATCGCTATTCGTCTCAGCCGTGCCAGCTGGACATGGGACCCTGTGAGGATCTCCTGGTATCAGGTGAGGAGGTAGTCCTAAGACTATCGGTCCCCCCAACACCCAAGATGGTCGTCACTGCCAGGCCTTGGGAAGAAACTTCAGGGTCGCTAGCATCGCGGAAGGGTAGTACAACTAGGCACAGCAGAAGGGGCAGTACCACTAAAGTTTCCACCACAAGAGATATGGATGAAGAGCAACTGTGTGCTGATATTGCTACTTGTGATACTCTTTTTTTAGACACTTCTGCTCAGGAAACACCAGAACTGATTGCTGCTAGGAACCTGAAGGGTAAAGTTAAGAAGAAAAAATCTGTTAAAACACGAGGTGGAAGTGGGGAGACAGAAAAGAGAAAAGATGATAAAGAAAGTGAAAGCAACTATAAGGTCACACAAGATGAAGACTCCGAAAAACTTTTTAAGGTGGATGACGGACATGGGAAAGAGGTGTCTGAAAGTACACCCTCTGAAGGTAAGATTAAAAAAAAGATAAAGATCGTTATTGGTAAAAAGTCTAAGACCAAAGTAAGTAAGAAAAATTTACAAGAGAAATATTCATAGGCCATTTTGCATATGAATACAATCAGGTGAAGCATAACTTAATATACGGTAGTGCACCAATTACAGGTACTGTATACTGTATTTTTATAATATATTTTGTCCAATAATTTGTTTATTTTATCATAAGTTAGTTAGACTTAAAAGTTTCATTGAATAAAAAACTGTTTGTTTATTGTATAATAAGTTAGTCAGATATTTCAATGGCAGCTTGTTTAAAAAAAATTGATGATTGCCCCTAATAAATTACTGCATGGTATATATTGTCTACATAAAGCTTTTTGTAGTTACAGATTGTGAATAATGTGTTTTCATAATGTGATAAAAATTACTGTACTGTATACAGTATATGCAACAAGACCAAAGCTCAGTCTAGGACCAACAATGCATTTAGAAGCATTATCACCTTTTACAATTTTCACATTTCTTATTAAAAAATTTTGCGATAGCATCAGCGAGCCTATAAAGAAAATGTGCTGTGTGTGAATTTTGGCAGTGAGAAAGTAGTGTGTTTATACTGTACTATACACAAGGTTAGCACAAAAATATAAGCAAATTCTTAGGAGTAGTTTTTCATTGTCCACATTGTTTACAAATACTGTACAGGTAATCAGATATAATAAATTAAACAATAGAAAGTAAGCATTTATCAAACAGGGAGGTTCTACCGCCTGGGAAGATATTGGAAACACATTGTGTTGTCTATTGGTAGACCCTGCTGCCATATGGCATCACAAATATTGTGACCAAGTCCCAGGTTGCTGATCTGACTTTCTGCCTCATTTACACACAATTGCAGGGTCTCAGTTGTTTCTCTTACTTTGACAACACAACATACATGCAGTACTGTACAGTATATTGTTTCTCACCTCTTATTTTTATTTTTTTGCCCCCACAGACCCTGATGTCGGTCAGTGACCTGTGCCCAGGTGGGCTAATACCCGTAAAAAAAAAAAGGAAAGAAAGACATGGTGAAACAGTTGAGTGATGTTGGAATGTGAGAGGATGTGTTGGTGGTGTAGGTAGAGGGATGTGTTGATGGTGGTGACTGGGGGGATGGTTTTACTTTTACTTTTTTATCCTCTTCGCTACTTATCAGCTTGTTAGCTGCTTGGGCGGTCGGTCACGTCTCTGTTACGCACGGTTGGCAAGTACTGGGCATGCACTGGCTCTTGGATGTATCTGATCCTGCTCCAGTGCTGGTCAAGTCTGGTCTTGAAACAGCTCACACTCTGAGCTGCCACAAAACTCATTGGCAGGTTGTTCCAAGAGTTCACAAGTTTCACTCCGAAAAAGTTTGCCCTCACAGTTTTCTGGACTTGCTGTGACCCCTTATGGGGCAGGCATCTGCCAGCTCCAGGTATGGACACTCTACTGAGTAGTGCCCCTGAGATGTTTATACATTTCGATTAGGTTCCCGCTTGCCTGTCTGTAGTATAAGCTAGGCAGTTGCAGGCACTCTTAATCTTTCTGGACAGCTGAGGTGCAGAATTGCAGGCACCAGTCTGGTGGCCCTTCTCTGGACATTTTCAATCAACTGACAGTCTCTAGCATATCTCAGGGACCAGGCGGGGAAGCACCTTACTCTTGAAGATCGTTATGAGTTTGGCTGTGAGGAAAGAAGGATGTACTATATTGGGTTATTCTAGTGTGACCGACATCCACAGAGAAACGGTGGACACCGCGAGCAAGACGAGTGTTACGAGCCCACGGCCTTGCCAGCGGTACACAGGGTGCCAAATCCTCCGAACATTGCCCATTAAAGTACAGTGATCCCTCGGTTAACGAATTACATTCCATAAGAATATTCAATTAAGTTAACGAAAAAAATTTGGTTAACGAATTCCTTACGAATTCCTCTCAACATGTTTTCGCTTGCTCACCAGCTGGAATATTAGTCCGCCAATACAGTAATCGGTTCTAGGGCTTAAATTCGTTCCCATTTGAGTAAATATCAAGAAGGTTGTATATTCAATAATTTTGAAAGTTTTATATTAAATTTTTTAGTCATTTTAACAATTATTGAACATAATTGAAGTACAGTACAGGAAACTAGTTTTTAGCACGCCAAACAGCCACTTGACTCACCCAGCAGGCGTCAGTTTGTGTCTCTGCTCAGTGGAGGTAACATCTTGCTTTAGACTCTCTTGAACATAAACTATTTTTATGTTTTTACAGTACCTGTACAATTATTGGTCATTCTGAAATTTAGTTTACATATTGACAATATATAGTGCAGTGCAGTGTTGATTTAAAGAAAATAATCTTGAATTACACCTAGTGAACTTAAAATTTTATGGGTGAAATGGCGGCATGAAGCATGAGGTGATTTCTCTTCCACCCCCACTTCCTTCTCTTCTCCCTTCTCCTCCACCCCCACTTCTAATTCCAATCATCATAATCATCATCAACCAGGCGCCTTCTACATGCACACCTCAAAGTAATTGTACTTTACTGCATTTATTTTTAGTTTGTATGTATTTTTCGATGAGCTGGAACCAATTACCCAAAATCCCATTAAAACAATGGTTTCGGTTTACGAACGACCTTCTGGAACGAAGTGTGTTCGTTAACCGAGGGACCACTGTACCTGTATAAGAGAGTGAGTGAAGCAACATTGCGGCAAAGAGAAAGGGAAGAAAGTTTATTAACTAAAGGACGAATCCACCCGATCTAACAGATGGACAGAAGAAGAGCCACCCCAGATATGAGAGCAGTACTCCAAGTTAGGATGAATGAATCCCTTATAAACTTGAAGCAACTGTTCAGGAGTGAAGTAGCTACAGCTGTACAGCATTCCCAGCTTTCAGGAGACGGCTTTAGCAATGTTGTGGATGTGTGGCTTCCATGACATACAGTATAGTCTCGGTTTACGCGGATTTTCCTTACGCGGTTGGTCATTTACGCGGCACCTGTCCAGACGCGCCAATTATTAGTTACGTGGTACATTCCTGAATTTACGCAGGAAGCGGCGCGGACAAGCTGTGCGCTAGGTCGCTCTTACGTCACTGCTGACGTCAGATGACGTTTCGGACTGTGATTGGTCCATGCATCCTTACCACCCACGCATCCCCTCCGCCGCGAGCTGTGATTGGTCTATTTAACCTTGCTTGCCCAGTCAACAAAACATTACCGAGTTCTTCACCTGCCACCCACCACAGCCAACCCAAGTCAGTGATAGTGAGGATATGGACTATGAGGGGATTGACAAGGAGGCCCTGCTAGCCTCTGTGGTGGATAGTGATACAGGTGATACAAGTGATACAGGTGAGGGCCAATAATCTGCCTCGGAACTAACCCCCCATCCCCCTGTGCCCAGCCATCTCTTCTACTTACGTAAGTGTTAAAAAACCTAATATTATTGATATTTCTCTTAAATATTAATTGTGTGTGCATACCATCATAAAATTAAGATGATATTTTTACTACAACGTACGTATTGTGTCGGAAAAAGTGTAGTCTGGCGGTCGGCCCAGCCTTTATTTCAATTAATCCCATATGTTCTGTTATTTTGTTTACGCATTTCGCGTTATACGCGGACCTCCATGGGTTTAATTGACAGCGTAAAACGAGACTATACTGTATTAGAGGAAATGGTGAGGGCTAGTATTTCTATTTTAGAATTTGGCAGAATGATTGCATCCTGAAATGTGATTGGTGGGAGATCATCTAATTTGGAAAGTGTAATTGGTAAATACTGAGTTTTATTACTATTGAATTTAACCAAGTTTCTACCTCCCCATTTGGATATGCTGCACACATCCGCCTTGATAGATGAAATGATATCAGCTCTAGAAACAGACCTAATTTGAGAGTTAGGGGAAGGGAAAAATGAGAAAAAGAGTGAAGAGTAGAATCATCAGCGTAAGAATGGATAGAATTAGTCGTACTGTGAAGTAAATTATTGATAAAAAGAAGAAAGAGTAGGTGAACGAACAGAACCCTGTGGGACACCACTATTGGTAGAGAAAAAGCAAAAGATCGATCCCTCAACAACAACTGCTATAGATCAGTTCTCAAGGAAGCTAGAAATTAGAGAACAAAGTGGGGGAGTGAAACCATAAGAAGGAAGTTTATAAAGCAAAGACTTGTGCCATACCCTGTCAAATGCTTTGGAAATGTCTAGGGCCACGACGAAAGTTTCTCCATAATCCCTAAGAGAGGATGACCAAAGATGGGTGCAGTAGGAGAGCATATCACCAGTAGATCTCTCCTGGCAAAAGCCATATTGGCGATCCGACAAAAGAGAAAAGCATTCAAGGTGACGGAAAAAATGAAAGTTTAAAATTGTCGTGGATTTAATGAGTCTAGGCGTGGATGTTATATAGGCTATTAATACAGTATTATTATATTACAGTTTTATGTTCCTTATATTTCTTACCGTAGAGTTAGATACCTTCACACTGGTTACTTACAGGAGATTATGGTGTATCTACGTAGAAATTCACTCCACCACCCGACATTCCATGATTTATACTTGATAAATGATGATTTAATGAGTTCCATTAATTTCCAACATCCATCTAAGTCATTGCTTATCCTTTGTCATAATCAATCAGTCATTACATTTAGTAATCCAGTAATAAGATAGGAATCACAGATATGGGCAGGAGGAGTATCTCAGAGATAGGTATAAGGAAGTATCTTCGAATGTTTAGAAAAATTTACAGAAGGCAAAGAGGGACTACGAAATCAGGATAGCAAGAGAATCCAAGGCGTATCCCAAGGGATTTTTCCAGGTATATAGCACAAAGATCAAGGACAAAGTGGGGCCTTTAAAATCAGAGAGAGGGGAAGTGATCGATGATAGTAAGGAAATAAGCAAAGCATTAAACAGCTACTTATCAGTTTTCACTGAAGAAATTCACAAGGAAATGCCTGAGGTGGAACTGATATTTAAGGGAAATGAAGAAGAGAAACTAAAGGATATCACTACCAGAAAAGAGGATGCTTTTAAGAAGATAAATAAATTAAAGAAGACAAAATCCCCAGGGCCAGATGAAATTTTCCCTCGAGTTTTGAAAGAGTGTATGGAACATTAGCGGACCCCTCGTAAATTTATTGACCAAATCATTAGAAACGCGTTATGCCAGATTTGTGGAGACAGGCAAATGTAGTACCCATATTCAAAAAGGGGGACAGCATCAGTGTCAAATTACCAGCCGATTAGTTTGACGTCAATGGTTGGGAAATTTCTTGAATCAATTATAGCAAATAGCATCCGATCGCATTTAGAGAAAAACAAATTAATCCACGACTCTCAACATGGATTTTCAAAGGGAATATCTTGTCTAACAAATCTGCTGACGATTTTTAGGAAAGTTTATGAGGTAGTAGATAATGACGAAAATTACTATGTTATTTACTTAGACTTTAGCAAAGCATTTGACGGTACCGCATCAGAAGCTTCTGAGAAAAGTTTGGCTCATGGTATCGAGGGGAAAGTTTTAAATTGGATAAAATCGTGGCTCACCGATAGAAAACAGGTCAGCGTAGATGGTTTTAAATCTGAGTGGGGCTGTGTAACTAGTGGGGTTCCCCATGGGTCAGTACTGGGCCCACTCTTGTTCATAATCTACATAAACGATCTAGATTAGATACTGGGATCAGCAGTGACATAAGCAAGTTTGCGGATGACACCAAAATAGGGCGGCAGATTAACTCAGGGCAGGATGCAAATGCACTACAGGAGGATTTAAATAAACTGGAGGAGTGGTCCGAAAAATGGCAAATGAAATTCAACACCAGCAATTGCAGTGTACTTAATATTGGAAGAACAAATACAGTACTGTCAATGTACACAGCCTTAACAACATGAAACTAGAGAAGTCGACTTGTGAAAGAGACTTAAGGGCACTCTTAAGCCGAGAAAAGGGAGGTACATGTAAGTAATAAGAGTGCGGAGGTCATATTGCAACTATATCTTGCGCTAGTCAGGCCGCACCTCGATTATGCTGTTCAGTTCTGGCGCCCTAATTATAGAATGGATATCAATTCACTGGAGTCGGTGCAGCGAAGAATGACAAAAATAATTCCAGGACTTGGAAACCTTCCCTATGTAAATAGATTAAAGAAACTAAACTTGCATTCCCTAGAAAGACGAAGAGTGCAGGGAGATATGATAGAAGTATTCAAGTGGGTGAAAGGAATCAATAAAGAAGATAGAGACAAAGTTCTTATAATATCCGAGCAGGATAGGACTCGAAGCAACGGATTTAAGTTGGATAAGTTTAGGTTTAGGAGGGAGATAGGAATGAACTGGTTCACAAATAGGGTGGTAGATGAGTGGAACAAGCATAGCAACTTTGTATAAGTGCTGGGTTGCTGGAAATTTATAAAAGGAGGCTAGATAGATTCATGGACGATAGAGAGTGGTTGTAACTCTTGACAGGAGCTGCCATGCACAGGCCAATCTGCTATTGCAGACTCCTTATTTTCTTTTGTTCTTATGTGTTGGTGGTGGAGGCTAGTTGTGTTGGAGACCAAGGGATGTGTTTGTGGTGGTGGCTAGGAGTTGTGTTGTAGACTGGGGGATGTGTTGGTGGTGGAGGCTAGAAGTTGTGTTTGAGACCGTTGATGTATTGGTGGTGGGGGCTGGGAGTTGTATTGGAGACTGGGGGATATTTTGGTGGTGGGGGCTGGGAGTTGTATTGGAGACTGGGGGATATTTTGGTGGTGGAGGCTATTAGGAGTACAGTAGTAAGGGATGTTGCCTGGACGTAATCAATAATTAATGTAACATCATCGACTGAATGCAAACCCTGTCCGTGAATCATTATCATGACATGGTAAATATTGAAGTAGTGACGCCGTTTCTGTAACTGAATACGTATAGTCACCACTGAAGACAGTTTCATGTCATTGTTTTCTTTAACCCTGACAAAACATCTTTTCCTTTAACTTTTAAAATATCCTGTTTTTATTGTGCAAACACCACACTCTAAGTTAACGAGCTGCATGACCCAGTGTCAAGGAATAGTCCGAGAGGACCGGACAACTCGCCAACTGCACTGGCTAGTGGCTACCCATTACCCCGGAATACGATCCGCAAATCTATTAACATCCAGGTTCCCAATTACTGCTGGGGGTAGACACAGGCAAATGGCGTAAAGAAACTTACCCATAGTTCCACCCTGCCCGAGGATCGAACTCGGGTCCGCTCGTTTGCGAGGCGAGGATGCTGACCATTACAACACAAGTCGATTAGCACTTTTACTAACCCTCTTCGTCACACTGATTGACTAGTGCGTTCGGTCACGTCTCTGTTACGCACTGCTGGCAAATACTGGAAAATTGGATATGTACTGGTTCAAGAATGTATCTGTACCTGCGCCAGTGTTGTTCAAGTTTTGTCTTGAATGAGCTCGCACTCGGTGTCGTCACAACTCTCTCTGGCAGATTGTTTCAAGAATTCACAACTCTCACTGCAAAAAGTTTGCCCTGACAATTTCGGAACTTGTGGCTTCTTCAACCTTAATGTGAATCCTAGTGGGGCAGGCAAACGCAAGCTCCAGGTATGAACACTCGTCTGAATAATGTCCTCAGAGATGTTTATAAACTTCTATTAAGTCACCTCTTGCCTGCCCTATCTCTCTGGGTACCGAGGTGCTTTAGTCCAAAAGTTTATCCTATAAACCTTGTAACATATTGATAAAACCTACAGAGTTTGATGCAAATCAGCAAAACAGTTCTCTAGTTATTTTAGATACATACAGGACATTGTTCAATAGTGGTGGGCAGGGTAATAAAAAAAAAAGCTCACAAAGGGACTGTTCTCTTATTTATATCAATGATTATTAAATCTCAAGTTATGTGTGTCAATTTATTACATTTGTTAATGACTATGATAAATATCATAAACACTACAGTACAGTACATAAGATTCTAAAGTTATCCTAAACATGTCAGTGATGTACGTACAAATAAAGAGCATAGTAATGGCAGATCTAATTTATAGTTTTGATCAACTTGCAGTCACAGTATATTGATCTATTATCTGCAAGTCTACCAACGTCACATGACCACTAGATGACGTGTCCACCAGCGCCAGGTGTAGTGGTATCAGCTGGTGCCCTGGGCGCTTGTATTTATTGAGATGGACTACTTCATGGGACAGGGGCTGCACTTACAGTCGGTCCCACAGCAACAGGCAGAAGACTTACACTGGCAGCTGGACCCACCTGTCGACAGGATAAAATATATTTTACTTCTTGCACAGTTAAAATTAAGCGATATAGATCAAGGGATTTAAATAAAAACAAAATAAATTACCACCAATCTACTAGTTAAGTATAAAGAGGTTTGTAGGATATAACAAATAAGAATATGATAACTGAGTCTTAGAAATGAAAAGTGTAGTTACAGTTGCCATCTGAGCACGAGCAGGACTTCTTGCTGGGACAAGAGGCACAGTTACAGTTGGTGCCGCAGCAACAGGCTCCGGACCCACACTTGCATGAGGCTGTGGATAACAACACACTTTACTCTCGCTTGTTGCACTAATTTGATTCGTTTTGATGTGACGCCAGGGAATAGGTAAAGGAAAATAATAACTAAATCATCAAAATAAACCTGCGTGATCCAAAAATCAAAATATACTCACTTCCACATCCACAAGGCATGACGGTGGTGGTGACTGTTCTGCTGTTGATATCTGGGTGCAGTAAGAGAGATGATGAGTTTATGAGCATATCACAAAAGCGGAAACATATATAGCGTCTCATCAAGGGTGTCGTGTGGAGAGAACAAAGTGATAGGCACGGGTGCGGGTCGTGCGCAGCTGTTGGGGGTGGGGGGAAGGGGAGCATACGCACCAAGATCACTTAATTATCTCCTCCCGACTGTATTTTTTTTATGAGGTTTCAGCATAATCTATTTTCTATTAAATTAAAGTTTTCCGTAAGGAAAATACATGTACTTAGGATTTGTTCAGATATCACACATACTAAGGTGGATAATTCATTTTAGTATAGAATTGACAACACAAGGAAAACTTCTCTGGTTAAGGAAAATATCATACTAACTGCCCATTTACCCATGATTGTGTCGTTATAATGATCATTGATCCCTATCTCAAGTGTTTGTCTGAACGTGTGATTTTTGCTCAGCTCTACCATATCAATTGTGTGTATGATTATTGAGCCCTATGTCAAATATATGTACTGTATAAAGTGTATGTGTGAATATATGATTGTTAAAGTCTACATCCGTGTCTGTGAATGTATGATATTGTAGTGGATACTACGCTACAATATTTCAGCCAGACGCTGTATCAAGTAAGTATAAAAATACAGAATTCAATTTTCAATTTCAATTGTTTATTCCTTGATAGAGGAAGCGGGATCCTGGTGCTGTCACTAGGTACCCCTGTACAATGACACCAGAAGCATCTGGCAAGTGTGACAAGTATATACAGTATAAATATTATAAAGGGGCTTACTAAAGCGTAAGGAAGGAAGGATATTCCTTTAACACATAATCAATATTATTTACAAAATATCTGGCCAGTATGGGGAGGATCATCGTGTCTCCGTCAGGGGGTCGTGAAGTGGTGGTTCAGCAGGCGTCACGGAAGCTTTGTGTGTGGGGACATCTTAGTAGGTAGTGGATAAGGGTGCTGCTGTCGGGTCTTCTGCATAATGCACAAGAGTGTTGCTTAGGGGATGCGGGGATACCAATCTCCCAAGCAAAGTCATACCCAATGATGATACGTGCAGCAATCACGTCCCCTTTCCGAGACCCTTTCCCGTAGACGTACGAGAGGTCAGGAAGTTTACGGAGGACATCGTACCAGGTGGGCGGGGAGTCCAGGGGATGGCTGCTTCCCGAGCTTCTCTCTGTTTGCGGCGAATTTGGGTCCTAAGCTGTAAAAGTGTTCGAGGAACAACGTAGTCAGGTGTGGCCTTGTTGCAGCCAGTCTTGGCAAGGCCATCTGCTGCCTCATTCCCCAAGATACCGACATGACTGGGTATCCATAGGAATGTCACAGGACGGCCTGCGTCCTGAAGTGTGGATGTTAACCCTCGTATTCGGAGGATGAGGTCCTTATTTTCCCCTGATCCAAATGCGATCCCGTCGAGAGCAGACCTGGAATCGCAGCAGACAAGCAAGGGGCAGAAACCATCTGCTTCTTCCTCAGCGAGAAGGGCAGCAAGGAGGGCTATTAGTTCAGCCTGAGTGGAGGATGCCCCGTCAGAAACTCTGAGAGACAGTTTGATAGGCTCAGGGGCATCCGGACGGGAGATGTAGACACCAGCCCCGGCCCTACCTGTAGCGAGGTCAACAGAACCATCAGTGTAGAGGACGACCCTACCTGGGGACCAGTGGGCGATCCTGGAGAGGTGGTATTTGCAGAGAATAACAGGGTTCACCTGGGATTTCGGGTAAATACAGAATTGCTGAGCCCTAATCATGAGCGTATACATGAATCTCGATTCCTAATCCAATGTTATTGTGAATGTTTAATCTTAAGTTTACAGTACACTGTACTGTACGTATAGGGTTATTGTGAATGTTGAATCTTAGGTGATAATGACAGGTACTATAAGATTAGCCGAAGAAAGTCATTATTTCCAATGAGTTCATTTGTTGATATGAAAACTTTGACCTAAAATTATTCGCAGTTGAAGATATGACCCAGTTGTTACCCCCAAGTTGATGATTTCTGCTGCGTTCAAAGGAAACTTCAATTTCAGCTCTCACACTAGTTGAGCGACGTGGTAACTTTTGCCTACACAGTATGCACAACATCTTAACGTGTATGAATTACATGTTTGAAGGCAGTACTGTACTCTTTCTTGGTCTAATAATTATCTAATACAGAATGAAGTTGAACAATGGCAAAGAGGATAAGGGAACTACTTCATATTTTTCCCGCCTCTGCTAACGGCCGTGTAATATTTCAATGTGATTCTGATCTTTTAAAATGTTGTTTTTGCATAATGTACTATTACTGATATGTAATTTGTCTTAGTATGTCTTATTGTGGGTAAAAATAAGTATATATTAAATGCATCCTCCGAAAGCGTGAATTTGCTACCAGAGTTTATCAGTTAATTCACGTGTAATACTTCTGATAAACTTCCTACGTGTCTATGTTTGACATAATGAAGGTATGTATCTCTATAAATTTAGCTAAATATCTTTCTCGTCAGAAACGGTCTTTATGAAAAAAACTCATTTAGAAATACACCATTACTCATTACAAAATCTGACAGGTTTGCAACAGCCAAGCAGCTGTAACTCTTGAGGAGGGGACGGGGCATCTCTTTTCAGCTGGGAAAAAACGCGCTAATTACCCCCGGAACTGTACCAAGACTCATAATTTGTCTCACTAAAGACATTAGGCTGAAGATCACTCCTCATCCAACAAACAAGGTGATGAATCATCCCCATGCGACCCGCTGACCAAACAGAGGTGGATTAATTCCTCCAGTGCCTACCTCAAAATACTAGGTAATCATGACAAGCAAGAGACAGACAAGGCACAATGGCTATGCTTCATAAAAGGAATAACCGATCATATGACAGTTGGAATTAAAACATTACAGAACCTAGATAGCCAACATAATAAAACCAACAGAAAAAGTCCATGAAAGTTAATTATGGATTCGGGAATAACCATGAATCCGTGACATTGTATAAAATCTAAACAAATTGAAGAAGGTCTATACAGTAAAATTTACATTTTGTTCACCTTTTACAATTTACACAAACCCTACGGTAAGTTACCTTTACCAGTATAGTTGAGTAGTTGACTCTTTTTTTCGCATCATGTAATTGCTTGAAAAATATTCAAATTGTGGTAGTAAAGACACTGTAGGGTGACAATGTGGTGCTTTTTCGCATCGCACATAGCAACAACAGATAGTATACAAGTACTGTAAGCAGGAATATACTCTATGTCGTAGATGGACATTATCACTCGGTAGCAGACAAGCCTAACTATGAGTCAAAGTCCCAGTTCCCCCTCCCAAGGTTTATCAAGATAACTTGTTGTGGTGATGTTCCTCGGCGATAGCGATATTATTATCAGGTGACCTTATTGATGTCTGACACACAAACACACACACATTGGATATATAGTTAGACACTAATTTATTAACATACATATACACACAACATTCATACTTCCCAAGCTCACCTATGCCTCCCCCACCTGGTCTTCCTCCCTAAATGCCACACAACGTAAACACCTAGAAAAAGTGCAAAAGAGGGCATGCAAGATTATTCTCTCCCCTTCCTACTCCACATATCAAGAAGCGCTCAACACACTGACCCTTTCGACTCTCACTGACCATCACCACGGCCTCATCTGCAAATTTGGTAAGAAGCTTCTACACCATCCCCGACACCGGCCCCTACTACCACCTGAGATCCCCTGTCCGAGAATTGCTGTTCGACACCACAACCGCATCCAGCCCATACGTGCACGAACTGATCGCTATAAGAACAGCCCAGTCCCAACCATTGTAAAAATTATCAATAACATGTAATAAATCAGTGTATTCACTCCCAGTAAACACTGCTCCCTACACTGTCACTATGTTGAAATGAACTGTATTTTGAGCTGATCCCCATCTAAGTTACTATATGTCTTATTTGTGTCACTTATGTCACTTGTATATTATTTGTAACTCGTAACCCATTCCCCAAATATGTAACTGTATATTTTCAGCCTTCTGGCTGTCAAGCTCTTTCAATAAACCGTTAATTATTATTATTATTATTATTATTACACACACACACACACACACACACACACACACACACACATATATATATATATATATATATATATATATATATATATATATATATATATATATATATATATATATATATATATATATATATATGCAAGTAAATCACTGTAGGTGCGCGTGATCCAGGTATATGCTGATAACCACAAGGAAAAAGAAAATACGAAGTTCCCAAACGCTTTCGTGTAATTCAAATCTCCACGGGTGAGTACAGACTGTTTGACTCTATTATGGTGGGCAGAATATTATTCTGCCAACCATAATAGAGTCAAACAGTCAGTATTTTCATCAATGTTTTTACGTGCTTTGAGAATTTGCAGCCCGGAATTCATTGATGAGGAATATAAATATATCTATAATATTGGCTTGAACCTTAAATACCCTAGATCTTTCATAGACAAATGCCTGAACATTACTAAGAAATCTTTTTATAGAACCGATCCCAAGCCCACCCATGACCATAAGAATCTCTTAGTATTACCATTTCACAAAAAATTCTCTTAAATTACTTTACAACTAAAAACCTGGAACGTCTATGTGGCATTTCCCGGTCCTGACATGGTGCATCCTAGAGTGCTAAGAGAGTTGTGGAACGAGCTTGCAGAGCCCCTGAAGATCCTGTTTTGTAAATGCCTGGATGAACAAATGGTCCCCAGTGAATGGAAAGTGGCTTATGTGAGTCCTATCTTCCAGAAGGGCGATCGGCACTCCACGAACAACTATAGACCAGTGAGCCTGACCAGCATAATATGTAAGATACTTGAGAGTATTATTAGAGATGCCGCAATGGAACATCTAATACGAAACAATCTTGTAAAGGATTGCCAACACGGTTTTATGCCGGGGCGCTCCTGCTTAACACAATTGCTCAAGGTATTGGATATTTGGACCCATATTCTGGATCAGGGTGGTAATATCGACAATATTTACCTAGATTTTGCCAAGGCTTTCGACAGTGTACCCCATGAAAGGCTGAAAATCAAACTGGAAGGGTACTGAATTCGGGAAAATGTCCTTGCATGGATAGAAGACTTTTTACATGACCGTAAGCAGTGTGTGGTGATTAATGGCACGAAATCGTCATCCGTACCTGTCACAAGTGGGGTACCACAGGGCAGTGTATTGGGCCCGCTGTTGTTTGTTTGTTTCATAAATGATATACCTGACGTTGTACACTCCTCCATACAAATGTTTGCCGATGACGCTAAGTTATTTCGGGAAATTAAGAACCAAACTGACTGTGAATAGCTGCAGAAGGAACTATGTGGGCTCCAGGAATGGTCGAAGAAATGGCTGCTGAGATTCAATGTCACGAAGTGTAAGAGGATGCACCTGGGGCGTACCAACGGTAAGGAGGCGTATCATATGTCCCAACGGGATGAGGAAACTGCGCTAGTTGAGATTGAATGTGAGAAGGACCTAGGTGTGTATGTTGCTTATGGGTTTTCGAGGTCATTTCTTGCTCTGAACTAAAATTTAATGTGCCTAACTATTTAAGTACATCCAGAATAATACACAAGCACCAAGAAATGACCTCGAAAACCCATAAGTGGCGAGTAATTAGCATTGCAAGTAATTAAAATATTCTAAAAATCATTTGAAAAATTTTCTAAAAGCCATTTGAACAAGTTATAATCAAGATATCAAATTTTACAGATCCTACTGTTACTCAGGAGGTCAAAATCCATTTTGGCCGAAATGAACTACACATCCTGACTTTTGACTTCTGAAGAAATTATATGAAAAAATTTTTGAAATGAACAGCCACATTATCAGCCTTTCTCTGAAATTAACCCAGCCTTGTAAAGGATTTTTGTCAGGTCATGTTTTTTTTCTGAACTAAATTTAACGTAAAAGTTTGAATTTAGTACATCCAGAATAATACACAAGCACCAAGAAATGACCTCGTAAAACCCATAATCCTTTAAGGCTTTAGACTTACAATTTTCGTCATTTCGGCCAAAAAATGGATTTTGTTCAAAATTTCAGTATAGGTACTCCTGAATGTGCTGCTTAAGGATCTGTTAACCAAAATTTGATATCTTGATTATAACTTGTTCAAATGGCTTTTAGAAAATGTTCAAATGATTTTTTAGAATAATTTAATTACTTTTGCAATGCTAATTACTCGCCACTTATGGGTTTTCGAGGTCATTTCTTGGTGCTTGTGTATTATTCTGGATGTACTTAAGTAGTTAGGCACATTAAATTTTAGTTCAGAGAGAAAAAGTATTTTGGCCAAAAATCCTTTAAGGCATATAGACTTACAATTTTTTCATTTTCGGCCAAAAAATGGATTTTGTTCAAAATTTCAGTATAGGTACTCCTGAATGTGCTGCTTAAGGATCTGTTAACCAAAATTTGATATCTTGATTATAACTTGTTCAAATGGCTTTTAGAAAATGTTCAAATGATTTTTAGAATATTTTAATTACTTTTGCAATGCTAATTACTCGCCAATTATGGGTTTTCGAGGTCATTTCTTGGTGATTGTGTATTATTCTGGATGTACTTAAATAGTTAGGCACATTAAATTTTAGTTCAGGGAGAAAAAGTATTTTTTGGCCAAAAATCCTTTAAGGTAATAGACTTACAATTTTTGTCATTTTCGGCCAAAAATGGATTTTGTTCAAAATTTCAGTATAGGTACTCCTGAATGTGCTGCTTAAGGATCTGTTAACCAAAATTTGATATCTTGATTATAACTTGTTCAAATGGCTTTTAGAAAATGTTCAAATGATTTTTAGAATATTTTAATTACTTTTGGTAATGCTAATTACTCGCCACTTATGGGTTTTTGAGGTCATTTCTTGGTGCTTGTGTATTATTCTGGATGTACTTAAATAGTTAGGCACATTTATTTTTAGTTCAGAGAGAAAACGTATTTTTGGCCAAAAATCCTTTAAGGCTATAGACTTACAATTTTCTTCATTTCGGCCAAAAAATGGATTTTGTTCAAAATTTCAGTATAGGTACTCCTGAATGTGCTGCTTAAGGATCTGTTAACCAAAATTTGATATCTTGATTATAACTTGTTCAAATGGCTTTTAGAAAATATTCAAATGATTTTTAGAATATTTTAATTACTTTTGCAATGCTAATTACTCGCCACTTATGGGTTTTCGAGGTCATTTCTTGGTGCTTGTGTATTATTCTGGATGTACTTAAATAGTTAGGCACATTAAATTTTAGTTCAGAGAGAAAACGTATTTTTGGCCAAAAATCCTTTAAGGCTATAGACTTACAATTTTTGTCATTTTCGGCCAAAAAATGGATTTTGTTCAAAATTTCAGTATAGGTAGCCAATAATATACAGAAAAGTATATACGAGATTTTTATTTCACAGTAAGTGAAAGCTGATTTACTTCTTTATACAATATTAATACCCAGAAACTTTATTTCCAACAGCTCAGGTGTATGTGGCAGTGGCAGGTGGTGTGTCATTTGAGTATGCAACTATGCCAGTGTTGGTAGAACTAGCTATTGAGATTGGCTATCCTATTCCTGAAAGTGTCACTGGAGCCATTCTCACCTTCTGCTTCAATCTGGTTGCCTTGGTCTTTCTTGGTCTTTATCAAATCAACAGCAGCAGTAAGTGGATCTTATATGCATATGTAAATACAGTTTATGTTCAGGATTTCTATACTTTGATAATTATCGGTAATTACAAATTTCAGGAAGTTTTCTTGTCATTTTTTGAAGGACTTTGAGGCAGTTTATCAGAGTTCAAGAACTCTCCAACCCACAGACAGTAAAGAGTTTTCCCCATACTTGAAGATGAAAAGCCAAGTTTCATGATGAATAAGATTGATCTCTTAATCAAGGAAAGAAAAAAAGTGATTTTGTCTAAGTATTGGTAGACTTATTATATACTCCTGGCACTGAGGATGGGGGGGGGGGGTCGTGTCCATTGTTCATTACTTTTTTTTTTACTTTTGTCCTCTTTGCCACTGATCGGCTCGTTAGCCGCTTGGGCGGTTGGTCATATCTCTGATATGTACTGTTGGCAGATACTGGGCATGCACTGGCTCCTGCACTGGGTGTATGGCATTACCCTTTTATTTTCTTATTCTACAATGCAGTATATACCAAGACCTTTGAAAAAAATCTGGGTGTCAAAATTTACACTAAAGATGAAAATTGTCAACTGAATGAACATAATATACACAATTACAATCAATTATCTGAAGAATGAAACATAGATTTAAATTAAATTGGAATTTTTTATAAATTTTGTGCTTTTACAATAAAAGAACCTTCCACACTTTACCCTAGCTAACCCACAATGGCAAATGGGTTCACAAGCACATTTCAGGATGCAATCATGCTGCCAAATTCTAAAATAAATATGCTAGGCCTCACCATTTCCTCTAATATGTCATGGAAGCCACACATTCACAACATTGCTAAAGCTGCCTGCCGAAAGCTGTACAGATGCCGTAGCTACTTCACTCCTGAGCAGTTACTTGGAGTACTGCTCTCATTTTTGGGGTGGCTCTTCTTCTGTCCATCTGTTAGATAGGGTGGAATCAAGGGCATTTCGTCTTATTAACTCTCCTCCTTTAATTGATAATAATCTCTTTCCTTTCTCTTTGCCGCAATGTTGCTTCACTCTCTCTTTTAAAGGGACTTTAACGGGCAATGTTCGGTGGATTTGGCATCCTGTGTACCACCAGCAAGGTCGTGGGCTCCTAACACTCGTCTTGCCCGTGGTGCCCAGCATTTCTGTGTTGATGTCAGTCACACTAGGATAACCCATCACAGTAAATCCTTTTTTCTTCACACAGCAAAACTGTGGAATGCTCTGCCTTCTTCTGTGTTTCTATACTCTTACAATCTGTCTCACTTCAAAAAGCTGGTTTTCCAGCATCTTCGTGGTGTACATTAATACCTGTATACTGTAGTCTTTTTTTCTTCATACAGTATATTTAATTTATTTTTACTCTTATCCCCCCCCCCTGGCTCCATTGTGGGTCGATGACCTGTGCCCGGGTGGGCTATTCCCCATAAAAAAAAAAAACTAACTACCTGTACTGTAATTTAGCACCTAGTGCATTAAGAAATTAATGAAATATAAATTTGGTACATTACCTTAAGGGACCATAGCATTTGTATAGGGAGAAAGGGGTGTAAGAAATTAATATTTGTATAAGGGAATATTCACAGAACAAACGAAACAACCTTGTAAAGGACTACCAACACTGTTTTATGCCGAGACACTCCTGCTTAACAACAATTACTCTAGGTGCAGGCTGTTTGGACTCAAATTCTGGAACAGGGCGGTAATATCAACACGTACCGAGAATTTGCCAAGGCTTTCAACAGCGTACATCATGAAAAGCTGAGAATTTAACTGGAAAAATACGGGATTTGGGGAAGTGTCCTAGTGTGGATCGTAGACTTTCTTCATGACTGCAAACAGTGTGTGGTGATTAATGGCACGAAATCACCATGTATACCCGTGACAAGTGGGGTACCACAAGGCAGTGTACTGGGTCCATTATTGTTTGTTTGTTTCATATATGACATGCCAGAAGCTATACACTCCTCCATACAAATGTTTGCAGTTGATGCCAAGTTATTCTGCAAAATTAAGAACCAATCAGACTGTAAAGAGCTACAGATTGATCTCTATCAGCTTCAAGAGTGGTTGAAGAAATACCTGCTGAGATTCAATGTCACAAAGTGTAAGAGGATGCACCTGGGTCGTACCAACAGTAATGAGGCATATCATATGTCCTAACAGGATGAAGAAACTGCATTAATAAAGAAGCTGCACTAATACAGACCGAATGTGAAAAGTACTTGGGTGTGAATGTTGATAATGAACTGAAGTTTTTGTACCATTGTGAGAAGAATGTACTGCAAATCAAGCAACTAAACTAGTAAGTCTTATAAGAAGGGTGTTCAGATATCTAGACGGTCTGTCCCTCGTAACGCTCTTCAAGAGTGAGGTGCTTCCCCATCTGGAGTACAATATCTTCTCTACTTATGAGCTTTCAACTGACGAACTTTCATACAAATGAACAAACCTGTCTGTAGGTCCAAATTTCTGTTCGGTGCAAAAGCACAATAGTCGTTAGTTCTACCGATGTTCAATAGATGACATTAGTGCACTACTCCCTACATTCCCAGCCAAGCAGTAGCCATTTTAATTGTTGTTGTCTCGTTGTTTAAAGTGTTACTGTGGTATAGTTTGGTTTCTTGTGGCTTTTATCGACATTATTGACCCCAATATGTCCGAGAAGCATAAAGGTAGTGCCAGTGATGAGTGCGCGAGTAAGAAAAGATGCATGATTACAATGGAAACGAATGTGGCAATAATGAAGCACATGGAAAGAGCTGTTAAGATGACAAATGTGGCTCATACTTTTGGACTGAATTATTAAAATTTTGGTATGATTTTAAAGGACAAAGAAAGAATTATGGAGCATGTAAAACTTTCTGTGGCTATGCAATCGACCATAATAAGTAAAAAAATAGGAAAATTGCATGAAAAGATGAAGAAACTTTTGTGTTTGTGGTTGAAGGACCAAAATCAACGTTGCATGATGGAGTACTGTGCCGTGGGTATGCCGTACATAAGGTATTTTTCATATTTAACACAGTGTTTGCAAGCGATAGAGGTGAATTTGGACTTACAAATTAATGGACTTACGAACAAGTCTCCGGAACCAATTATGTAATAAGTAGGGGAATAGAGGTAATGAAAAAATGGCACATATACAGACAGATAAAAAAATGAGCACTTCTCACATGACAAATGGTGGAACGAAAGAAGCAAGCTGGGGAAGAGGTGGGAGACAGAGGGAGTTTGTTATGATTAGTGAGCGAGAACACATCTCTGTGCATCTCTCCAAGATGGCCAGCCCTGCTGACTCCCAGGGGCACATAATCTGAAAGCGAGGGATAAGCTACCTGTATGTACTTGACCATAAAATCATTTAGTACTGTAAGGAGGTCCCCGGGTTACGAATGGGTTCCGTTCCTGAGTACTGTACATTCTTAAGTTGGATTTGTACGCAAGTCGGAACACACACAGTGGCGACCTCACTGAGTGAGGACGTGTCCCCTGGCGCTCCACAGCAGCCAAGGTCATCACGTCGACCTATAGCTAATTTAAAGCAGTTCAGTACTTTTTACGGAAAGACGGTGCGTATTTTCAATGTGTCAGTGACTGAGTGCTAAACTTGTGAATACAGGTACTCCCCGACTTACGACCTACACGACTTACGACCGCCCTCACTTATGACCTGCCTCAGTCGTACCAAAATTTGGTAAAATTACATAATTTTGAGTCCCAATGTCAGTGACTGCGCTGTGTACTGACAAAATTTTCGTTTGTAATTCACTTTAAAATGGCTGGCAAGCTTAAAAGTGAGAGTTTTGTGGTGCTGAGAAAAAAGAGACACCCATTTTAGATTTTCTGTTTATTATCTAAGCATTTCGATTTACGACCATTTCGAATTACGACCTAGATTTGGGTCCCTAACACTGTCGTAAGTCGGGGAGGAGCTGTATGTGCGTCCCAGTGTCACGATACCGTCGCACCGACCAGTTCCAGCTGAAGTCCGGTGCTGGCTATCCTCCATGCCACACCATCACTCTACTAAAAGCGCTGAGAATCTTTCACAACCGCAGCTGCAGATGGGGTCGCCGCATTTCCAGACGAATCCCTATCATCATGTCGAGCAAGCATAAGAAAGTCAAGCCAGTGCCAGAAAGACAGTGTGCTCGCTATGAAGTGCCGCAAGTATGGTACAGCCTACCATCCCTATTGCTGTCCAATGTTACATCTTTATGCAACAAGGTGGAGGAGGTCAGTGTTACAGTGAAGTCAGTTGGTGCAGGTATTGTGGCGATTACCGAGGCATGGCAAATTGTTCCTGAGATCTGTGCCATAGAAAACTATGAGTTATTTCACCACCTTAGGAAAGACAGAGTATGTGGTGGTGTAGTTGCTTACTGCCGCTGTGACCTTAAACCATCACACCTAGGTGTTAATGTACCTGAGGATGTAGAAATTTTGTGGGTTAAGGTCACTCCCACCTCCCACCCCCGCCAGCTTGTCTCCCTCATTGCTTGTGTGGCTTATCACCCCCCGCGCTCACCTACCGCCAATGCACTAATTACTCATATAATAGTCACTGCTGACTCCCTGAGATCCAGATTTCCATGTGCTAAGCTAGTGATATGAGGTGACTTTAATGAGTTAGACATCAGCAACATCACCCAACACCTCCACCTTGCACAAATAGTTGACTTTCCTACACATGGGAATGCCACCCTGGACCTCATCATGACTGACCTCAGCAACCACTACCTTCCCCCCAGCCGCTGCCCCCCATGGGGCGGAGCACCCACCTGTCTCTACTGTGGTCACCTACACCTACCATCTCACGACCGCCAGTTGTCACCAGGACTTACCAACCTACCCCTGACTCTGCCATGCGGCGTTTCGGACAATGGGTGACCCGGTATCCCTGGACTGAAGTGATCACGGTAGACGAAGTGCAGAACAAGTGGGATAATTACCTGGACACTATCACCAAAGCCTACCACCACTTCTTTCCAGCCAAGACACTGAGGATCCACCCCGATGATGTCCCATGGATTACACCCCGTATCAAAAGACTAATTGAGCAGTGCAACAAGGCATACTACACCAACAACTGCCTGTCCAAAAGCCTACATAACCAGATCATCAGGGAAATCAAGTCAGCCAAGAAGTCTTATTATCCCAGGAAAGTGCACGGCCTAAAGGAGGTCGGCATTGGTCAGTGGTACTCTAAGGTAAAAGATCTCTGTGGTTTTAACCACATTTCCTTTATCTCTCATTTACCTAGTGAGGAGGCAGCTGAGACAATTAATAATCACTTTGCTACCATATGTCATACCCTCCCCAGTCTTGACCTCACTCTCCTCCCGGCCTACTTACCTTACCCCTCCTCCCCTCCCAGTGTTCAACCATTTGAAATTGCCAACAAACTCCTTAAATTTAAATCCAAATGCTCTACAACCCCAATTGACCTCCCAATCAAAATTTACAAGGCATTTTCAGTCGAACTTGCCACCCCTTCTGTTCAATTATTAATGCATCCCTCAGACAAAGCAAATGCCCCAATGAATGGAAAACCACATTTGTCACCCCTATCCCCAAGGTCCCCACCCCACAGTCCCCTAGTGACCTCAGGCCACTTGCCATTACCCCCATACCCAGTCTACTCTGTGAAGACTTGTTTTTGAATGGGCATTTGCTAGTATTTATCAGTCAATTGATCCACAGCAATTTGGCAATATGAGGACCTCCTCTACATCACACTGCTTAGTTATTTTCCTGGATTTCTTGCACAAAAACCTGGAGAAACGTAAGACATCACTGCCCACCAACCTGGTCTCATGGCACACTGATTTCCTGAGTGAGCGTCGTCAGGCAGTCATGTACCAGGGCTCCGTCCCCACATTCCAACACCTCACCTGCGGTGTTCAGGGGACCCACTGTGCTTCCTAATCCTGATCAACGACGCTCTATCAGACACTCCTCACAGGTGGAAATACATGGACGACTGCACTGTGGGGGTTACGGTGGACAACACCTCACCAGATTACTCATCGCTACAAGGCACCCTGGACAGGCTACAGGCATGGACTACGGAGAACAAGGTCATAATCAATCACACCAAAACCGTAGTCATGCACTTCAATACCGCCACCACTCCAGTGCAAGCTCCAGCAGTTACTTGTGGGTGCCCATCCTCTCCAGTGAGTGCAGTCTGCCAAACTCCTGGGTGTAACTATAGACCACAAACTGGACTGGAGGGCTCATGTAAACAATACTATCAAGGTAGCCTCGTACCGACTCTACATGCTACGACGACTCAGGTCTCTTGGGACACCCACGCCAGAGCTGAGGACTATCTACAACGCATTTATTCTCCCTAAATTAACACATGCATCACCAGCCTGTTCATCTTCTCTCAACTCTACCCAACAGCGTCAGCTAGAGAAGGTACAGAATAGGGCCTGCAGAATCATGCTCAGCGCAGACTACTCCGGCTACAACAAACGCTCTCTCTACCCTGGAAATGCCATCCCTCAGTGACCTCCACCACCACGCACTAGCAGGGTTTGGCAGTGCCCACCTCGTGCAGTCCGCCACTACAACAAAATTCAGCCCATAAGAGCCCACACTGATAGATATAAGAATAGCATCATCCCATCTATTGTTAAAATAATAAACAGCTCCTGATTTATGTAATGTGCAGCCCTGTAAATGTATTGAACGTATATTATTATGTCTAAATCACATGTAAGTTTGTATATTTTCAGCCACCGGCTGCAACTCTATTAATAAACCGTATATTATTATTATTACTATTATTATTATTATTATTATTATTATTATCATTCTTATTATGCTATATGCATACCGTACTTACAGAACACAGTTTAAAATCTCATTATATCATAGCCTTATATACTGTACTGTACTTCTAAAATCACTTAACGCGGTTTCACTTAACGCGATTTCTCATATACGCGGTTCCTCGCCAGACCCGAACTTTCACTTAACGCAGTTCATCTACTCGTATACGCGGGAAGCGGCGCGGGCACGATGCGCACAAGGTCGCCCAGTCATCAAAACATTACCGAGTTCTTCACCCGCCACCCACAACAGCCGGCCCAAGTCAGTGATAGTGATAATTATAGTGAGGATATGGACTTATATGGACTTTGAGGGGTTTGACAAAGAGGCCCTGCAAGCCTCTGTGGTGGATAGTGATACAATTGATACAAGTGATACAGGTGAGGGACAATAATCTGCCCTCTGCCTCGGAACCAACCCCCCATCCCCGTGTGCCCAGCCATCTTTTCTACTAATGTAAGTGTTAAAAAACCTAATATTATTGATATTTCTCTTAATTATTAATTGTGTGTGCATACCATCATAAAGTTAAGATAATATTTTTACTACAACATAGTTGTGTGTCGTCAAAAAATGGAGTTTGGGGGTCGGACCAGTCTCTATTGGAATTAATCCCATATGTTCTGTTGTTCACTTAACGCGGTTTTCACTTAACGCGGTACCCTGTGGGTTCAATTGACCGCATTAAGCGAGGTACAACTGTAAATGAAAGTAAAAAATAAGTCATCAGGTAAATAAAATACTATAAATTTCAAGTTTAACCCCATTCATCTTCTCACAAATGCTGTACTATAAGTGCTCATTATTAGAACTACCTTTCCATTTCAGCATAATTATGCCATACTGTACTGTATTTTCATATAAATATCTCAGCATGGTTACAGTGTACTGTTGTACAGGGTCTAGTATTCTTTAGTTACTTTACCGGCAGATTACTTATCTAATTATTTGATACATCCAATTACTGTATATTAATGATTAATGTTGGTGATTTGTATTACAGCTCACACATGGGTTAGTTGGGTCCTCTTCGCCTGTGTCTCACTGACTGTGCTGCCGCTCTTGTTTGTGAAAGAGACACACAAGAGATCTGATACAGATAGAAAATATATATAGTGAGATATTAGATTATATAATAATTAATATGGTTCCAACTAATGAAGGTAATCATGCATAAATTTCAGAAGAATCCTCATGAAAGATGTACAGTATATATACAGTATAAATATTAGTCATGTGATGATGTCACATGAATTTAATTAGCTATGGTTTACATAAGTATTTGTTAATAAACTACTTAGCAAATTTTTTGTACAGGAATATCATTACAAAAAGATTATATTTTTAAAAATAGCTTTGTAACATTCATAATACTGTACTGATAACTATGTAAATTAATGTAAGGTTTTACAAATAACTAACTGTATCACGAAGCTCACTTCAATGTCTTATTATCAATTTAAAAAATCTCTGTTATTTTGATTACATATTTATATCTGTCCACCAACCTAACTAACTAACTGTAATGGATGAGGTGAAACTGAAATAGACCCTATCATCTTCTGCTTATACTGGTTAAGGCAAAGTGAATTGTGGCATCCACACTGCTTGCATGTTAGCAATTATTCACTGCTCGTCAATGCAATACATTAGTAAATTTAATAAGCATTCTATATCAGTTCACTCCTCCAATTATACACTTCTCCTATGGAGTGTATGAGTTTGTAAAATCCCATAGTTATTTAGTGATGTAATGCTGTAATTGAAAAGATATTACAGAGGTCACAAAAACTTGCCCTTGACCAAGCTGCCACAAGAAATATAGTGTATTGACATACCAGATGAGAATCATAGAAGTAACTTTTGCAGAGGCATCACACTCAAATGGACAAATATCTAACTTCACCAAGCAGTACAGTACAGGTACTTCCTTGATGCCAGTGAATGTGTTGCTGGTTTGGCTAGTCAATGAAACATGTCTTAAAATGGAATTATAAAGAGCCCTTTAATTGTTGAGCTATTTACTGGTGTATATAGCAGACCCTCAATAAATTGCAAGAGTTGGACTGAAAATTACTGTGAAATAGCAAATTGCAATACCTTGTATATCAATTTATTTCAGTAGGAAATATAGGGGACGGTACAGGAGCCCCCCCCCCAAAAAAAAAAAATTAATAATAATTATATAAAGCATTAGTTCACCCAGCATCTTGATTTTTTCCTTGATTAAGAAAGTCTTATGAGACTTATAGTGCTTGAAGTGGTAGAAGAGGCATTTGAAGGATGCTAAGGCATCTTGAGGTGTTGATGGGAACTGACAACTGTTGCACGTGGTTGAAAGTTATGGAAAGGCAGGGCAAGTGGTGTCCATGGTTGAATGTAGAAGAGTGAGCAAGTGTGGCTGGCCTCGGGTGAGATCTCCATGCTGCCATATAGTGAGATGTGGGGATAAACTTTTGCTTGTTGTCAGCTGATAAATGCAGTTGTCTATTTGAAAATATGGAATTTTTCTGGACTAACACTGTGCAGTAAAGAAATATGGGAGTAAATTTTGGATGCTGTGAAAAAAAAGTGAAGTACTGTATCGAACCACAAAATAATGGGGGTCTACTGTAATTTCTGATTGTTGATTTCCATAGATACTTAATGGCTTAATAACAATTTAAGACTCCAGGGTAACAATCACTTGGTAATGTGAACAAGCAGATAATGAATGAGTTTAAAGTGCAACCTAACTTTAAATAAACTGTTTATGACCGAGAACAAAATAGAAGTTCAAGACAGACTGCCCAAGAAGTGATGTTAAAACTTCACTTACAAGGGAAACCCAGGACATACCTTTGAATTATTAGAAATTCTGATACAGTCCAGAAAACCGTGAGGGCAAACTTTTTCGGAGTGAGGGTTGTAAACTCTTGGAACAATCTACCAGAGTGTTGTGATGGCACCGAGTGTGAGCTCTTTCAAGACAAGACTTGACCAACACTGGAGCGGGTTCAGGTACATTCAGGAGCCGGTGCATGCCCAGTATTTGCCAACAGTGCGTGACAGAGACGTGACCAATCGCCCGGGCGGCTAGCGAGCCGATCTTTTGATGAAGAAGATTAATGAAAAGAGACGTGACCGATCGCCCAAGCGGCTAACAAGCCGATCAGTGGCAAAGAGGATAAAAGTAAAAGTACCCCCCATGCTCATGTAACCTTCAGTGCCATCCTCCTTTTGTTGTATACAAAAGTGTCAGTGTCAGGTTACACAAATTTAACTTTTTTGAGCCCATTTAGATGTTCTTCTAGAACAGTTTCAGAGGGTAAAAATTCACTATAAGATGTATTGTAGTCCCATTTGAGATACATTGCCCCACCACCCTCACTTCACTGCTAAAAGGCAGGGTCGCTTGTGATGAATGAGCACCATATCATCAACACAAACATTGGGAGTCTGAAGTTAGGTACTTGTGGTGCCACCAATTCCAAAAGTGATTGCAGATACTACTACTTAGGTATGTAAAATATGGAAACATTTGCAACTGTTAGAGTATAATGAATCAGAATCAAGGTCAAGCTGTGGGGATCACTGGAGTAGGACCTCAGTCAATGGCACATATTTGGGCACTAAGGTCTTAGGATTATCAAGGTCATTGGATATGTACACTCACTCCAAAAAGTATCTTTACTATTTTGTGACACAATATGACACAACAGACGAAGGATTTTGACAACCCGACTGAAACAACAATTTGAAATTCATCGGAACCCCTCCATAATGATACTTTCTGGAGCGAGTGTACATTAATGGATGATCATGAACACATACTTCTACCTCAGCCATTTCCATCATAAAACAGGTAGTGTTGAGCTAAGGGGCTTTTAGCAAAAATTAAATGGCACTCTTAGGCAGTATTTCCACAAAAGTTTCATACTTGTGGTTCATCAACTTGTTTTTGCATAAACTCTGCTGCCAAATAGAAATAAGGAGCATTATCCCTTGTCAATGCTTAAACTGACAAGTTCCTTACTCATATTTTCCCATTTGATGGAAGTGGGGAATTGACCAACTCTGGTAATTATTCAACACAAGAAATGGTTAATTTGGTTACACATTAACTAAGTAAAAAAAAAAAAACAAGAGAGAAATTTAGTTATTAAGTCAGTTAGTGCTGTATGTTTAATCCTGCGATGACAGCACATCCTGCCTTCTCCCACAAAACAAGCCATGTTGATGTACCAAATTCAGTGGTCTCTCCCTGCTCTCACCTTTTAATAATTATACTTTGTCATGGTAAGCCTCTGCTTGTAAAAAATGTGATGACTTAGGTCTCTGCTTGATAGGGTTCAGCAGTGAACAACTTAAGCAAAGACTGCCTCTAGCCACATTTTAAGTTCTTATATGGAATGGTTGTAACTGTACTATAATTCGACCAGCTGATGACAGCATTAGCCAACATCTGTAGGTTGGGTGTGGCACATACAAGCTATGATATCTAAATGTTAAGGATGGCTCATAATTGAGCCATCTGGGCCTTCAACAAAGTGGTGACTTAAAAGGAGACTTCACAGGGGTATAACAAAGGGCCCTGGTAGAGAACAATCCCCCCACTGCCACCTTACCCCCAGTGACAAGGTTGCTAGGCTTGTCATCCATGAGAATATACAGTAATGGGTTTGCATCTTCGGAAATAGTGAATTGATTGGATCAACCCTATGCCTTACATTGGCTGGATCTATGGACTATGAAACCAGTGTATGACAATCAGATTGTCCCCATAGGTGAACTGAGTCAACTTTAAGTTCCACTTTATAAGCATCTAATATGAATGTAGCTAATCTAGAAGCCAAGGTTACTGCAGTTAATTCTAGCTTAAGTATCATCGCCACATGAGCAGGTGCCACTTTGAGCCCAGGCAGCAATGAAGTGGCTGACAATGTGGTCAGTTCCAGAAGTACCTGAACAACTAAATATGTCTCATTAGCATGATACAGTTTGGCTGGCATCATAAAAATAGTTAAGTTTGATTACACTAGAAATGGTCAATTGCTAGGAAATCCCTACAATTTGGCACACTTTTAAAGAATCTTGTACAATAGACCAGTACAGTCAGTAGGAACTGGGAATAATTTACCTTCAAAGAATACTACCTTAAAGCACAATGCATTTAATGAAAATTTTCAGATCACTAGGACAAGAGGGCCACAGGAACCAGTTGGCATTTCTATCACATAGATTAGAAATGAGTTCCTACTTGCACGAGTTATAAGCAAGCAGAGGTCTTACTTACTGTGACAGTGCAATCATAAAGATTCTCAATTTCTTAGTATTGTACTGTAGATCCTTATTTTACCACACATGTTGTGCTAAGTAGTGACATAACTCACCATATTGGCATGAATTACCAATCTTCACAATGAATCCATTTACATCAATTGTAAATAGTTGATGAGTGCCTTTTGACCCACAACAACAGTGATCATCTATATAATCAGGATCTTTCTGCTCCATAGCTACGGGTAATTTATAAGTTTGGCACCTAATTTCTGATCGAGTGAATTATTGTGACTTGTGGTAACTTTTCCTTCCCTGCATTGGTCCCTCCCTGTACCTGCAACATTTTTTGTCACCATGGAGAAAGTATCTGACATTTCCAGTGATGCGCTGTGTAGAAAGCCCCTCGCTGCAGTACTGTTGCCTTGACACCCAGATGAATAAGTAATATATTACTGTAAGAGAAACAGGAAATGCGGGTAAGATTGACGAACTGGTATATTCACCAAGTAAACTCTGAGATGATCACGTATGTGTGAGCTTCAGCAAAAGTGACACTGATGAATTAGTCACCAGTGTAAGAGAAGTGCTCAGAGACCAGGAGAAAAGTGACTACGAGAGTAAGGTTGAAGTGTTTATTCACATGCTGCACATGGTGCAGGAGACTGGAGTAGTGGTGATGATTTGGATCACAAAATCTTTGTGGAAAATTGACAGTACAACACCACTATGAATGAAATTTTGCTTGTTTTTGCTCTTACCATATTGATGTCCCATACCTATAAACCTGTTCTTTATAATTATTGGAAGAAATATGACCATCTGAGGACACCGGTGTTTGGGAAGTACATACTGTATATGGACAGAGACAGATATCGACAGCATTTTCAAGACTCAAAATCCACGTTCTTAAGCCCAGTCCTATCAAGTCCCAATCTCCATTATTATATAAAATGGAAAATAAATTATAAATATAATTATTTTCATTTTGACACCTTGTTTTATTTTATTTCTCAACACAATAAATTATTTCTTCTTACTGAAAATTTTCATTAGCCTAAAATGTAGCAGGAGAGAATGAGGGGGTCAAGGAATAGTTACCTTCCAATAAAGCTTATCCTTTTTACTCAGGTAAAATTACAAATTACTATACATGTAGTTTTTTTTTTCAATTACAGTATTGAAAAAGTTATGTTAAGATGAATCATACACCACAAGAGGCTGATCATATGAAAATAAATAATAATCAATAATGAAAATACAGCAGGTCCAAAGCTGGGACATACTCTTTATAATTTCCAAGTACGGTACTGTCTTCCCAAGTCTCGGTTTGCAGTAAAAAAAACAATATTTTGGAATCATAAAGCATGACTTTATAAGGCTCATTTATATCCCAGTCAGGATTACTGTTTACAAGCATGGAAACCCTACCTCCTGAAAAACTTAACATCCCTTGAAAAGGTACAATACAGAGCAACCAAGATGATTTCGGAACTAAGTCATCTTGATTATTCAAGTAGACAGGGTCTTAGGACTAACATCTCTTAAGACAAGGTACAATAGGGCAGATCTTATAGAGACATTCAAAAACTTGTAAAGGATGGAAAACATGAACCTGGGCCATTTTTTTGTGATGTCATGCACCACATTTGAGGACATAATTACTGTACAAGCTTGCCAAGTTATCATGCAGAATGAACACAAGGAAATATTTCTTCATACAGAGGGTGGTCGACCTATGGCATCATTTACCAGGCCGAAAGTAGGAAGTGATAAAGTAAGCTATGGAATAAAAAACAATGGAAGGATCCTACACAGGCCACTGGCATCTTTCCCTTAGCATGGTCACCTCTAGTGGGTGGCCATTAGGTAAACAAGGTAAAAGTACCTCCCACCTAATCACATACACAGTACAGTATATTCCCTCCTATTGTTTGTGGCTCTTCCTAGACATATAGGAAATCTGACTACACTATTGTAATCATTGACCAAGTCTTGTTCTTTTCAGAAGAAAATTTTATTATTTTATTTTTTAACCCTTCATTTTACCCATCAGGACAAATTAATCTAGGTAAAAAACTCACTGTAATATAAACATAAATAAAGACCACAATAATTAAAAGGTACAAAAGGACAGTACTTCTTCCAAGGAAATTTCACAATGCAGTACAGTATAGTACTGTAGTGGATTCCTCCCCTACAAGCACTGAACCTTCTCGAATTCCCCAGCCTACGCCTCCAGCGCCGCCTACGGAGCGGGGGTCAACTATCTACCCACGCCTACCCCCGCCTTATAAGACCTGACACCGCTGTGACCAGCCTCTTTTCTACCCAGTGCCACCAGCAAGCAACACCTCCTCCTCCGCGCCAGCCTGGCGGCTCCCGCTCCCGCCGGCGACCTAGGCGTCCCTTAAGCCACGTGCCCTCACTCTGGGCACCCTCACCACCCAGCTCTCTCTACTCAACGCTTATTACCATGCTACCTACCCAGCAACAAGCTGCATTGTACATCCAATACAATATGTATACAGTGAGCACATTGTGAGTTTCCTTTCTCCATCCCATCCTGAGTGTGAACCAACATCTCGTACCCCACAATTGGTGACCCCGGAGGTTCGCACTCACACAGGATGGAGGAGAAACATCTCACATAACCCCACAGTACTGTATAAACCACATCTTCCTTTGGGGCATATGACAGAATCCTCAAAGTGCTGCAGAAGGAATTCAGTTCTTTGAGCTTAATTCATGTGTTATATAACTCCCAAGTTTGTTAAGGCCCGAGTTAGTGGGTTATAGTGCAATCTGTGATGTGTTATTGCTGCCATAGTCCTTAGAATAATTTAAGGCTAAATCAACTGGAAAATTACTAACCGTTGGGGCTTAAAATGTTTGATTTTTAGTCATATCAGAAGGTTAACTAGTTTTGAAAAGTTTGCTAATGCAGGAACCAAACTTTTTATGGATTAAGCAGCACAGTCTTACAGTGATCTTCAAATCCCATCATCATGTACAGTTGCCTCAAAGAGTTCCTTTACCCCCTTGTGGTGATGTTTACATAAATGTGGCAGTGTCGCATTGACAAATTTATAAATGAGTGGGTAGTAGTCTTGTAATGATGAAGCTAATTGATAGATAAATTCAGGTGCTGGGCATCAGAAAATGGGGGTTGGGGTGGGGGAAGTCCCTGCCCCAGAGGTAAAACTGTGAGGGTTACCCCACCGTCATACTATCGTGTTAGATAAGTAATCCTCCTCAATCCTGTTTTGAAATTTCATGATGACTCTGAGCACACCTGTGAAGACAACCCCCACCACTGCCATAACCACAGCACCACACTCCACAATACAGGTCGGGACTCGAAAATACGTAATTTGAAAATTTTTTGGTACTACTGGGGCGGTCGTATGTCCGGGTGGTCGTCAGTCGAGTAGGTCATAAGTCGAGGATTACCTGTATACAGTGGCGTTTCTAGCCTTTGGAAAGTGGGGGTGCCACTTTGGGGCCAAGGTAAATGTTGGGGGGGGCAAAACCAAACCTGTGTACAACTTGCAAGATGCAGTTTTTGGCATTATTGCACCAATTTGATTGACAAATGTGAAGAGACGTCTCTCATGACGCCAGCCTAAAATAATCAGCATATGGCAGTATAATGGCAACGCTCCACTAATCATGATTCATTGGGGTATTGACACACTTGAACATATCTCTAAAACTGTATTATTGCTCACATAGTCACATAAAGGGCGGGTGTACCACATAACAACCATTGAAAAATATAGCAGTGTCTTTACAATGTATGTACATACATCAGCGAAAAAATGAATGATCTCACGCAACACACATAATGGAGACAACGTTTACGTTTTCAGACATGGGCGCCGAATGCAACTGTTACATTATACCCAATGGCAAATGGCAATGGTGCGGTTTCATTTCACACGGTACTGTGACGGTAGCAGTATATTCAGCGCAGCTTAATACTACGATTATTATATCGGCTGCCAAACTAGTCGACAAAACAATCTAAATCAATTCCCTCAACGCGTGCACTTTCAATCGATAGTAGCGCGATGTTACTCAATCTGTCACTGGACATGGAATTTCTTAGGAATGTTTTCACGAATTTCATTTTCAAAAAGCTTCTCTCGCATGAAGCACTGGTAACAGGGAGAGTTACAGCTATCAACAGTAATTTATCCAAACAGTCAAATGCAGCCTTATAAGGGCATATAAATGACATAAATTGCACGAGCGATGAAGGTTGTTTATGTTCCTTCACGAGCAATTTCTTCACCAGAGGCATCTCATGTTGTAAATCACTTTGACTGACTGAGTATGTAACTGCAAATGCCTTCAAATCTTCTTCAGACAAGAATGTCTGTCCTTCTGGACAAAGAGCTGAAATCCCACAGAAAATTGCACAGGAATCATTGGAGAAACGCCTGTCTAATTCACTAATCAAACAGTCTAGGACTTCATTGAAGACGCCAATGTGCACATGACTTACGTCAGATCTTTGACCGGTCATTTCCAGCACAATGAATTCATCATTCTGTCGAGGTTTTCTGGTTCGCTTTCGTGTCTTTGTTGGTGAAATGCTGCATTTCTCACAGAGCTCATCAATCTTCTCGGAGTAATGCTCAATCAAGTTACAGTGGCGTTTATCAGCTAGATCTTTACGGAGCGACGAAATGAGCATTGCTGCTTTTCCAAAGTCTGCTTGCTTGTCCTGTAGCTGCTGTGATACTTTATCAACTTTTCCAAGAATCTCTGAGAAAAACTGCAATAAGTAAACAAATTCTGCATCTATTTGCGCAAGTAAACCTCGAGCGGATACTGCTCGTGCTCCAGTGTCTTCTGCAGAAGTCTCCTTCAATAGTCTTACTATGCATTCGAGACGCAGCAGAGCATTTTCACATGAGGTGGCCCGACACCACCACCGTGTATCACTCAGATGCTGCAGTTCTCGGACTTGTTCTCCTGGGAACATTTCTCGTTGTATAAAAATGAACCTCTCATGAACGACAGGGTTACAAGCGAAAATATAGAGTTCTTCAAGCAGACTGAAGAATTCGGCTGCTTGAGGCACATATTTAGCAGCATTGATCAAAACCAGATTGAGCCTGTGTCCACAGCAGTGTACATAATAGGCAAAAGGAGCTTTATCACGAATGCGTTTCTGAACACCACTGATTCCTCCACTCATGACTGAAGCTCCATCAAATCCTAAGCCAACAAGTGAAGATTTGTAATCCAAACTGAGTTTTTCCAAACTTTTCAAGATTACGTCCGTGATAGATGCAACATCCAACGACACCATGGGAGTGAAGGAAATGAAGCACTCCTGAATGCAATGTGATACTTCATCATAAAATCTGAGAACTATTGCCAACTGCTCTGTTTTACTAACATCCTCTGCTTCATCAGCTTGAACAGAAAAGTAATGACATGATTTCACACTTTCTGCAATTTCTTCTCTCACCATAGATGCGAGCGTGTCAATCATCATCTCATTCTGTATCGCAGAACTGGTGTATTTCTCATTCTTTGGACCACTTTTGACACGATCAGCTATAACAGGATCATGCTTGGCAGTGAATCTAAGGAACTTACGGATGTTTCCCTCCCAATTCCTGCCCTCCGGGCCTCACCTCACCTCGGTGATCTCACCTCACCTCACCCATGCCTGCATCTGGCGTGCGGCGCGCCCATTGCCTGAGTCACTTGACTCACTTCCTGGTTTTGAGAATGTTTTTGGAATTACAATTTTGAGAATAAAAAGTGGGAGGGGGGGGCCAACCCAGGGGCCAGCCTAAAATCTGGGGGGTCCATGGCCCCCCCGTAGAATTGCCCCTGCCTGTATAGTTGAGGTACCGAAGGTGTACAGTAGAGTCGACGCAAACCCCCGAATTATCAACACATCCAGTACTGAGAGATTGGAGCGCCTGAACTTGCCTAGCTTATACTACAGACGGGCACGGGGCGACCTAACTGAGGTGTATAAGCATCTCAAGGGGCACTACTCAGTCGAGTGTCCTTACTTGGAGCTGGCGGATGCCCACAAGGGGTCACAGCTCAAGATTGAAGAAGCCGCAGGTCCAGAAAACTGTGAAGGCAAACTTTTTCGGAGTGAGAGCTGTGAACTCTTGGAACAAACTGCTAGGAAGTGTTGTGATGGCACCGAGTGTAATTTATTTCAAGACCGGGTAAACGAATGACTTTATCTTCATAAAACTTAGAAAAATGGATGTTTGATGCACACTTAGGAAAACGTGGCATCCCTAAAATTACATCGAAATATACTTTGATGTTCTTCAAACACGAGCTGAGAATTTCAAGATCAGATGCTTCCCTGCTCAAAAGACCTTAATCCTAATTGCCCCTGAGGCATTATGGTCCTGAACATTACAATTGGAGCCCATTAAAATTAGGATCCATTGGAATTAGTACTTACTGGGATTAGTACTTACCTGTTATTACTAAGCTCCAATCCTAGTGGTTAGGTTAGGTTGTTACCAACTAGGTCTGGGACCTGTTTGATGTATCAACAGCTGATAGAGAAGACATGACGCCTCTAAAACACGAAGCCGGTTAGCTAATAGCCTGTAAAGAAGGATAATGGAACCATGACAGCATGGTGAGCATCATTTTATCTCAGTGTAGCAAGAACTTTCCAGGATAAATACAGATGCCTTTAAAACAGGTGAGTGTTATCACTTACCGGCACTAAGGTATAGACAGCACTACAAGTGACTACAATCCTCATACTCTGCACTGCGTATGTATTGTCTTGTTAGAGGCCTCTGATGACATTCTAAAAAATCCGAAACCACGAAACGAGGCAGATTCAAGACTTGAGCGAACCCGGCCAAACCTCGTCCCAGTGCTATAATAGACGAGTTTGGTCGTGCTTTACTCATTCGTTTCTTCACACAAGTAGCTTCAGACATTTTTGTCTTTCTCTATTATAATTATAAAGTGTAAGGCATTGTATTACACACAATTACAGTATATGCCACTCGTCTTTGGATGACTGAGTCTGATGTATCGAAAACAGCTCAAAGCGGTCTCCGAACTCTCGAAACACTTACTTACGTCATTGATGTCTCAAAGTTGCGTTTGTCAACTGGTGACAAAAAGTATCCAGAGTTTTTATATTGTTTATCCCGCTTTATTTGCTTATGAAAAACAAATAAACCACCGAAAATAAGACAAAATTGTATTAAACATAACAAATAACGATAGAAACATTTTAAATTATTTTTTTTTTACGAAGGTCAACGCTTTCGAAGACGTCTGTGTTGTCTCAGGATGAACAACCCAAACAACGACTAAAGTTCTAAACCAAACAGGGGCGGATCCAAGAATGTCAAATGGGGGGTCCGAGAAGTTGCGGGTTGGGGAACATGGCGAGCATAGCGAGCCCAAGCATTTTTTTTTTGGAGGGTGCTGTAAGCCTCCCCCCCCCCCAACCCAATTTATTTATTTTTAACCTGACCAATATCATGGGCATTTTGAGGCCATTTTGAAGTCAAAGATGAAATTTGCTTTCGAATGAAGTCTTTTCATTTTTTTTGTGCTGAACATAAAGCAAACAGAAACAAATGATACCAAAAATACAACACAATAGGTAATGAACTACAGTTTGTATGGCCGTATATATGGTAAATCAATTTATGTAACTCAGAACTTGATATAAATACATGCTTATATATACGCAGTCTGGGGCGTGGCCAGACGAGAGAGGGTGATGCACCGTAAAATGTAGTCTGTGACAATGCAAAACGATATTGTATCGGATCACCAGGAAGTTAAAAAAAATTTTGGTCTCTAAAGTTTAGCGACGTAGTACCGAAACAACGTTACGCAGGACGACGTTAAGCACGGACTTACTTTTAAAACTACAAAATAAGAAAAATGAAGAACATGCATGTGTACAGTATGTGCATGTGTTGTAACCAGGTGCTCTTCTCTCTTGACCTACTCAGTGGAGATGGCAGAAAAGTCATTCCCAATCACTGCATTTAATACCCCTTTCAGTTCATTATCAGTTTAGTTGGATGCCTTTTGACTTAATAAATACATGATCAGTGTTTCAACTCGACCTCACTTGCAATTCGCCTGTGGAACTCTTTTTCAGCCTTTCTGCACTCTGACTTTGCTTGGTTCCTGGACCTGGCACACATCCTCTTGCCCTGATCATCATTTTTCATAACCCACCTCTTAGGTTTGGGAATTTTTTCATAACTTTGTCAACTGCCTCATGGTTCATGTGTAACGGTCTCCCTGTAGTCCTGATGCCAGTGGGTTTCATTTTGGGTTTATTATTTATAATCAAATAGTTCACTTTACTGGTTATGATATTCAGCATAGTATCTGAGTCATCCCATGTAATTGCAGGTGATATTCTAAATTGAGTTACAGCATGGTTACAGGAAACAGAGTCAGCATTGATGGCACTAAATTCAATTGAGGTAACGTCACTAGTGGAGTGTCCCAGGCTCAATACTTGGATTACTCAGGGGAGGATCCAGGAATATCAAAAGAAGTTTTGGGTGGGGGAACATGACGAGCAAAGCAAGCCCACTCAACTGGGTTTTTTTGGGGGGGCCTAAGCCCCCCTCCCCCCCCCCCCGATTTTTTTTTAAATCTAACCATTATCATGGACATTTTGAGGCCATTTTGAAGCCATGTGCACCTGATATTAGGAGATATTCTGAGGTCAATAGTAATTACTTTTATGATACAGAAATGCTTGAATACAATATTGCATTAAAGAAAAAGTATTGTAATTTTTTGATGAAAAGGGGGGGTCTGGACCCCCACTGCATCCGCCCTTGTTACTACACAGGCTGTATTTATGATACAGTATACATAAGCAACATAGATATAGGTGTAGACAGCAACATAAGTAAATTTGCTGAAGACACTAAAATAGGGCGTGTAATTAAATCTGACGAGGACTCTACAAAACTGCGAGATCTAAATTTTTTTTTCTCTTGGTCTTAAAAATGGCAGATGAAATTTAATGTGGACAAATCCATAGTATACCTAGTCGAGGAGATGTAAACAGAGAAACCAGATAAAAGATGAACTACGTTGTTATAGAGAATTCTGACTGTGAGAAAAATTGAGGAGTAATGTTAAGTGGGAATCTTACACCAAGGCAACAATGTATATTTGCTCAAGACAAGGCTAACAAAGTATACTGCACAGTACTTCGGTTTATACAAAGAAGTGTTAAGTGTTAGTTACAAGACTAGTGAGGTAATCCTAAAAGTAATCTGAGCTTGTGAAACCTCACTTGGATTATGCAGTTCAGTTTTGGTCACCGTACTACATAATGGATATCGAATCCTTAGAAAGTATTAAGAAAAGGATGATAAGGCTAATCCCAGGCATTAGGAAGCTTGAGTATAGACATAAAAAGATCTGAATTTGTACTCCCTCGAGAAACGTAGAGGGGCAATGTGATTGAGGTATGTAAAAGGAAGTCAGGGTTAAACAAAGGTACTTTAACTATCCAACCAGAAGCAAACTCATAGCAATGGTTTCAAATTAGAAAAATTTAGATTTAGGCATGAGATAGGTAAACACTGGTTTGAAAATCAGGTAGTGGATGAGTGGAACAAGTTACAGAAAATCATTATTAACTTGAACACGCCGGGAAGCTTCAAATATAGGTTGGACAGATACAGGAGTGATAAGGGTTGGGTGTAAACAGGACTGCTTAGTATGGGCCAATGGACCAGCTACAGTTTCCTCCATTCTTATGTTCTTAAATACACTATTATATTTTTTGAAATCATTGGGTAGGCCTCCTTTGAAATATATATTATTACATAACTTCATCAAACTTGATTCATGTTGACTAGTATGTATAGTGCATAGTATGTATGGTGTATGTTGTGTAGTATGTGTATACAGTCTCTCCTCGACTTACGACGGGGTTCCATCCCGATGACCAGGTCGTAAGTCGAATTGGTCCCAAGTCGAAAAGGCGAAAATAATACATAGAAATTCTAAAATGGGTGTCTCCTTTTCTTCTCAGCACCACGAGAACTCTCACTTTTATGCTTGCCAGCCATTTTAGAGGGAATTACAAATGAAAATTTTGTTAGTACACAGTGCGATCACTAACGTCGGGACTCGAAAATACGTAATGTAAAAAATATTTTTTACGACCATGGCCGTCGTATGTCCGAGTTGTCGTAAGTCGAGGAGAGACTGTAGTGGAGGTTGCATATGTAGTGTAGTATGTAGTATGTTGTGTAGTATATATGGTGAATGTTGTGCAGCATGTATGATGTACATTGTGAAGTATGTATGGTGTATGATGCATAGTGTGTGCAATGTATTGTGTAAGTTCTGTAGTATACATGGTGCATGTGTATGATGTATGTTGTGTAGTATACATGGTGCATGTGTATGATGTATGTTGTGTAGTATACATGGTGCATGTGTATGATGTATGTTGTGTAGTATACATGGTGCATGTGTATAATGTATGTTGTGTAGTATACATGGTGTATGTTGTGTAGTATGTATGGGGTATGTTATGCAGTATGTATGATGGTTGTTATACAGTATGAATGATCACATGTGCACAGGGGGGTGATGGTTGAATGCTTGAGCACCTCCCCTTTTTGTCTCCAAGTCAAAAAGTGGCTTTACATACTAATGATATAAGGTTAAAATCAAAAGTTTAAAGTTGATCTCCTTCATTTATTTGGGTGATGATAACTTTTGTCATCTTCAAGTTCACATAATAATACATTCACCCTAGGGACAGAAGAAGGGGGCAGATAATGACACTCTGCAGTAGCAACAAGCCCTCTGAGAGACTCCTTTGACATTATATATTATTACCTGCTTGCAATTAATTCTCAGAGAGCTTTGGATAGAATCATGGGCGACATGTCATCAAAGAATCAGCTGATTTCCTTTGCATACCAAAATGACACACAAGGGTTAAAAAAAACTATAAAAATAAAGAATAAAAAATAATAAATAAAAAGCCTCCGTGAAAAAGAAGCTTCTATGTCTACAAAAGTAAAGGACCAATTAATTTACAAGGTATCAGTTCCCTCTTATAAAGAAAATGGTTTACTGCATGCGAACAATCTACAGTACTGTATGTCAGATTTACAAGAGTACATATTAGAAACGATTTAAATTAAGAAACATGAATTACAATATAAAGTTCAAGGGTTGTCAACTGAATACACTGGCCATGTCTGACCTGATTCTATGATATCATGACCCTGGAGGCTCTAATGTGGGGAGTCTTGGAAATTCGTACGTGGTCTCTCGCATCAACAAAGGCGGTAGGGAATTTTATATTAATATTTTTTCGTGGTGATTATGCCTCAAAACTAAATAAAAATTGCCCTTTTTTAACGTTTAAAATGGACAGTGATATTGTAACATGTAAAAGTTTTACAATCTTTGTGATTATAAAATTGATGTGCCCATTGTGGGGTGAGAGACCACATATTCAATAAAAATTACATACCCCAGGGTTGACTGTTTCCCAAGATATGATTCATCCCAGTCTACTCTTGGATGTGTAACACATTGGCCTACAAGAACACACATCTTTGCTATACATACTTCATTTGAGGCACATGAACAGGCTAAACAAGGCAAGTAAAGCTCATATATGCTTAAGTGAATCACAGTTTGAAGTTAAGTCATTATAGCCTTCAGTGAGACTATAATAAATTGGATGGTGAATAGAGGCCATTCCAGAGTACCTTGGAATAACACCCCAATGTCATTTTGTTGTACTTCCTCAGTGAGGTTAAATACCAAGCTTAGCCTGAAATCCTGTAGCACCGAGAGAGAGAAAAAAATTGGCAACTTGGCCCTTGGACATACAATTGGAAAATATTAAGGAATATGTTCTTGCAAAACCCATGGAAAGACATCCCCACTGTGTATGTATATGTATGTGTGTGTGTGTGAGTGCTTGGGAAGATGAACAGCGGTTTTAAGCAGATGCTCGCTATGTCAGGATATCATGATTATCAAATAATTACATAAATCCAAGTTGCGTTAACTTTTTTTTTCAGATTTCATTTCAACAGGAGGAAGCAGTTTTATTTTTTTGAGTGTAAATGAATACCCAAAATATGATCAAACCTTCATTTGTGTCCTAATGGAATATGAAAATCCTCATACAGTATTTGACCTTAAAAAATAATCACTCAGAACTGCTGTACAAATATGTTACCAAATACATAATACATAAATTTATAATAATTTTGGTAGCAGAACAAGCTTAGCTTTCAGTCACATATAAATACATCTTAGGTTTTAAGGGATCTGACATTCGAGCAATGCCTAGTCACTGAACCTTACCAGCACAAAGGCTTCCATATGTCCCACGATAATTTATATACAGCTAATCCTTGTTAAAGCTATGAAATCAGTTCCCAAATACTGTACTCCAATCAACAATATATAAATATTTGAATGAAATCAATCTTACCAGACACAGTCAACATGGCAAATATTTGTTTATGACAGACAACTTCAAAAGGTTAACTGAGCTTCCCCAAAACAACCCCAACAGTGACTAGGGTATTCTAGCAGTTTCACTAATTTTGCATGAGATCTACATATTGTAAAATGTCTGACCCGTCTTGAAAATCACTGAAACTAATGAATTACCCTATTGTAAAATAATTTGATGAGCTTGTGATACAGAAGCCTTTCACAAATTAATATAGGACATATGGTATAAGAGGTACTGCCATTAGTAGACAAGGTACCACTGCAATACTTGAGCTATCACTGATTAACAGCATTTCTTCTTGTGGTCTTTGGACTTGATGAAATTATATATATACTGTATATATATATATATATATATATATATATATATATATATATATATATATATATATATATATATATATATATATATATATATATATATATATATATATATATATATATATTTATATATATTTATATATAAAAAAAAAACCTAAAATTTTGTCATCTGGTAATACCTCTTTTTCTGGTAAAAAATACTTCTGATACAAAGAAAAGGTTGAGACGCTGGAAAGCCCTGCAAAAACTTTAGCAATACCATTACAACCTAACATAGGGTAATAAATTCTCATTATTATTATCTATGACATTTTCAGCAAAACAAGCTTGATATATAAATGTAAGACACAGCCATGGGGGTGCGATATGAGCATTTCCAACCTTTTCTTGGCTCAAGGCAGGAGAGGAGGGGAAAGTGGTTCCTGGCACACACTTGGGCACTGTTTCCGTTATATATACGTTTATCAATGCCAAATAATACTATACTGTACTATATACAATAAAAATACAACTTTAAAATGCATTAAATTTTACACATCAATATTGAGGTCTATCTTAGGTGTTTGTGTACAGTACAGCACTCACCTTTGACACGTAGAGCCACCCACCCAAGTTTTAAATAAAAAACAAACAAATATTTTACTCATAAGCTGGACAAATGTCAATGAAAAGTGGTTGGGAGTTTCCCTACTGTTTCAAGTGCCAAGTGTTGCCAGGGAACATATATGACAACAAGAGTGATGCTGCAAGTAAGAGAAGACATGCTGCCTCAGGGTTGCATCAGCCTTGCAACATAATGTGACATCAGTCTTGCAATGTTCATTTCACATTAAACTTTCTTATCATTGGTAAGTTCCTGCAGCCATTTCCTAATTCTGCACTTTGTGTTTCTATATTGCAATGGATATAGTCATCAAAATTAATTGAATAATAAAGACTTCTCTTATTTGCAACATGAAGGAAACAACTGTAATCAGACAGTTCAAGAAAAGGGAAGGCAAGTCTCAAATAAAGGCAAAGTGATAACCTTCAGTCTGCAGGTAATTCCCTTTCTCAGCCATGCCTTTGGACGACACTAAAGGTATGTTGCAGTGGACACAAAGCTGCTTTACACAACAAATCCCAACTTCTACATAAGCTGCTAGAGTCTTATTAACACTGGATCTGTGATTGCTTCTCAGCCACTTCATCTAAATTGTTAATATTACAATTCAAATAGTGGAATAAACAAACTCGTCTCTTTGTACAAACAAACTCTACAGAAAAGTAGAAGTTAAGACACCGTTTCAAACAACTTAAAAGAGCTTGTGCCACTTACAATTTAATGAATCTCAATTTAGACAGGAAAATATTTGCTTAATGGAAAATGTTCAACTGTCAATATTCAATAAAACTTGAAAGGAAAAAAAAAAAAAAAAAGAGAAGGTAAGAATAACTTTGGGGTACAGCAGAAAATGAAAAAAAAAGATGGAATTCATAACCTCTGTAGTTTCTAAGAAAGGGTTTGTCGAACTACCCAACTTATGGTATTGATCATGCATTTAAGATGTCTGATCAGTTATGAAAAATCAGCCATCATGTTGCACTCAAAAATGGCATACAAAAGGGTCTGGAAAATGGGTAATAACCATTATAAAATTAGTACAATTATAACCAATGTACACAGACATATAACACAAAAGTAAACAAAAAAGGGGGGGGGGGAGGGGTCATAAATCACTGTGTACAGCACATATGTGCTTTTCTTAACTTCCATAATAGGAAAACTTATCTGTGTGAGGAAAACCATTTGTTGGGTTTGAATATGAACGGTATCCTTTTTTTACTGTCCTGATAATAATCTAAAATTTGTCATTACATGATTATGTAAAATAATTCATGATAAGATGAAACTCTTACCAATATTTAAGTTATTCTTACTGAGCATTGGAGTGACAAGAGTTGGCATCCAGCTTTGGTATTCACTTTTGTTGACAAGAATTCTTGAAGGCAACTTGAACATTGGGCTTATGTAATATGCCCACTCCATTAATGCTTGGGATACTGGTACCATCACCTTTTGTACCAACACCAACAAATATATATTTCTTCTAGTATTACAATATTGTCCGTGAAATGGTTCGTTATGTTGGAATTCTTTCTTTACACTTCACGAAGGTAAATTTTCAGTGTCATAAATAATGATGAGTTTTTTCAATAATTCAACCCGTATATCACTGTAAGTTTATTTCCTTTTATCTTTAAGTTCAAATATGAAGACTTTTCTGAAGACGTGTAAAAATTTTCAGATTTTCCATTTAACAACTGTTAGTTTTTCCTGACAAGTTGCTGAAGACATTCACTTTATATTTTAAAATAGTATATAAATGACTTCCTTTAACATGATTTCCTAGTTACAAACAAGTTTTATCCTTTTCATTTTTAAATGCACATGTTCATGACTATATAATATATCAAATATTCACTTTGATAAGTTTTCATAATACTCAATTTTTTGAGCTTCAGTCCCACAAGTGATTCATCAGAGTTATATATATATAACTTATATATTATGGGAAACTTATCCAGGTTTATAATTCTGCTTACTTATCAGAAAGATGGACCTGTATGGAAATATCAACAGCGAAGATTCATATAACAATTTTAATGATGATGTGTAAATCGGCCATTATGAGCTGTAGGTGTCAATGCAATATACTGTATCATGCTTTCCTATTATCAATATGAAAAAATACAACTATATTTAGGTAACACCTACCACTCATAATTACTAATTCACTGAAATAGGAGAAATTAGTTAAACCTAGTTGCCAACAGTCACTAGAAGCGAAATCCTCCCTCACTAGTACTGTTATTGTCGAATGCATATTCTGTCTCAGTCGACTCTGGTACTAAACTGGGGTCCTCCGCATCCTGTAAAAAATAACTAATGTTATTTACAAAAGAAAAAATATAGATCCATTAAAGTCAAGATGATTGCAACAAAGCCAATTAATAAATGCTCACTATCTATATTCCTCATTCCTCTCCCACTTTTGTACAGAGTGGACCAAGGGGCACAGACTTCAAAGAAAGGAATAACTATAGGGACAGCAATGAAAGGTAAGTAAGAAAAGAAACAGAAAAAAGGCTAAGACAACGAGTATATAAAACCACACACTTACCACTATCCTTAACTTGAATAACTAAGCACACAAAGAGACTTTTGCATCCACACTAATAACAATGCTTCAAATCAATTCATTCCTTATCTACAATTGCTCAATCCCCTAGGGTGTGCACTGTGCCCCTAATTGGGTTAGCCATGACAGCAGAGTCTCTAGAGTCTAGAGCACCCATCACTACAGATCTCCTTTGTTCTCTTATTTCCTGCTCTGTTCTCTCCATAATTTATTGATTTATCTTTCCCTATCATGAATTAGGTGGTCCTCTCACTAAATACGTGTACAATGAAAGACAAAAGTCGTGTCATGAAATTTGGTGAAAACATATGCCGTAGGGCTAAACTTTTGGTGCGCTCTGCCTTGTGGTAGGGACCTCTCATAATGTTTCACGAGTTATATTTAGTCTTCGGACAAAACCGCTACACAACTTTTGTCTTTGATTGTACATATTACAACGCCACTTTATATCCTCTTAACATCCTGTCATCTGGTATCTTTCTCATATGTTCAAACCATCTCAGAAATCCTCTCCTTACTATGCCAAGTGAATTGAGTTATCTTCTTGTACACATTATCACTATCATGTATAAGCCCATACTTTTTTATGGCAGTTAAAAGAATGATGGGAATGTCTGTGTTGGTCTTCATTTAGGCCATCCTGCATCATGCAGGAAATAGCTTGCAAAAGTGAAAAATATAGACATAACATTGGCATTATAACATACATGCATGTCAAGTGTTAGTTATGTAGAGGATGATATTAACTCACCCAAGTTATAATACTTACATCTTCTGAGAAATATCTCTCAATAATGCTATATGCCAACTTGTATATCTCTACATTTTCGTGGTTCTGGAGGAATTCAATCTTATCTAGACCTGCAACAAAGAAGATATATTTTATTGTATAGGGCCTGAAAATAGCTCACAATGTCATATAATTTCATAAATATTTTAGTGCAAATCACTTCTAAATAATGGATGCTTACCACCACATTCCTCTATCATATTTGCCACCAATTCAACATCTTCTCCTGCTCGGTTGAGGATGTTGGAAATGCCATCAAGCACTACCTGAATGACCTGGGTATCCTTACAGGTCAATAAGTTGCAGAATGGATGAATTACACCTTCACTTACAAGATATGCAACCTGAAATTAAAATTCAGTGTAAAATTCACATACACTACATTCTGTTAATATTTAAGGACTTCTTCTCTGCCATGGGATGCAGACAGTCCCTACTAGCATAACATGATGAGGACAACAGCACAGATATGTTATAAATATTAAGAAAATGCAGGATGTGAGACCTAACAGCCTGCCATTATATATCTTATACGTCTTTTATATTTTTTGGAGGAAGCAGTCAAGGTAAAAAAAAAAAATTCTTAATAATAATGGAGGTGCACTACGGGAATGTTCTTTTGCTGTTCGATCCTTTTCCTATACAGCACCCAAATTGTATAATTGATTGCCTGCATCCATAAAGCAGCTGACTTCTGTGGAGGCCTTTAACAAACAAATTAGACTTTTTTATAATCCTGAACAGGGTACAGTGATGGAGTATTAGAGGGTTTACGAAGTATTAAAATTTAAGGGTACTCTGTATATGAATGATCTAAGTCGAACTGTCACTTCTGGTGATCTTTTACTGTAGTACATACAGAATTTCGTTTTATTCTTTAGTCTTTGACTTTGTAGCTGTAGTATTTTGAGCACTAGTGAAATTCTTCAGAAGAACTAGTACTTTTGAAAAACAAAAGATCAGCTTCTATTATTACTATTATGAAACTTCCGTGACATTTTATAAGCAAAAAACGAAAACTCAATCTAAAGGACACGAATAAACAAATAAATACTTCACTACACCTTCGGCACAACTGTCAAACATGTCACTTCCCTTCCCTCCCTCCCTCTCCCCCATCTTCCCAGCCAGGGCTTGGTGGTTATAGGCTTACAGTTTTTATCTTATATAATATCATAGACTAAAGTTAGGAGAATATAATTTGCATTGCTAGAATCCTTGCAAGACAGCGAATAATTTGAATATAAACGTCATATATTTTGCACACGTGATAAATTTTTTAGCCATTTGTAATAAGTTTCCTAATTAAAACTAAAATTTGTATGTCTAATGTGAACTATAGCATTTTCATATTCAAATTAATCACTATCCTAAAAGAATTCCAGCAATGTAAATTATATTCTCCCCTGTCACTTCTGTGACATTTTATAAACAAAACCTTAATCTAAAGGACATAAATAAACATATGAATACTTCACTAGACCTTCGGCCCCAACTGTCAAACGTGTCACTGCTGTCACCCCCACACCATCTTCCCAGACAGGGTTGGGTGGTTATAGGCTTACAGATTTTATCTTATATAATATCACAGACTAAAGTTAGAATATAATCTGTATTGCTAGAATCCTTGCAAGACAGCGAATAATTTGAATGTAAACGTCATATAGTTTGCACAGGATAAATTTTTTTTTAGCCCTTTGTAATAAAATTAATTACTGTAGAACATGACAGTTCAGTGACATTTTATAAGAGAAAAACTTAAAGACACTCTTAAGGGCAAATAAGTAAATAAGCACTAGACCTTGGCATCAACTGTCAAACATATCACCTCACCCCCCCCCTCCCCAATCTTCACATCAGCTGATAGCTAGTAAACAGACCATTTCACATTCCATAATTTTAGCTGTGTTGATTTATGAGTGTTTGTTTTAACATAATACTACAAAAAACAATGTTTTGTTTATTCTAGGAGATGGGCTGAGGTGCATCTGGGTAGACTCTTAATCTTTTTAGTATTTTGTTTCTCTCAAGTGCCAAACTAAATTATTCCATTGAAACAACACTTTGATTTAGTGCGAATTCGGTTTAAAGCGACCCCTCTTGTAACATATCTTGTGTTTTATCGACATTCTACTGTATTGTATTGTTTTTGTAAGATGTTATATTTATTCCTCAAGTTTATGTATTAAATATGTGTATCCATCTGTCTATGTAATAAGCAACGGACCACAATGTTTTCTGGTAGATGTTGCCATCTATTGATTAAGGACGAAAAGGTGATGGGGTCTGCAAAGCACTGCCATACTGGACAATCTTACTGACCATTTTGGATGAATTGAAGGTTTTGTTAATACTTTGACTCAGTCATTCGAAATTTGGTGTTGGGTTAACCACCCGGTAAAAGTCAGTCATATTGTGGACAGTATGGATGCTGGGTGTGGGTCTCACTTCTCCTCCATAGTGATGAGTACATTGTTATTTGCATTGTGTGAACTGTCTTCACTTGTATTATAGTGTTCCTGCTCCATTAGGTTCAGCACTGAATATTGTAACTGATTTAATTATAGGATATTTCAAATGAATAATGGTGTTATGTTTTGGTCAATGGAAAAATTTTCATAATGAGCAGACCTTCAAATCTGTTTTGTCAATAGTTTAACTTAATTAAAATAAGTTATTATACTCTTTACCTTTGCTTTACCCATACAGTATTTGAGACTGATCAGTCTTTGAAAACATTCCACAGTAAATAGTTACAGGGGGCCCGCCAAGTTCGCGGATTTTTATTCCGCAGTCCTCTATTATTCTTGAATGACGCCCTGGATCTACCCAAGAATGACTGTGGGTAGTTTTAAAGTTGCCGGCATTTTCACGACTGGGACAGGGAGCCATTCGTTCTACAGACAGTAATTTCCTTTAACTGTTTTGTAAATATGTGTGCGTGTGTGTGTGTGTAAACACACACACACAAAACACGTACAAATAAATAACTAATGGAAAATACTGTCACAAATAATCAAAAACAAATTGATTAAAAATGTGAGTCTACCCTCAGGTCTGTGCTTTATTACTTTATGAGTAAAGCATGAACTTGAGGGTAGACTGCCACATATTTAATAAATTTGTTTCTGATTATTTGTGAGAGAATTTTCTCATTATTATTATTATTATTTGTCAGTTTTGTGAGTGTGTCTACACACACACACACACATATATACATTATACAGGCAAAATAAATAATTGTCCTCAGGGCAAACACATAAAAGGGAATATACATTTCTTTGTACACAAGTAAAAATCTGCCCCCCCCTAACCTAACCCACGCAAATTTCAGGGGGCCCCCTGTATTTTAGGAGTGAATCCAAAAGAAGAATGAGTAAATGTAGTAGGCAGCTATCAAACAGGGAGGTACTACCGCCTGGGAAGATATTGGAAGCATAATGTGTTGTGTAATGGTAGACTCTACTGCCATATAGCATCACAAAAATTGAGACTAAGTCCCAGGTTGCTGATCTGATTTTCTGCCTCATTTACACACAATTGCAGGGTCTCAATTGTTTCTCTTACTTTGAGAACACAACATACATATATCATTTCTCACTATTGATCTTTTTTAATTTTTTTTTATTTCTTTATGGTTCTTCATTATTATTAGTATTATCGGTTTGGTTATTATTATTATTATTATTGTTGTTATTATTATTTGATTTCTTTTTTTATTATAAATTTTATTTACTATGAACTAATTATAATTAAATTTTCGTCCCCCAGGCCCCAATGTGGGTCAGTGATCTGTGCCCGGGTGGGCTAATCCCCATAATAATATTAATAATATTAATAATAATAATAATAATAATAATAATAATAATAATAATAATAATAATAAAAAAAAGCAAAAAAAAAAGCAAAAGCGAGACACACTTATGTCTCTCCCTTCGACTTGATAAAATATCATTCAAAATACTTCTAAAGGTCATGTAATATTCAATATAAAAGAAATTTGATTAAACAATAAAAAAATATTGTGCTGTAGTACAAATTCTACATGTGTGAAACTGCAGAGAACGGCACTTGACAAGATGGTGCATTCCTGTACTATCCCTGTCAGCAAAAATGGCTCTAACATTTTTAATACTGTATACTGTATGCCATATTGTTTAAATGTTTTTGTACAGTACTATATATAGATTTATATATTTCATTTTGTGTTTAGTGAAATATTGGAGGTAGACAAAATTTATTATTAACCCCCATTTTTTTATATCTAGAATCTTCTTGATGATTTTATGTTAATGTACATTTATTCTGGATCTCGAAACTTGTTCCACGTTTTTTAGATTCCAGTAATGCAAATATCCATAACTCAATGCTAGTGAAAAAATCAATCCAAGAACTTGAAAATAAAATTAGGCAAATATATGAAAGTATATGAGGAGGGCAATGAGATTGTATTATTCTACACGGGATGGTTACTACAGGAGTACAAAGCTGGATGGTACACAAGTGGAAAGCAGTATGTATTGGGGAATGTATGTCAACATTGTCCATTTTGTACAAACCTGCTGTTTACTACCCGAGATGGTAAGGTTACTGATGGCCCATGCTGCCTCCTTCTGAGTTTGAAATTCTCCTTTCGTTAGCTGTGTTATTATCATGGGGATGAGACCAGCATCAATTACTGCCTGTACCTGCTGCTTGTTCCCTGCTGTGATGTTACTCAGGAACCAAACTGCTTCCTGTCAGGTCAATATAAAAGAGAAGCTAAAATTACTGTACTTTACAATGAGAATTTTCTGGTTCTCACAGCACCTACGTACTGCAGAGAGGAAAAAAAATAAAATAAAATATACTGTGTGTATATATATATATATATATATATATATATATATATATATATATATATATATATATATATATATATATATATATATATATATATATATATATATATATATATATATATATATATATATATATATATATATATATATATATATATATATATATATATATATATATGTACATACATACACACAGTGGTCCCTCGGATAATGAACACAATTCGTTCCAGAAGGTCGTTCATTAACCGAAAATTTCGTTAACCGAAACCTTTGTTTCAATGGGATTTTGGGTAATTGGTTCCAGCTCACCGAAAAATACATACAAACTAAAAATAAATGCAGTAAAGTACACTTACTTTGAGGTGTGCATGTAGAAGGCTCCTGGTTGAAGATGATAATGGGAATTAGAAGTGGGGGTGGAGGAGAAGGGAGAAGAGAAGGCAGTGGGGTGGAAGAGAAGTCACCCCATGCTTCATGCAGCCATTTCACCCATAAAATTTTAAGTTCAGTTGGTGTAATTCAAGATTATTTTCTTTAAATCAACACTGTACTGCATTATATATTGTCAATATGTAAAATAAATTTCAGAATGATCAATAATTGTGCTGTAAAAACGTAAAAATAGTTTATGTTCAAGAGAGTCTCAAGCAAGATGCTTCCTCCACTGAGCAGACACACAAACTGACGCCATTCTGGGTGAGTCAAGTGGCTGTTTGGCGCGCTAAAAACTAGTTCCCTGTACTTCAATTATGTTAAATAATTGTTAAAATGACTAAAACTTTAATATAAGACTTGGAAAATTATTGAATAATACAACCTTCTTGATATTTATTCAAATGGTAACGAATTTAAGCCCTAAAACCAATTTCTGTATTGGCGGACTAATAATACAGCTGGTGAGCAGGCGAAAGCAGGCGAAAACATGTTGGGAAAAATTCGTAAGGAATTCATTAACCAAATTTTTTTCGTTAACCGAGGTGATCACTGTACAGTACATTATGTGTACCACGTGTGTTCAATGATTACCTTTGTGAGGATCACTTTCGGTGTACAGATAATTTGGCTTATAGATAACCTCCTGGAACAGAATCCATCCATAACCAGAAGTGTCTGTATAAATAATATCTCCATTAGCCGGAATCCCTCAAACCCGGAATTGAAATTTCTCTTGGAAAATCATTCCCAAAGCTGGAATTTTCTGGTTTTGGTAACGATTTTTCAAGGGAAAATTCCAGGGAAGAGGGATTTTTGTTCCGGGTTTGAGATGAAAATCAGGGTCATTTTCCGTACATTCTGAGAAAAATTTTCCGGTACCCAGAAAATTTCGGGGATGGGGGATATTTTTCTGAGTTCGAGTGATAATGTAATACGAAATTTCTGGAACTTCCAAGAATATTTTTCTGTTACCCAGAAAATTCCGGGGATGAGGGAATTTCTCTGACTTTGCGAGAAGAAATAATGCATCATTCTGGAACTTCCGAGAATATTTTTCCGTTACCCAGAAAATTCTGGGGATGAGAGAATTTTTCCAGCTGAGAGTCGTCTCATTCCCGGAAATCTCTCATTCCCAGAAGTGCTCCACACCAATTGTTCCGGCTAAAGGAGAGATCACTGTACTTGTGTATATCAAAACATAGTAGACTGGAAAGACAAAATGCTGAAACTTCCAAGCTGGAAAAACAGTCATCATCAAGTATCTAATTGGGTTACGTTCCAGGACCCTGTTCATAAGTCGATCTGTTCGTAAGTCGAAAGTGTTAATTCCATAGGTAAAGTTAGTTTAAGCACAACCCTGCCCATAAAACAAAAAGCAAAACAAAAAAATACAGTACCTGTAATATCCCATACGTAACAAATAATGTAAATACTGTAAATAAATTGACATTAATCAATATAAAGTAATGTGAAAAATGAGATTTTAGTGCCAAATTTTTGTGATGAATATACAGATTGGGATCCTATTTGTAAGTGCGGGTGTTCATGGGTCAGGCGTTCATAACTCGGGCACTGCCTGTAGTTGAAAGCAGTGAAGCAGACAATGAAGTAAGTATCAAGTTAAACTTGGAAACAACATACCATGGTTCACTGACATGTTAAACACTGAGAAGGGAATACAAGCTTTTAGCTCTCTGAAGGCCAAAATATACAAGCAACTTATTTGGCTTACTTTGAATCTATATGTGGTCTACTTTCAATCAAAGGTTCATTTAGACTTCATTGAGAAATTGACTTTGCTTGTCAGCATTCCATTTCAGTTAATCTAACCACTTATGCACAAACGTCCCCCTCTGTGCTCCATAAACTCATCTGGCATTAGCCAAACAAACAAAATATTAAAAGTGGTGTCCCTGTAGTGAAGGGGTTACGTTAACAGAATGAATTTTATATAAATTATAAGGTGTATAATGATTTCTTTGTATTAATCACATGAATTTAATACAAATTACAAAGTTTACTGATTTTTTAGTACAGTATTAATCACAAACCTTATTAATTTTCTCCTTCTGGTGTGAGAGGAGAGCTGGGAAGTGAAACAGTGCACCACAGTTGAGGACTACTTGCGTCTGATCATCAGTGCCAGTCACAATATTACCCACGGCTCTCAAGGCTGCTGTTTGGACCTGTTCATGGGAATATACAGTAATTATTTTGAAGGATTTAATGCAGTTCATTTCGTATGATCACTATCAGCACTAACTAAAAAATAATACTGTAAATATAAACAAACGACAATATCCACATAATTATGAACACAAACTAACTTAAATACATGTATAAATTTTTTTTCTCAACTTTAACTTCAGAAGAATCTAGATGACTGACTCAAAAACATAAGAGACATACCTTAACCTCTTTATGAGATAGAAGTGGTATAAGCTTAGGCACAACACCACTGTCTATAACCAACTGAATATTATTGTTACCCCCATCAGTCAGGTAGCTCAGTGCCCAAACTGTGTCCACCAGAATCTGATGAAGGATACAAGTTGATTACATTCCATGAAAAAACAAAAACTGGTCACAGTAGTCAACATCAACATGAGTTTATTATTATTAAAACTACAGACACCAACATTCCAATTTTTGTTTTTTTGGTTTTTTTAATAAAGGGGTCCTCATTATACATTGGGGCTGTGTTCCAGAGAAAAGTGACTTATAATGAAACATTTAATAATGAGGAATTTTTCCCAGTATAGGCATTTCAACATGTACAGTAATACCCCCTTGAAACCTCAGGATGCATTCTTTGAGAGAGAGGTTTCAGCAAATCATCTTACAATGGAGTGATCAATGGAGATATATTACTAACAATGCTATCTGTTACATGCACTCGGCACTGGCAGAGCTCAGTGGAGGCTATGACAGTTTACAGCACGGGCACTGCATTTAAACTTAGAAATCAGCGTGGCCTCTTGGACTTTCCCACTGGCTAATGGATTATTTACATCTCATTGAGGGATTATCAGACACTCAGTTTCAACGGAATTTTGGCTATAATGTACATGGTTTTAGCAAATTAGTTGGTTGTCCCGAGGGTTTACTGTATCCAAATTACTTACATTTACAGTAGAAGTCCAAAAATCTGGACTGCTTGGGGATTGGGTCGGTCCGGATTTTCGGATTTTCCGGATTCTCAGGCAGTACTTTTAAAATTCAAATTTAAGGAAGAATAAAGAAGAGATGAACAGGTACATTTTGATAGTTTATTCATTAGCAAATATAGCATGCTTCATTTATCAAAACGAGCAGTTTTAATGAAAAAGCTGTGAATTCTAAATTTTATTCTTTGCCTTTTATATATCATAAATTGTAGACATTCGAATGTCGTATGTTTCCATTAGAACAGTATTGCTCACACCACGTTCTAGTTTCTTAATTATTTCAAGTTTGTCACTCAATTTCAACGTGTTCTTCTTTCTCTTCACACAACGAAGTTTATCTACTTTAGGAGCCATTATTATGGGCTTGTACAGTACTCTGTAAATGGAAAGAGTAGGACTCAAAATATTGTTATATTACAATGGTATTCTATTCATACTGTGCTTGATATAATGCATTCACGGAAATGTAATATTTTTGCTGAACGTACGTATTACAGTGGAAAGTGGGATAAAATCGTAACGAAAACAATGACTTTCGCTTTCTTTCGTTCAAAAGATGTTACCGTAATAGCTTTTCGAATGGTTTTCAGTTCAAAAACTGTTGTATTACAATAATATTCTATCCTAATTGACTTGAATAAATACTACGGTACCATATTTCTGAATATTTTCATTAAAATCCATCAAAATCATTTTCCTTGTCATCGTCTGCAGCACCAAACAGCTTCTCCCAGTCCTCTCTTTGAACAGGGCTAGAGGGTACGTGTTTTTCGAATCGTTTTCTGTTAGAAAACTATTACATCACACGTATATTTTACCTAAACTGTGCCTGAATGAATATATTCTCGGAAATAAATAGTAGTTTTGCAGAAACGTGACGTATTTCAATGTAAAATAGGATAAAATACATGACAAAAACAAAAGACTTTACCTAAGCTTCCGATGTTCTTGAGATGTTACTCGTTTTTTTAATAGTTCTCGGTTAAAATTCTGTTATATTACAATGATATTCTATTCATACTGTGTTTGATATAATACATTCACGGAAACGTAATATTTTTCCTGAAATTACATACGTATTACAGTGGAAAGTGGGATAAAATCGTGACAAAAACAATGACTTTCGCTTTCTTTCGTTCAAAAGATGTTACCGTAATCGCATTTCGAATGGTTTAGTTAAAAAACTGTTGTAGTTCAATAATATTCCCTCCTAATTGACTTGAATAAATACAGTGACCTCGTTTAACGAACGCCTCAGTTAACGAAATTTCGGTTAACGAACTGCCTTCCATAAGGATCTTCAATTCGGTTAACAAACAAAAATTCGGTTAACGAATTTCTTACGAACCGACTTCAACATGTTTTCGCTTGCACTGGCCGGGCAACCAGCTTTAGTATCAGTCCGCCAATACATTAATCGGTTCTAGGACTTAAATTCCTAACTATTTTAGTAAATATCAAGAAGTTTATTCTATTCAATAATTTTAAAAGTTTAATATTCAATTTTTTAGTCATTTTAACAATTATTGAACATAATTGAAGGTAAAGTGACTAGTTTAAAGCGCAGCATCCAGCCTCTTAACACAGCAAACAGGTGTTAGTCTCTCTGTTTTCACTGGAGGTAACATCTTGCTTGAGAATCTCTTCAACTAAACGCTTTTTTCTGTGTTTCCAAGCAAATTATTGGTCATTTTGAAATATATTTTACATATTGGCAATATATAATGCAGTACAGTGTTGATTTAAAGAAAATAATCTTGAAATACACCAAGAGAACTAAAATTTTATGGGTGAAATGGTGCCATGGGGTGACTTCTCTTCCACCCCAATGCCTTCTCTTCTTCCTTCTCCTCCACCCCCATTGTAATTCCCATCATCATCATCATCATCCAGGAGCCTTCTACATACACACCTCAAAGTAAGTGAACTTTTCTACCATTTTTGTTAAATTTAGGAAATTTTCGGTGAGCTGGAACCAATTACCCAAAAACCCATTGAAACAATGGTTTCGGTTAACGAACTTTTCGGTTAACGAACGACCTTCTGGAACGGATTGAGTTCGTTAACCGAGGGGTCACTGTACTTGAATGGAAATATACAATATTTTTGTTGAAACTACCCGCGTTTCAGTGTAAAGTGTCGTAATAATAAATGGTAAACAATTTGCCTTCAGCACTTGTGTTTCATGCACGGCTAGCCTCAGTTTATAGGACGTAGAGCCTTTTTACTGAAGGTTTTGTTGTTCCAATATCTTCAAAAACGTGGGTCAAACTATAAACGAGGAATATCATAAATTAACGATTTCTTGGTCAAAAAATCAGGGTCGACTGATAAACGAAGGGAGTTATAGACGAGTATATACGGTATGTTGTCACAGTTTGATTGCTCGTTTTAAAGTGGTGACCACGTGGTCGCTTGTTGTCGCTGTGGCGATCACGCATGTGCACATACACACAAAAGCTCGCTAAAAAAAAAAAATCGTTTTTGAAAAGTCCGGATTTTCGGGTGGTCCGGATTTCTGGCATCCGGATTTTTGGACTTTTACTGTACTGTATTCAGGAGCCTACATTCTTCTTGGATATAATATAAACTTTCTGATTAGTTATCTCTTTATACTCCCTCCAACTTAATGTTAATCTGCATAAAACAGTAAACCCCTGAGAACTCGGTACATATCTGGCTCTGGCCTTGCTGAATTATCGCAAATTCCAAATTATCAAGGCATTTCCCCCTTCAATAATACAACAATAAAACATTATCAGCCCAGATATGTGTAAATTACTAAATTTAAAAAAAATAGCACTTACCAGCACTGCAGGCAAAGACTGAAGCATTGTAGTAAGCGACAGAGGCATGGGGTGACACAGCAACACGGTAAGTGAAACAGCGGAATGGTAGGTGGCACAGGGAAATGGTAGGTGAGGCAGGGGAATGGTAGGTGATGCAGGTGAAGGAAGGGGGGGGGGATGCTATGTAAACAGTGCGGCACTTATGCATACTACTGTAATTTGGTCACTTATACAAAATAAAGAATAAATTTTAACAAAAATAATTGTTTTCTCTATGTATAATTCAAGTCTGAGTATGAAAATAAACACATAATTTATATCACTCAGGATATTATAGTCCACCCTAGTTAGACTGTTAACTTTAATACAGAGCAAAAGAGTAAAAATTAAAATATTCTAATGTAGCTTAGAAATAAAGAAAATATAACATAAAACAATAACATAAGAAAAATGAAGAGTATAGGTATATGTGTGTGAGGTGAATGTAAGGGAAGTAGTGAGCTGTACTGCGTGAACAACTCACCCACCTCCCTCCATTCAATGTGACGTCACGGCACACACACACACACACACACCTCAGTCAGCTGGTTGACTGCTTGGCTAGCCTGTGTGGCATTGCTTAGATGATGGTTTGAGTGTGAAAGGTGCTATTTTTTGTACATGTGCTATTGTATTTTATGACATGCTATGTATCAATCTTATTGTTTATCAAAGTAATTATAGTATTGTATAAAAAGAGGTTATATCGCTACTGGTGTCAGACACACGAATAAATGACTTGAGTTGCTTTCAGATTGCTGGACTAAATTATAATTTTTACCAAAGGGGACAAAGTTGGGGTGCCTGGAAGATTCAAATCGTTGGAATATGGATAAAATGAGATGACACTGTAAACTAAATAAAGTCTACGACATTGGATTTACTGTAATAGTGGAGACATTTTTCATACAGTGGTGCACTTTAAACCCAAAATATTGGGGTGTTACAGCACCCTCCCTTCCTGCATCCATGTACTAGGTGGACTGAGAAGGGGAGGGCGGTGTGGCACACACGAGAGAACTGACTAGCCACGGAGTGTGTGCTCTTGTACACAGCTTGGTCTAAGTCACTAAATTCTGCTGGCTTAATCCTTTTCTGCTCTTTTTTTGAGCTGCCAGGGTCCTCCAAACTTAAAGAGTGCTTCCAAATCTATCCCAATTCTTTTTTGTCATAAATTTTGCTGGACTTGATTCCAAACTCCTCACAAACCACAAGCATGGATGCCCTAGTCTTAACTCAGTCTAACACTTTATTTTTCTCCTGAAGACTCTGGGACTTGAGCTTCTTCCCTTCCTATAGCTCCCTGAAGGTGTAGCTGCCATATCAGTGATGTTTGAAGAGGTAGAGGACAAGCAGAGGACAAAGTGAGGAGAGACTGACCAAGCGTGAAGCGATGCGTAATAATCAGTTACCCACGTGGCTAATTATGCCGAGATTTTCCAGGAAAATTTTATTTAACTCTGCATTTCCCGAGTTATTTTTAATAGATTCCAAGAGTATAGCCGTGCCAAATTATATAAAATCTTGAGTTATCAAGGGTTTACTGTAATACTATATCAATAATAATAATAATAGCAATAATGATTATAATAATAATAATAATAATAATAATAATAATAATAATAATAATATCTCAAAACTGCAGTTAACTACACATAACTTTGGTAGAATAGCAAATGGTCACAGGTGACTAAGTCTTTACATTTGTCAAGTAATAACAAGAGTGATCAAGAACCGAACATAACCTACATTAACTGGTGAAGATCTTTCAGTCAAACTTAGTTTGTCATTATGAGTACTGTATTGATAGAGCTGAATGATGCATATGCCTATAAGAAATCCTGAAGATCTTTTTTAATGCAAACCTTATCATTTATTATTGACGACGATAATATCTAAGAATAACGCAAATATTAGCATTCTGTAGTAAAAAAATGCAGATTAATAAATTCTACAGTATAAAACATTTGGATGAGACTTACAGAAGTGTCTTGGTGGTGTATCAATATATTAAGAGCAGGTAAAATCTCTTTTATAGTTTGTTGAGGAGGTGGTGGTTCTTTGTTTCGGCATAGATTAACAACAACCCACGTCACGTTCCGTAAAAATCCAATGGGTATCTCTGGGTTGATGAAGCTGAGCAGTGGCTGGACGACACCCAGTGAGATGACATAATCTCTAAGTTGAGGCCCATCACCAATTATATTACCTGAGTAGTGCATAAAATATTACATCAGCCAAAATTAAAATCGGACATTTTCACATCATCAATCTCATTTTATGTATTGAAAAAATAATGCATATGCTAAACATCCTATATTTGATTCCCTAAAAACCCTCAAACTGACTAATATCTGCCAAGATGAAATAGACCCCAAGAACAACTGATTCGTTGACCCCAGAATCAATAGGTAACTTCCTATCCGTAGAGACATGGCATCTGTGTATTATCATATTCATCAATAAACATGTTACTGTATACAGTATCATAAACCAATATAAGCATGAGGTTGTTTCTTTATCAGTGGAAACACATAATTACTTATTACACGATAACTGCTCTCAGAAACCTTTTCGTGGTTCCATTTACACTGGATCTATAGTTAAAATCAAAGGTCATTATCACAGTAATGAGTCTTATTACATTTGCTCTGACTTGAAGATCAGAAGACTAAAGGTTGAGCTTCAAAGGTATCTGACCTGAGCATCAAACCACACCTTGGCAAACACTTCATGGTTCATGATTATTTACTCATTACCATAAGATTAGAACTAAAATATAACCTATAATTGAAACCTGTTGTTTTTGTTAACAACTTCTACCTACAAAAACACTTTTGTTCTTCCAGTCACACAGGGTCATCATGTCTTAATCATTAGTCGGTGTCAAAGCCAACACACAACCTCAGCTGCACTCCTTTATCAATCACAAAGCCATTGTAGAGCGAGTCAGTGACCCTACATATATTTACCATTCACCCATTCTGTTATTCCTTAAGTAAACCTACACTGACTGATAATGAGGTAAAAAATCAGAATCCAAAGAGATATTTTGCCACATCATCATATCTTCATAAGAGCTTTACCCATATCTATGTGGCCAACTATCAATGTACTCTAAACACAATTTGCATTCATATAATGTAGCCTGTGATGAAATTTGAGACCTTCTTGCTAACCATGGCCAATAAAATAAATGTTATTTTCCATTTGACTCAATGGACAGATGCAGAGCTGTAGATAGAGAGAGTTTGGTCAACTTGGTGACATGCGGGCACCATGATGTTAGTCAGCTGATTACAGCAAATGTGTTATTGTCAATTTGTAGATGAAAGATTTTATCCTCAATAGATGTAGGTGAAGCAAGGGGGTAACAATACACCTGGAGGCAACTGGATGATAACTAAATTCTCGGCCTGAAAAACGCGCTATAACAGTAGGTGTGCAGATTTTGATGGAGGCGTGACACCGTAAATCGCGATAACCAAGGGATGACTGTACAGTATAGATAAAAGTGAGTGTTCAGTGATTCTTAAGTCTTAATGTACCTTATACTATATTAATTTATTTCATTAACTCATAGTAAAATGATCAGCTGGCTTCCAAATTACCTCACACACAGAGAGTATAAATAAAGGTAAAATAAATGCTCACCTAGTGCCCAAACAGCTTGCTCACACACATTCTGGCTTGACGAGTGTAGCAGCTTGAGGAATAGAGGAACAGCACCAGCGTGGACCACTGCCTGAGTTTGCCTCGATGTACCAGATGCTATGTTTGTCAGGGCCCACGCTGCTTCAAACTGTAGTGATGGGCTGTCCGGGGAAGACATACTATTCACGTTATACTTCTGTTATCTTTTCAAGGAAAATAAACTAAATATTATAAGAAATTAAAGACAATAATTACTGTGCATTAGGAACCATAAAACAAAAGCCCCCAGGAAAATACAAGGCAACTACTACAGAGTTTGTGAAATAGAGGTGAAAATCAAACAAGTGGATGTCATCATGATCATCATTGAGGAGTAAAAGAAGAAACCTCCAAAATCTCATTGCTTTATACTGGACAAGTCTTCTTTAATCTTACTAACAAGATAAAAAAAAAAAAAAAAATGTCAAGATAGCATAGTTACATCAGAAAGATACATAGTAAATACAGTGCAGTGTACTGAACTAATTTGGTATACTTAATATTAAATTTCATTCAAAGAAACATATGTACTTTAAAATCTGTAGGTGCAGTGTACACAAAATACAATTATGCTTACAACAGAATAATAAAAGTATTGCAAGGCATCATAAAATACAGCACACTTATGAAAATGTGATATATATTGTCGTGGACTGACACAGAAAGCAAATGTATCAAGAAATACTGTACTATATTTAACTGAATCAAAATATATAGAACAAATGTACAGTACCAGAAATGTTTAAATAAATTATAAAGATACCATAGAGTACATAAAAAAAAATAATTCAAGAAATGTATCAAGAAGAACTGCACTGTACAGTATAAGAAATATTAACAGTGAAGGAATCAAGAAAAATCAAGCTTCAGCCAAAGCCAAACATTTAAGAAATTACTAAAAATTACAATGTCTAACTGAAATTTAGCAGGTGCTACATGTTAGCATTTGCTAACATGTACAGTACTGGCTACAATGCAACCTTAATAAACATAGAGTACTGTACAATCTCACAGGGGATAATTAATTATCAAAGGATGATGGGAAAATTATCAAGAATCAATAGGTTATATACAGTATACATCAAAAACTAAGAACAATTTTTTAAACTAACATTTTGTTTTTACTTGGTTAACTATAACACTTCCTTCAACTTACTTGTCAGTACCCTCTAAACATTTGACAAGTATGGGAAGGATGCCAGACTGGATCAGATCATCTATAGGTGGATTTCTATCAGATGATAGAAGTTTACGGGCTGCCTGGACTGCTGCAAGCTGAACTGCCTGGTCCTCACTGGCTGCATTTTCAACAATTAATGCCAGGTTATCTGCGGTGAGTTGTTTATCAACATCTTCATCATCTGGAAATAAAATCACATTGTTTACAGGCAGTTGACTGGAGTACTATGATATACTTCCATTCCTTATGTATGCAAATCACGGTGATTCATTAACCCAATTGGACATACTAATAACCTCTCATTCTTCATTACACCGGCCTCCATTTCTTCTGCATTACTTGGTGCTACAACAGCTCTTTGAGAGTCAGTCTAAAGAAATTTGAGCCAGCAATAGTCATGTTCTACACCAGTGGTCCCCAACCTTTTGTAGTCTCTGGGCCACAATTGTCATTGCAAATAGTGGAGGGTGCCAAAACTTTGGAACTACATAAAAGAAAAAAAATCTCATATATATATATATATATATATATATATATATATATATATATATATATATATATATATATATATATATATATATATATATATATATATATATATATATATATATATATATATATATATATATATATATATATATATATATATATATATATATATATATATATTTATTTATATATAGTTATTTGCAGTTTTACACAAGTCTGTTACCAGTTACATACTTTTTACATTTACTCTTGGATCAGTGAGAAGTCTGGCTCTTTCTCTGGGCTGGTCTGTGGTAAATGCACACATCCTGTACACGACAGACTCTGGACAAATGGAAGTTTCTCTCTCTCTCTCTCTCTAACTACAGTATTAAGTCGTACACAGTTGTTATATATTTTCATTAGTTTCACTCTGATAAAGAATCCAAAATATTTCACACTTTTCTAATAAACACTTGTGAGCTCCATAATATGGTTCCATGGGTGCCATGGCACATGCGAACCACAGGTTGGGGACCACTGCTCAACACCAAGGCTTACCTCCTCCATTCTGAACCCAGGACCACATTTTAGTTCCAGCTGATGTATCCACTAACCCAAGGGGGGAGAAAGGGTAATATGAGCTGCCTGGCTATGGGCTTTACTAGAAAGGAGGATTTTTGGGTCAACCCTTCATTTCTAACTCTACACTAAAACCAGGCAACTGTCATAATATAAAAGTCAGCCAGATGAAGAAAAAAGATGATGCAATAGCTGTGTATGTGAAGTAAACCTTGGTGTAAGCCTTGTAGGACATGCTGATTAGGCTGGTTCAGCTGTGAGAAAAAATGTTTCATCACACCATACAAAGAAGATAAGGAGGAAGGGTGATTGTTGTACCTAAAGGGATAAATATATCACCCTGGCTTACATAAATGGGGAACAGAGTTCCTCAGCAGCCTCTACTATTCCAAAAAAGGAATTTGATAAAGATTAATACTTTACTGTACAGTACGCCTGGATAAATCGCGGATTTTTATTTTGCGGTCCTCTATTATTTGTGGATGACACCTTGGATGTACCCAAGAATGTCTGCGGGTAGTTTTAAAGTTGCCGGTCTTTTTGCGGCCAGGACAGGGAACCATTCATTCTAGAGACAGTAATTTCCTTTACCTGTATTGTATATATGCATGTGTGTGTGTAGACACACACACACACACACACACACACACACACAAAACATGTACAAATAAATAATAATGGGAAAATCCTCTCACAAATAATCAGAAACATATGTAGTATTAAAAATGTTGAGTCTACCCTCAAGTCTACTCCATACTTTTTTATTAATAAAGCACTGAGTGTTTTGTATGTGTGTGTGTAGACAAGCACACACACAAAACACATACAGATAAATAATTATGGGAAAATCCTCTCACAAATACTCGCAATCGGAAACAAATGTAGTATTAAAGCTGTTGAGTTTACCCTCAAGTCTACTCCGTGCTTCATTAATAACAAAAGCACGGAGTAGACTTGAGGGTAGACTCAACTTTTTTAATAATACATTTGTTTCTGATTATTTGAGAGAGGAATTTCCCATTATTATTTATTTGTATGTGTTTTGTGTGTGTGTCTACACACACACACACACATATATATACAATACATACAGGTAAAAGAAATAATTGTCCTAGGGGCAAACACAGAGGGAATATACATTTCTATGTACACAAGTAAAAATGTACCCCCCCCCCCCACCCCCGTTAGCAAATGTTATTCGCAGCTATTTTGATAATTTAACCCCCGCGAATTTGAAGGGCCACTGTACTCGCTAATTACTGGTGTATACAGCACAAAATAACTTACCTGTAGAATCAACTGTTGGTACATTACGTCGCTTTAAAAATGTTTCTTCTCTCTTGTTTTTTCTTAGTTCGACTGTGACCTCCGTTCTTCGTCTTCTCATCTCCTAGAATAATTATAAATCAATATATGAAATGATGCAAAATATTATTAAAATCTACACTGAATGGCATTCTCTTGTCTTTTTGGTGCAGGCTGCTAAGAAATTAAGTTTTATAAGAACAATACCACCAGCTTATATATATATATATATATATATATATATATATATATATATATATATATATATAATCAGTTAAAACCTGAAATAAGTCAAAACCAGTCTTAAGTACAGTAGTTAAAACTAGAAGCCATAAAGGTTGTGTGATACAACTAGTATTAACTACGTAAAACTAATTACATCTAAGGATGCTGGGGAATACCCAAAATCCAGGACCAACATACAGTATTATTAAACATAGTTTTAACACAAAATTTAAGGTACAGTATAATTAGTTTTAACAATAGGAGTTGGTAACTGCAGGGAATTTAGTTTCAGAGATGGTAACACTGTTCATAGTATCAGCTTTTGTGGTGGTGATCATGGCCTAGACTTTTTGGTGTGTGTCTGTTGTCTTGCTATAAATAATGTCTAGAATTATACCTTGTATTTCTCAAAAACTAGGGTCGAATTATAAGTGATTTTAACAATGAATAAAAGGGGATAGGTTCCAATCCTTTGTCATTCTGAGTTTTGATGCAGGGTGGCCTGGCTATATTACAGTAACTTTGTCAAAAAAAAAAAAAAATATGAAATTTGCAATTCCTTGTTATTATTTGTAGTTTTCTTAAGGTAAGAAAGAAGTTGTCTTCAATAGAATATATACTATTCAAATATAAGTAGTTTACCTTTGCAAATGTCTTAAAGTACTATTACCCAAATCTCTTTAATTACAACAAATTTGCTTTTATTATAAGGCAAGGAAAATTGTGCAAGGAAATTATAAAATATACAAAAGTTCATATGGTAAAGGGTGATTCACCGACTGATTTATATTTATACCAGGTAAATATCAGTTGTGACTAACTGGTCTCCCAAAAGATCCAATGAGGCCATCCTCAATGAGATCTCTGTTATTACTGAAAAAAAAAGTAAAATAAATATTTGGTAGGGTAAAACTGGATAGCACCCTTCTTCCGTCTGACCAAGCAGGTACTGAACCCATGTCACAGTAGCTAGAGGCAAGTGAGCTACTATTGTACAGTACTACAAACAGACAGTACAGCTCTGTGGTCTTACTATTATTCATTATTTATAAGTTGATAAACAGAATACAAAAATGGTGAGTAAACAAAGTAAATGCAAGTATAAAAAAATACAATGAAGAAAACCATAAGAACCTACCAAACTTAACAATCCTTCTAGGGTACCATACAGTAGTTGAGTTGGTCAAATTAGGTTTGGTTTTATCATCTGCTTCTAAAAGTAATTTTCAGACTAACAGATTCTCTAGTCTCTCAATAGTCTTTTTCTATGAATTAAACATACTGAAAAAAAAATCTGTACCATAGGGTCTCATTCAATGTGGGGGATTCGATATTGAATAATACCAAATTGGGCAAATATAATATTTTACGAGACCAACAGGACTAGGAAACTTTGAAAATAAGATCTTCAGGAGTTCCAAAAATGGCCTAACCTTAAGTCAAATGTAAACATGTACTGTACTGTGTTATAATGCATGTGTACACCAGAACATGTACATAAATATAAACTAACCGAGTTGCTAATTATTGATGTGTACAGTACGTATATGAATAAACAAAAATATATACTAAACTGTATATTGTAGTATACTTTGCAGAAAGTTGCACTCTCAAACGGAAAATTAACCTTTAGTAGTGACCAAATGTTCATATATATTTAGATACTTGATCACTGATCCACACATTTAATATCTTCCTTAACTATACATTACACGGAAGCCTCATAACACCCTTCAAAAGTGAAGTGCTTTCCCGTTTGGAGTACTGTACTGCCACGGCGGCTGGTCCCTGAGATGTGCTAGAGACTGTTAGTCGACTGAAAATGTCCAAAGGAGGGCCACCAGACTGGTGCCTGCACTATGGCACCTTAGTTTATAAGCAACTCAGAGGACATTACTCAGTCGAATGTTCATAACTGGAGCTGGCAAATGCCCGCCCCCACTAGGGGAGACAGCTTTAGGTTGAATTAGTCACAAGTTCAGAAAACTGCCAGGGCAAATTTTTTTGGAATGAGAATTGTAAACTCTTAGAAAAAACTGCCAGTGTTGTGATGGCACCAAGTGTGAGCTCTTTCTAGACCATACTTGACCAACACTGGTGCAGGTACAGATACATTCTGGAGCCAGTACTTGTCAACAGTGTGCAACAGAGATGTGACTGACCGCCCAAGTGGCTAATGAGCTGATCAAGGTGAAGGGAATAGAGTAATGAAGCACAGTATGACACCCATATTATTAAATAACATCTTCCCTTGAAGTGGGTTCTCGTGTCAAAAACCGTGCTTTCAAATGCGAAGGACCTTTTACAGCAGCGCACAAAGAAGTGTGGTGGCGGGAAAACGAACTAATATTACTGAAATTTGAAGAGGTAGCTAGTAGCTGCTTTTTAACACCCTCTTCATAATTATTTTGTTAGTTTTATTGAACATTTATAGTCAATACAATTAATGTACAAAGAAACAATTATTGGTAATTTTATATACAGTATACGCCCTGTATATATATTTTTTTCTTTTACTTTATTGGTTTTACAGCCAATATTATGACATTTGCAAAGGCCATGTTTCCTGTCATATTACAACATTTGCAAAAGCTGTGCTTCCTGTCATTGCCAAATGCAAGCTGCTGGAGTCATCTCATCAGACTAAAACTGGTACTAATCAGGTAGGCACATCTGAGGTACTTTATTAAAACTTTTTAGCAGTTTTATAAGTGAGTTTCCGCCTGGAAAATATAAACTGGCGACGTTCTTGCCTAGAAATATCAAAATGGATATAGGCAAATTTCACTGGGAGAAAATCGTCACCAAACTTTATGCGGCATATATTAATAAAGTAAGTACATTAAGTTACTTAATGCAACTTTTATCAGTTTTTAAGTGAGTTTCTGTATGAAAAATATAAAAAGGGGAGGTTTATGACTAAAAATATTAAAATGGTAGAGGTAAATTTCCCTGGGAGGGCATTGTTATAAGGATGGTAACATTACATACAAAAAGACCTTTGATACAGTGGATCATGATATAATGTGTGAAATACTGGAGGCACTAATTTTTCATTACCAATTACTGTATTTCGTTTTGGTAAACTTCCATTTGGCTGAATTTGGTGCATATAAAAGAAGTTCACTGGGAGATGGAGTTTGATTATTTAATGATAATGTGACTTAAGCATACCGGTATATGATACAGTATTTTGGCTAATATAGAAGACTTCACAGCAGCTTCCCCCGTCTCAGTAATAATAAGTTCGCCCACAGTATGTGATGAGTTATACTAGGCTAGGCTAGGTTAGGTTAACTTAACTTTAACTTATAAATAAAACTTTTTAAAACATTTGCCACAAATACGACCGTCTCACTATAAAATATATTGAAATTGCGGTGTTTAAAAATTTGTTTTCTCTGAAAACCACAATATTTAACCTATGACAATAAATGAGGGCATATCAGCACTTAAAAGCCATTTCCTATTATGTTATGCATAATAGGAGAGAAAAAAGACTAACACAAAGAGAAATTAGACTAATGGCCACATACACTATGCTACAACTGCACATTAGTTATATTTGAAAATGACATTGGAAACAGTAGAAAATTTACATTTCCCCTGTGTTTGTAACTAACAGGCTTCCCACAAGTATTTTTATTTTGTAAAATCTTTTCTTTTCCCCAATCAAATGGACTAATAAATCACGTTCTCTCTGCGATATAGGACATGCCCTTGATGATTGGGAGGAAAAAATGTCCATGATGAGAGCGAAGTATTCTTAATTTTAGCGCCAACGAAGGTAAACAAACACACACAAGAAAGACGACCCATAATGCATCAGCGAAGTGGACAGTATACCAGACCTACCCTACTTGGTCCCACACGAAGGGGAAGAGTTTCGAGCAATTAAAAATGCCGCATGAAAGAACAATCCCTCCAAGAAGACTCTTCGTCAGAGGGGGAAGATGTTGTTTAATAATACGGGCATGAGTCTTTTCCTTACAAGTGCACATAGTACTGTACATGTGGTTGACTCATTTACATTGTAAAGGCAACCGTGGGATGCTAGAGTCCGACCTTCACAGAGTTTAAAACTTGAGAAAATTTTCTCAAAGTCAAGCAATTTCTCTCTCTTCTCAGTGTTGTAAACAAAATGAAGGGTTAGCCAAGGTGGGTGGGCACTCATCAAGCAATAAGTAGCAGCAAGAGCATGGCTCGGTTCTCATATACAGTACAGTAGTCAAATTCTATCAATATTTGATAAATAATGAGTCGCATTTATTTAAATGTGAAGCACAACACCTGCATTTGAAGAGACCCTACCGTAATTCTGGAAATAAATTGTGGGAAAAATAAATATTGACTTGGCTATGGAAAAGTTAGTACCGTACAGTATAGTCTTGATTTACGCGGATTTTCTTTACACGGTTGGTCATTTACGCGGCACCTGGCCAGACGCGGCAATTATTAGTTACGCGGTACATTCCATCATTTACGCGAGAAGCGGAGCAAGCAGGGTGCGCGCTAGGTCGCCCAGTCAACAAAACATTACCGAGTTCTTCACCCGCCGCCCACCACAGCCAGCCCAAATGGCCCTGCTAGCCTCTGTGGTGAATAGTGATACAGGTGATACAGGTGAGGGCCAATAATCTACCCTCTGCCACGGAACCAACCCCCCATCCCCGTGTGCCCAGCCATCTCTTCTACTAATGTAAGATGTCTTGAATAAAGACGAAAGCTAAGGTGCTCCGTTGTTTCCATTTTATTTTCCTGTGTGATTTTATCGATATATATATATATATATATATATATATATATATATATATATATATATATATATATATATATATATATATATATATATATATATATATATATATATATATATATATATATATATATATATATATATATATATATATATATATATATATATATATATATATATATATATATATATATATATATATATATATATATATATATATATATATATATATATATATATATAATTTTTTTTTTAATAGTCATTAAAACATATCCTTTCATACCCTGTACATATATTGCAAATCTGGTGGTGGGGCAAGTATATATTAAAAAAAAAAATCTAACTTAATTGATTAAATGGTAATTAAGCTTTGTAGCATTACACCTGTAGCACTTCAGCAAATTGACAACACCAAAATAAAGCAAGCTGAAATACTGATATTTGAGAAAGAACACATCACTGAAGACACACTGACTATGATTTAAAGTTTAGCTATGAAGTGTATTGAAATAAAGTTTTGCTCGATTCACCACTGGATTTGTATTCCTTACGTTATAATAATTGTATAGGAAAATTCCCCACAACATAATTAAAGTGGCAACCAAAGAATACTGCTGAAACAATTTTGTCCTTTTCATATTAAAATTGTGTAAAATCTTTTAAATAATAAATTCTTAAAATGTTGAGGAAGCTTACATGCACATCACAGTTTGAAGATTATCCAAATCGTAAGAATTTTACCCAAATGTTTTGTAGGCTAAGCTGGCAGATACACCATAGAAAATAGAACTTTCTCTATGTTTTCACTTGTCTACACATATAAAGTGATTAATAATTTCGGTAATTATTTAGGACTAACCCGCAAGCGAAATTGGTTGAAAACAATTATAAAAACGCCGGATTTTCATTGTTATATTATAGTGGACACTTGTAGTTTGTGGAAATATGTTAAAAAAAATTTATTTTTAAAATAAACGCTCCATAACCTTTGTGGTTATGCAGCACAGACCTAACCAACCAAACCTTACCTATCTTCCCCGGTATATTAAACAGAAAGAACTTACTATGATATGGTGAAATTTGAGGCAATTCTGGACGTGAGATAATATGGCCACATCAGAGCTATACAGCCAGGAGGGTTAGCCCTATATAGTAACCATAATTTCATTGCAATACAAAATTTGGCTCTCGTGTAGTGTAAAAGTTAACTCTATAGCATAACTTTATAATAGGCTTAAGGCTCAACTTAATCATGGTCATCTGTTTAGATTCTAGTCTGAGGAAACGCCCCGCCTCTACACCCTCCTTAACAAACAAGACTAATTAAGATATGTTGTGCATGTGACAAAATAATCACACTTTCCCCTGGAGATAACGTTAAAGATGATAAACAAATATTAAGTTAGAAGAAACTGATGTGAATGAATGTTATCACTTGCATGGTGTGGAACATTCTTGGCCTGGGTCTATCTCATCTGTCAAACTTACATCTTGGTCCTTTCCTTTGTTCTTGAATACTCCCATTCTGTTCTTGAATTGGTCATTTTGTTGTTTATCCATTTTAATTATGTCTCCAATATTAATTTGTTAACGAAAACACGTCCGGTGTCCTGGAAGACAGACACCGCGTGACGTCACACCTCAGCAACTACACCACCTTTGTAAGAGAACAGCTGATTGGTCAATTGTTTACGAGCCTCTGCTTTCAGATCACACTTGCAACATTTAATAGGGCCTTTAAATGTTTTAAAATAACGTAACATAATATCATTATTTTTTTATAAGGTATCTAACTCGTCTATTTATATTAGATATGGCATTTAATCAATACCGTAGAGAAAATTGTAATAGTAGAGATTTGTTTACAATCTGAAGGGCCAATCCAAAGACAGTTCTCAAACCTCTTTGGTGTTAAGTGTAGGTATAATGGCTTTCATTTTAATTTTTTTATATTAATATCCAACGAAATATATTTTACAGAGAACTTCTAAAAAATATTTTCAAATACCATTCGAAAAAAAATTCTTATGCGGTAATGTCTATCCTTAGATGAAATATTTTCGCAAAGTGTTGTTAAGAAATGTCACATGTTGTTTCCTTTATATCATGTGAAAATATAATATTTATTACTTTCTTTTTACATGATAATTTACACAAAGTACAGACATTCCTACTTTAATTGGGGCATGTGTGTAGTCCTCAAAATAATAAAATTAGAAACTCACCAATTGCTATTTGTCATATTTAGTATAACAATTAAATAAAAAAAAAACTTAATTTATTGAACAGATCAAATTCATGTTTATCAGCTACTAATTATAATATCACTATAAACTCCTTTATTTTAGGGTAAATAAAAAGTGTGGTTCTGAAGAGTATGTTTACATGTTACCTGCCTCAGCCTCCCTGGGTCTGTCTCTCTCACCATGGCCTCTCGTTTTGCTGTCTTAGATATCGACGTTGACCTGGATGAACGAGCGGGGAAGAAAAAACAGGAGAGAGCGAAGATAAAGAGTGATGAAAATGGTAAAAAAGTTTTAAACAAGCCAAATAATAAGAAGAAAAAGCCTGGGGTAGCAGACGGCCCCACTGTAAGTTCTTAACCCTCTGTGCTAGGTTAACACTATACCCATTTAGTGTTACTTAAATGTATAGTAAAAGGTACTAAGGCACTGGTTAATTTATATTTCAACCAATATAGCTCTCGAGTTGAACCCAACCTAATATACCTAATGTAACCTTAGCTCACCTAACCTACCTAATCTAACCCCTAGTGTGTAAGAGACTTAATTAAGAGTGATGCAACTTGAATGAGGGTGTGATGCCTTTTTCGGTGTCCATCTCTTATCACAGTACCATGCATGGTGATCTACACGGTATTGACACTGAATTATATCTCCGATACTTTACAGATGAAACAAAAACACCGTGAGCACTAAAAATGACAACGGCTGCTGCTTCGTTGTCCAAAATGCGCTGAATAATACGGCAGCTAGCCAATGTACATCTATCTCACACAGACGCCGTCTTTCAACTGGCTGTGAACGCCGATTAGTGCATGAGTATTTTGTCATATCAACACTCACGCTGATTGGCGCACACGACTATGATGTCACATCAAACCATACTGATTGGCCAAATATTATACTTTACTTTTTATTTTTACTTGAAAATTAAAAATTTCCGACGGAAACGTTATAGAATAAATTAATATTTTCGTTCTCTATCTCCGCATATACTGTATGACTCAATATTCAGTTGCCTGGTGTCAACTTTTAAATATTGACCAAGTAATTTGTGAGCGAAATGTCATAGAAGAAATATAGTGGATATTTTGTTGTGACCAGCTAAGTTCCTACGAACGCTATTTTACTGTGAGTGCAGTTTGATTGACTAAGTACTTTTTGTTTAATACGATGGGAAGTTCCACCTACGAAGTTAGATAGGTTTCTTTGGTTGGTTAGATCAGGTTCTATAAGGTTCTACCTTAGTAAATGTTGCCTCTTTTATAATGATAATTTTCCATGCACAACAGAAATATGGTTAGGTATGTTTACAGCTACACAACGATCGACTCATGGCGAAATAAATGCCAAATGCCGCCAGAGTCACGGTCAAATACAGTTCTTGTGTTATTCGCCGGTAATGGACGATTATCCAAATAAAGCACGTTCTGAATAAGGTGGCATTAGTAGGAACTTAGTCACGGCAAAATCTCCACATACTAGAAGAAAAGTATCTTAAAATTGTCTAAGCCATCGGAAAAACATATTGCTCAACTCGAAAGCCATATTGGTTGAAAATGCAATAATACCGAGGTACTTACTGAAGGCAACATTGAGATGGTTGCCTGTATCTGCAATTAATATCCTAAAAAGAGCTACAGACTAACCTTTAATAGCATAACCCAATCAATGTGCACTTCACTGGTGTAATTATCTAAAGAAATTGAGTTATAGATACGGAAGAGGTTGACCATGAAGACTACTAACAAAAATCGGTTGGTATTATTTCACTTGTTGCCACCAAATGAATCTCGGGAACTTTATAGTTGCAATTGGTAATTTGGATAATTTTAAGACACTTCCTCATTGGCATATCTTGCGCAAATTACGTATAAGCGAGATATTTAATATTTTATTATGTATGTTCATACGGGATGGTACACACCCAGAACATTGAACGACTGTGGGGCCCCTCTAGTTTCTGAGATTGGACGGGGGGCTTACCTCAGAAATTATTGATTTGTGCCAGAAATGAAGGTCAAATTCGTTAATAACACATCAAAAACCATTGGAAAAACAGTTTCAAATTCGATTTTGTATAGTGGCAACACGTGAAAATTTACCAATAGGTTTATCCAGGGTATTATTTTAGTTGGTATTACAGGTATTGCAGTTTCAGCCCCAACTTGGTTAGAGCAATTTTGTGGGGGGGTGGGGCGATAACTCAGTAACCACAAATTTGCAATGGAAATGAAGGTAAATTTGGTATGAATGAGACCAAATACTACGGATAAAACAAAAATTTATGGTCGAACTGTAGTTGGGGCTGAAACTGCAAATTTAACTTTTAGTTTCGGTTATCCAGGGAATCTTAAAAATAAAACAATTGGAATCAGTGGTTTAGACAATTTGAAGACTTCTTCTGTAATATTTCCCTCGCAAATGATTACCATATGCCCGGGGCAGATCCCCCAATTAGGAGGTTAGGTCAGGTCATTTGCGAGGGAAACGTCATAGAAGAAAAGTATCTCATAATTGTCAAAATTATTGATTGCCATACAGAAGTTAAATTCCTAAGATTTTCTTGATTACCAAAACTAAAACTTTACCTTTTCTAGTGTATTTTGTGGTGCCTCAAGTGAATGTGACTCCATTTCTGTCGCAAATAAGCCATCATGGAGATTTGACTCCCTAATTACCAGCAACATTGATTGCACAAACTGGGTAGAGCCTTGAAGTAAGAGGAGGTCATGTCTGAGAACAGCACTACCACAAGAAGTTGTTGGATTTTGTTAATTTTTTTCTACAGATGTTCTTATCATTATAGTACTGGTAAGTATTTTAAAAGAGGTGACATTTACTTTTATTCTCTTCTCCAGTGATTGGCCCATTACCCACTTGGGGGGTTGGTCACGTCTCTGTTACACACTGTTGGCAAGTACTGGGCATGCACTGGCTCCTGAATGTATCTGAACCTGCTCCAGTGTTGGTCAAGTCTTTGTATTGAAAGAGCTCACACTCAGTGCCGTTACAACTCACACAAGCAGATTGTTCCAAGAGTTCAAATTCTCACTCTGAAAAAGTTTATCCTCACAGTTTTCTGGACTTGTGGGTGGCTTCTTCAACCTTGAGCTGTGACCCCTTGTGGGGCGAGCGTCCACCAGCTCTAGGTATGGATACTCTATTGAGTAGTGCCATCTGAGAAGTTTATAAACTTCAATTAGGTCTGTAATATAAACTAGGCAGTTGCAGGCATTCTATTCTCTCTGGAGAACTGAGGTGTCGTAGTGTCGGCACCAGTCTGGTGGCCCTCATTTTGGCATTTTCAATCAAATGACAGACGAGTGACAGTCTCTAGCATATGTCAGGGACCAGACAGGACGACAGTACAGTACTCCAAACGGGAACCTGACCTAACCAACCAAAGAAACCAACCTAACTTCTTAGCTTGGGGGAGGGGGAGGGGGGTGCCATTTTAAACAGAAAGTACAGTACATATTTTGATATCTGGTACCAATGAAAGCAACTTTGCTGAAGTGTTATGGTGTAATTTTACATTTTTGTGGATGTGAGAGTGCACTCGGACCGAGCAGGTTAGTTGTAAACAAACAACTGGCTCTGACTTGGCAGATTTTTCAGAGGAGTATTTATGGTAAGTAATCAATTTCTTCACGCACAAAGCACATACAGACATCATTTTATTGCCATATGATCAGTTTTTCACCGTGTTTTACCTTGCAATTTCCCCTCTGTATATATATATTAGCTGCTCCCCGACTTACGACGGGGTTAGGGACCAACATCCAGGTCTTAAGTCGAAATGGTCGTAAGTCGGGAATGCTTAAATAATACATAGAAAATCTAAAATGGGGGGTCTCTTTTTCTTCTCAACACCACAAAACACTCACTTTTAAGCTTGCCAGCCATTTTAAAGTGAATTACAGATGAAAATTTTGTCTTTGTACTGACTTTGGGACTCGAAAATACGTAATTTGACCAAATTTTGATACGACTGAGACAGGTCGTAAGTGCGGGTGGACGTAAGTCGAGTAGGTCATAAGTCGGGGAGGAGCTGTATATATATATATATATCTTGATAAAATCACACGGGAAAATGGAAACAACGGAGCACCCTAGCTTTCGTCTTTATTCAAGACGAAAGCTAGGGTGCTCCGTTGTTTCCATTTTCCCGTGTGATTTTATCAAGATTTATCTTATCCACGTTTTCATTGTGGATTTACATGAAATATATATATATATATATATATATATATATATATATATATATATATATATATATATATATATATATATATATATATATATATATATATATATATATATATATATATATATATATATATATATATATAAATCACTGTAGGTGCGCGTGATCCAGGTATATGCTGATAACCACAAGGAAAAAGAAAACACGAAGTTCCCAAGCGCTTTCGTGTAATTCACATCTTCAGGGGTGAGTACAGACTAGTCTGTACTCACCCCTGAATATATATATATATATATATATATATATATATATATATATATATATATATATATATATATTATATATATATATATATATATATATATATATATATATATATATATATATATATATATATATATATATATATATATATATATATATATATATATATATATATATATACAGTGACCCCTCGTTTAACGAACGCCTCGGTTAACGAAATTTCGGTTAACGAACTGCCTTCCATAAGGATCTTCAATTCGGTTAACGAACAAAAATTCGGTTAACGAATTTCTTACGAACCGACCTCAACATGTTTTCGCTTGCACTGGCCGGGCAACCAGCTTTAGTATCAGTCCACCAATACATTAATCGGCTCTAGGGCATAAATTCCTAACTATTTTAGTAAATATCAAGAAGTTTATACTATTCAATAATTTTAAAAGTTTAATATTCAATTTTTTAGTCATTTTAACAATTACTGAACATAATTGAAGGTAAAGTGACTAGTTTAAAGCGCAGCATCCAGCCTCTTAACACAGCAAACAGGCGTTAGTCTCTCTCTGTTTTCACTGGAGGTAACATCTTGCTTGAGACTCTCTTCAACTAAACGCTTTTTTTCTGTGTTTCCAAGCAAATTATTGGTCATTTTGAAATATATTTTACATATTGACAATATATAATGCAGTACAGTGTTGATTTAAAGAAAATAATCTTGAAATACACCAAGAGAACTAAAATTTTATGGGTGAAATGGTGCCATGGGGTGACTTCTCTTCCACCCCAATGCCTTCTCTTCTTCCTTCTCCTCCACCCCCATTGTAATTCCCATCATCATCATCATCATCCAGGAGCCTTCTACATACACACCTCAAAGTAAGTGAACTTTTCTACCATTTTTGTTGAATTTGGGAAATTTTGGTGAGACTGGAACCAATTACCCAAAAACCCATTGAAACAATGGTTTCGGTTAACGAACTTTTTCGGTTAACGAGCGACCTTCTGGAAGCAGTTGAGTTAGATTAACGAGAATCACTATTATATATATATATATATATATATATATATATATATATATATATATATATATATATATATATATATATACAGTAAATCACTATGAGTCGCGTAGTCTAGGTATATGCTGATAACCACAAGGAAAGAAAACAGAAGTTCCCCAGAAAGCTTTAGGTGTAATTCATCTTCCAGGGGTGAGTACAGCGCTTCTCGTGTTCCTTGATTATACAGTGGGGTATGCTATAACGAACGGATCCTACTACGAATATTCCTATAACGAACGGTTTTACCTATAAAATTGAGAATGCTATAACGAACGAAACTCCTACAACGAACATAATTTATTTATTTATTTATTTTTTCTAATTTATTGTTTTATTATTACAAATATTAATGATATTCTTTATTTCAGGGGTTTAGATGCATATTTATGCACTTTTTACAATTTTTACAATTTTATATTATATTTTTCAGTGTTAAGTGGTTGTATTTGGGGGCCTGGAACGGATTAATCCTATAACAAACGAATGCTATAACGAACAAGGTTCTAGAACCAATTAGATTCGTTATAGCATACCCCACTATATATATATATATATATATATATATATATATATATATATATATATATATATATATATATATATATATATATATATATATAAAACTATATATACTTCATTTTTAGTCCATATAACACGCGGACTTTGAACATATAATCACGGCGCCATCAGCTCGATGAACAGGCTTTGTGTGAAATATAACAGAGTCCAGGACTGCTTTTAGTGTCCTTGTGGGCTAGCCGGTAAGCGTTCCCTAGTCCCACCCAGTTGGTCGAGGGTTCGATTCCTTGCTGGTGGGGTCGTTGATTATATGTTCAAAGTCCGCGTGTTATATGGACTAAAAATGAAGTATATATATGTACCTCGCGTTTCATACCAGCTGGATTCGGTAAAATGCTACTGACACCACATAAGAGGCACGGGCAGTTTCCCAATGAGGTTCACGGCGCCATCAGCTCGATGAACAGGCTTTGTGTGAAATATAACAGAGTCTAGAACTGCTTTTAGTGTCCTTGTGGCCTAGCCGGTAAGCGTTCCCTAGTCACACCCAGTAGGTCGAGGGTTCGATTCCTTGCTGGTGAGGTCGTTGATTATATGTTCAAAGTCCGCGTGTTATATGGACTAAAAATGAAGTATATATATGTACCTCGCGTTTCATACCAGCTGGATTCGGTAAAATGCTACTGACACCACATAAGAGGCACGGGCAGTTTCCCAATGAGGTTCACGGCGCCATCAGCTCGATGAACAGGCTTTGTGTGAAATATAACAGAGTCTAGAACTGCTTTTAGTGTCCTTGTGGCCTAGCCGGTAAGCGTTCCCTAGTCCCACCCAGTAGGTCGAGGGTTCGATTCCTTGCTGGTGAGGTCGTTGATTATATGTTCAAAGTCCGCGTGTTATATGGACTAAAAATGAATATATATATATATATATATATATATATATATATATATATATATATATATATATATATATATATATATATATATATATATATATATATATATATATATATATATATATATATATATATATATATATATTTCTCTCCCTATATAAATATCAAACCGAAGTCCTGTGTTCAGCCTTCTCCGACTCTTAACCGAAATTGATTATAGGCTGTCATCCTGACCTGCCATAAGGTAAAACCTTATTACCACATTGACAAGTTATTGCTGAATATTCATCTGATTATTATCTAACTGTAATGCCAGGAATTTTAGTTTTGATAATACCTGTAGTAAAGGACAGGGATCTGGGTTACCCAGCTACCTAATGAAAAATCTCTGAAGAAGAAAATTTCTTTCTTACCTCAATAATAAACCAACTTGGGTGGAGGAATTCCACTTTTCATGTTGTTATTTCTTTTTACTTTTTCTTGTGAATAAATATGTTTTGTGATTGTAATCCACCCATTGACACCTTGTTTGCATTAGACCTGTTGATAAATGCTTCTGGGCAACTGATCAACCAAATGCCCAGCACCAAATGCTTCCTAGCAATCTTTCCATAGGAACTGAAATGTTAACACCCTAACCAATCCCACGAAACCCTGGAAGACCGGTAGCATTTATGTGTATACAATGGACAACACTGAGAAGTGTTCATGAGCTTTGTCAAACTAATACTGTGGAAATTGCAAATGTTTGTTGTCATTTCTTGGAATATTCTTAACCCTTTGGCTGTGGGAGGTTACCTTAAGCTGAATAAAATTATTAGCGGTAGCCAGAATAAAATGGCAAATGCGGAAAATGCAGCGAAAAGGTTAACATAAAAAGGAACTTACTATTGTCTGTACAAAATTTGTCTGAAGTTGCTGTTTCTTTGTGAGTATGAAATGGAAACATGTTATATTGTATGTATGAAACATTCCTTCTGCCCATGTAAAAATTTTTGGTGTAAGTAAACTTTGCAGCGTTGTTGGGCGTTGTTGTTTTATAGACAAATACAACCGATAACTAATAAAGACTCAAAAATTTGCATAATTCATGAAGCACAGGGGGCAATTAATATTTAGGTTATTGTTCACCCTCCGTGCTTTGCTGCTATCACTCATTTAGCGATAATTTCGCTTTACATAAAGTTTTCAGGAACGCCATCCCATCGTTAAACAAGGGATACCTGTACGGTAATGTAATAGATGTACTAATAAAAAATAGCTTTTATCGCCAGCATAATATGTAAACCACTTTTATTTATTAAAGTAGATGACATCAACGAACATAACCTAGATCAATGAAAACTATTCTGGAATCATTGGGTTAGTTTCATTTGGTTTATTTTGTCTTCATTCAGAAATAGTCTAGACCCAAAGTTTTGACATGAGTGTAGGCAGGTGAGAACACTTAATATTTAAGGATATTGTGTGACTGTCATTCATTCATTCTTTAGTTCTGAAATGACAAGAAGATGCAGTATAAGCAAACTAATTGTAACTTCTTCTTGTATCATGATACTGGATAGCTACACTACAAGTATCACCCAGCTTTTTTGTAAGGAAGCTTAGATTTTTAAACTCAAGGATGTAACATTAATACCTTCATGGTTTCAGAGTTAAGTATGTGTACAGATTTTGTTTGTACAGACCTAGTACAGTACTCTTAACTAAATTTAGCTCAAAGAAATTATTTATTAAGTCCAACAATGTATGCAAATTATTTGTATTAGTGCACGATATATTTCTCAACAGCTGCAGGCCATGGCATTTGGATCCAACAAAGGCAAGAATAAGAAAAAGCCCAATAAACCAGGAGAGGGAGTGGATAAAGATGGTGTTAGTATTAAAACAAATGGACAAGTTAATCCAAGAGTAGACGAAGATTGGCAACGTCGGGATAATGAGGTATATATGTTTATTGGAAATATATCAGTAGTTCTGGTGTGAGTACGCTTTCTTACTGTATGTAAGTTATCTCAATATTGTTCTTGTATGGATAAGTACAGTATGTTTTCCTAGGATAAATATAATGTATCAGTTTAAGTATGTTCACTCCTTGTACAGTATAATTATTCTAACCTTTACAGTATACAAAATATAATTTCTGCTCAGTAACTTCAAAAAGGTTTCACATATTAATATGACATTTGGTATTCGGCTTTATTTCATTTACAGTATATAAAGGCTGAGAATAATAATCAAATTTTCTTTGTTAATACAGGGATGCCTCACTTATCGCAAAGGTTACGGGCATGAAACTCGTTGCGAATATCAAAATTGCGAATAGCGGAGCAATTTCTCCCATAAGAAATAATGTAAATAGGGGGGATACGGGCATCGCGGTGGTCACGGCCGTCAGATTTTAACACTTGTTTTACTCAATACATTAAGGACATAAAATAATTAAAGAAACAAGGTCATAATATCAAATAAACATCAATAACAAACACTTTATTAGGCGTATATGTTTACAAGTACAGTATACTTTACATGTTTGAGTGTTTGATTGTTTATGTGCGTAGGTGTGTGAGGTAAGTTTTAAACGTAGACTGTTAATTTACCTCTGATGTGCTGTGTTGCTTGCTTGCTGAAGTTGGCATTAGGGGAGAGGGTGAAGGTTTACTGGGCTTGAGAGGTGGCTGGGGTCATCAGCCACCTCACTCTCCTCATTGTGTTTTAAGGTGCTGGGTCTGGTCGTCAATCCACGTGCTCAACATCCGCTCCATACTCTCCATCTCAAGCATCATGGAACCTCGTCACCTTCGTAGCCGTCAGTAGTGTTGCAGACCCGGCTATCTCTTTGATCTTGTCGGTGCTTTTAACTATAGAATGCACCGTAGAGGGAGCCAAGCCGTGCACGCTCCCAATCACCGACGTTCCTCCTTCGTGTTCATGTCTTTTTACGATAGCCAATTTCACGTCCAACGTAACTGCCACACGTGATCTCTTAGCAACATTGCTGGGAGATTCAGTAGCTGGTTGCTTAGGCATTGCAAGATCAAACAAAACACACGCCAGCACGTGTGAGACTGAGGCGAGCGAGAGTGTACGGTGGAGGAATATGTACTTACGCTGTCCTACACTACGATAGAGACGCATGGTTCAAAATTTTTGCTCGTAAGAATATGCGAATAAACGGGGCAACCATTGCGAATAGTGGAAATGGGTAACAATAAATTGATTGCAGATAAACGGGATTACGAATACCGAGGTTATGAATAACGGAGTTGGCTTGTACAGTATTTGTCATTCATTACAAGGGTTTCTCAGCTGCCCAAAATTACTGGATTTGTCAATTTTTGCAGAGAATTGAAAATATTGAAACATAAATACAGTAAAATTATAATAGAAATATAATATTTCTGGTCATGTATTTTTTCTCTCTTTTATACCCGCTAATTTTAACTGCACATGATCAAGAAAAATACACATTGGCATCATGTCCATTAGTGACTCTTTCAGTGCAGTGTTGCCGTTTCACACCTTTTTCATCTATTACGCAGACTAATTTATGGTGGGAAATACAGAGTGGGAGCTGCAGTCTGAAGTATTTAGACTAGATACTCTGCATGTTTTTAAATCGATTACAGTATTTGGTTAGTATTAGCCACTATTTTCTCTAAAATTCAATTTGTCATCCATTCACTTTTAGCCTCGTTCCTCTCACATCCTATAAGTTTTTCTCAATCTCCAACATTACTTTCTTTGTAATTATTAAATTGTTGTCTGGTCCTTGTTAAACATATTAAATTGTTGTCTGGTCCTTGTTAAACAAAGTCACCCTCTAGCAATGCTGAAAATCTATTTTTGGTTTCAGTTTCATATTTCTACCCCTGTCTGTGTTTGATCTTACCGAAATCCTATTTGAGTTTGTCCATGGGACATGATATGACCCACAATCTGCCCCTGGATAGTTTTTGGTTCAGTGTATTGAATTTCTGAATCTTTCCTGAAGTAAAATATAATCTGTTTGATTCCTGACAACGTTGCTTACATTGTCCTGGGACGAGACCCATGTACTGTATGGAAATGCCTAGGGTGTTGGTCAAACCATGTACGTACAGTATTTGCAATTGTCATCTTGTTTTCCTTAAAAAAGTCAATTAATATTTCTCCTCTTTTGTTTGTTAAAAAAGTGTTTTGAAATGATGAAATTTGTATTGGAGTAGAAAAAGTGGTGTTTTACGATTTTTTAAATTTATTGTACTCCTCTTTGGCTGTTTTACTGATGTATTTATAGTACTGGAGCATATCCTCATTGCTTTCATTGTAAAAACATTAAATATAACTTTTGTTTCATTTTTTTTAGAGAAGCATTAAATATTTTTTATACCTATGCTGTATGTTTTATTAAATCAGTTTTAAAGGTATAATAAATAAATATTGAACAAAAACATAGTTTCTCCCCCATCAAAAATTGTCAGCACAAATGTGTTCATCGTGTGGATACTGTGGCCATATCATGTGTTCTGACTCGGATGACAATGTACCGTAATGTGTATAGTAAACATATGTACAATATTACTAATTATGTATTACAAAGTAAATAAGAAAAATAATTAGATACTTTTAAAATAAAATAATGTATTGGTTATGAAAAAAAGTAATAAATAAATAAAGCTAAACTTAAGTTATCATGATGGACAAATAAAATGAGACCAATGTTGGATGCAACTTACTTGACCTTGACTGTATATCGAACAGGTTCCACAACATATGCACTAAACATTCACATCATCTCCAATAAACATTCACATCATCACCACTAAACATTCACATCATCTCCACTAAACATCCACATTACCTATACTAACATCCACACTACCTCCACTAATCATCCACACCAAATCCACTACAGACCCACTTCACCTCCACTACACATCCACGTACGTACATCAGGACTCGGAAACCTTTAAGAACCTTTGTGCATGACTTGGGAAGACTTGCGTTTGTCTCGCCTGCCAATTATGGATGTTCTCCGATATGGATGGAAAAGTTTTCGAGATATATGGGCCTGAGTTGCGAGGGTGTACTGTATAAGTTTACTGGTATATACAGTACAGTATTACTTTACTATTAAACAATGTGTATTTGGTCAAACTTTCTTACAAGTGCACAATTGGTTTGGCATTTAAATAGGAAATGCAGGTATACAGTTCATCATGTATATAGACAATGCAAGTACAGTATACATTGTACAGTTGCGCAAAAAAAATTGTGGTCCACCCAAGGTGGAGGGTATGAAGACCCGTCCCATCCTTACTGGACTGCGAGTCAGTACTGTACATAGACTGTGAAGGTATACAATTTACAATATACACTCACTAAAAATGTATTCTGCACCCTTGGCTCTGAAACCATCCGCAATGATCACTGCGACAGAAGCCGTAATGAGTGTTATCAGATTTCTTGGTAATGTGTCATATTGTATAACCCCGTAAAGGTGCAGAATACAGGTAGCCTTTTAGTGAGTGTACCTAGACAGTGCAGAGAAACATCAAGGCAATTCGACTAAGGATAGATAGCCAACAAAGCCATCAGATTTTTTTTTTTTTCAGTTTATTCGTGATGAAAATGAGCGCAGCCTTCGAGAAGCTTTGATGTTGTCCAAACTTGATTTTGAGGAGAAAAAAGTATTTTATGCAAAGATGAAGAAAGAACAGCAAGATGAAACAAAAGGAGGAAAAGTAAAAAAGAAGAAAGATAAGCCTGTGACAATGTCTTTAGATCAGTTCAACAGCCTCCGCCCAGACCAGGTATTTTAACTTGCTGATCCTTAGACACAGTCCTGAGATTTGTTCAACAGACTTTGCCCTAATTATGAAACTATTTGTTCATTTATATTTTGTGAGGTGGCCTGTTTAGATCAAATAAACATTATTTGCAGTTTGGGATTCAGCCAGAATGGATATTGTAGGCATTGACTGCAAATAACAGCACTGATACAAGAGAATTTTACGTTTTGTAATTTGTGTTCTTTAAACTAACCCCTGCAATAATGTACAAGGTACTTTCCTATGGTTGTACCCTAATTTGTAATGCATATACAGTACCTTTATACTTTTGTAATTATTTTTGTTTTTGGTAGTTGACAGGGAAACATGAACCAGATCAACAAGAACCTCAAAGCCAGGGGGATCTGCCAGATGAAGAAACATTTTTTGAAGACATTGATGAAGCAGCTCGAAAAACTCTGGAGAGAGAAAGTAGACATGAAAACTATAAAGCAACAGCTGGTCAGGTAATGTCAATTCTTCAACCTTCCTTTAAATAATGGAAATTAATTTTGCCCTCTGATGTGTTTTACACACAATAAAAAACTATTTTTCAGTTTTGTGTTAGACATTGAGACACAACAGATAAAGGATTTTGACAACCCTACTTAGACAATAGGATCTATGATGTGGGTTGCTCCCTGCCCATCTCTCCCCCAAGATTCCTTTAACCCTTCTTTATGGATTTTAACCATAATTCTCATATAATTTAGGTTCATTTGGTAAGAAGTTGGTAAAATATATTCCTAAAATAATCAGTTTTCCTGAAAAAAGAATCCCACACTGAATACCATGAGTCATTTCATACTCATTTGTTTACGAAGAGCATACAGCTGATTGGTTTACAACACTTAGTAAATTAGTACAGTACAGTACAGTACAGTTGTGTATCCATCATCACTTAATAAATACTATTGCAGTGTGTTTATCACCACTAAATAAATAATATTGTATTGTATTTATTATCACTTAATAAGTAATATTGTCGTGTACAATATTGTGTATCTGCATATACCCTGGTTTATTCATTAATTATTTGCTTAAGTGTACAAGTAGCCAAGCTGAGTCATCATATAACACTCAAAGGTGGTAAATAATGTTGTTAGGAAGGTATCTTCATATAAAATATTATACAGTATGATATTGTGACCCCTGTTGTAAGCTGGCCTGCTGAAAGTTATCATACAAATGCATCTTGAGTAAATAACCTTCTGATACAGCTTAAACTTTTATTTTCAAGTCATATTACAAATTACATGTAGTATTGTATTTTTTCTCTATTACTGAAGATGTTATTTTAATCATGATGAACTATAAACCATAAGAGGCCATTCATATGAGAATATGATATACTGACTCAATAGATAAATAAACCTGACGAATGTGGCAACACTGGATCAACCTCAGCCTGCTTACATACTCAAGTGTCTTAGTTCTCAATAGGTCTATAGCAAACCTGATTAGACCACTGTACAGTATTCAGTAAGTGTGGTTCTTTTCATGAGATTTATTTGTTAATCTTCACCATTTCTTAAAACTTTTTTTTTCTGGTGACCAGAGCACCTCAGAGTCCGAAAAAAGCGAATTCCGACATATTGAAGTCCGATTTATCGAGGTTTTACTGTCCTGTATTATTATTATTATTATTATTATTATTATTATTATTATTATTATTATTAGGCATTTATGAGTATATTTAGTAGCATAAAAGGAGAGAAAATCTTATGTATCAAGCTGTTGTTTAATGAAAGATTCCAGGCAATCCCTTTACTAAAATATAACTCCTGCTCATCATTATAATTTTATGCCATTTTAACACTTTTATGGGTTAGCCACTATTACCTTTTTTCTTTTTTCTCTTTTATGGGGGGATTGGCCCAGCCAGGCACAGGTCAACGACCCACATCTGGGCCTAGGGGGGCGGAAAAAAAACGAATAGAAAGAAATTAAAAATAGAAAAGGAAAAGGTTATATTAATCTACACCGCGAAGATGCCAGAAAACCAGCTTTTTAAAGTGAGACAGATTGTATGAGTATGGAAACAGAAGAAGGTAGAGCATTCCACAGTTTGGCTGTGTGAGGAAAGAAGGAGGTACTATGACGGGTTATTCTAGTGTGACCGACATCCACAGAGAAATGGTGGGCACTGTGGGCAAGACGTATTTTATGAGCCCACGGCCTTGCCGGCTGTACACAGGATGCCAAATCCACCTAACATTGCCCGTTAAAGTACCTGTAAAAGAAAGAGAGTGAAACAACATTGCGGCGAAGAGAAAGGGAAGAAAGATTGCCAACTAAAGGAGGAGAGTTATTCAGACAAAATGCCTTTGATTCCACCCTAACTAGCAGTTGGACAGAAGAAGACCCACCCCAGATATGAGAGCAGTACTCCAAGTTAGGACACATGAATCCCTTATATACTTGAAGCAACCACTCAGGAGTGAAGTAGCTACGGCATCTGTACAGCATTCCCAACTTTCGGGAGGCAGCTTTAACAGTGTTGAGGATGTGTGGCTTCCATGACATATTAGAGAAAATGGTGAGGCCTAGCATATCTATTTTAGAATTTGGCAGAATGATAGCATTCTGAAATGTGATTGGTGGGAGATCATCTAATTTGGAAAGTGTAATTGGTAAATACTGTACTGAGTTTCATTGCTATTGAATTTTACCAAGTTTCTACCTCCCCATTCGGAGGTGCTGCACAGATCCGCATTGATAGATGTAATGATATCGGCTCCAGAAACAGATCTAGTTTGAGAGTTAGGGGGAAGGGGAAAATGTGAAGTAGAGTGAAGAGTAGAATCATCAGCGTAAGAATGGATAGAATTAGTTGTGGTGTGAAGTGAATCATTGATAAAAAGAAGGAAGAGAGTAGGTGAAAGAACAGAACCCTGTGGGACACCACTATTGGTAGAGAAAGAGCGAGAGATCAATCCCTCGACTACAACTGCCATGGATCAGTTCTTGAGGAAGCTGGAAATTAGAAAACATAGTGGGGGAGAGAAACCATAAGAGGGAAGTTTAGAAAGCAAAGACTTGTGCCATACCTTGTCAAATGCTTTGGAGATGTCAGGGGCCACGACGGAAGTTTCCCCATAATCCCTAAGAGAGGATGACCTAAGATGGGTGCAGTAGGAGAGCAGACCACTAGTAGATCTCGCCTGACGAAAGCCATACTGGTGATCCGACAAAAGAAAATGGCATTCAAGGTTACGGAGAAAATGGGAGTTTAAGATAGTTCCGAAAGTCTTAAGAGACAGATGAAGTTAGGATAATGGGGCACGGGGGCCAGAGCTTCAGAACACGAGGGGTTATTCCGTCCGGTCCATGCGTCTTATTCACATCCAACCTGGATAACACACCAGCAACCCTCCGAGTGGAGATTATAGGAAAGTGCAGAAGTTCAATGGGAGGGTTAGAGTTGGAATCGTCTCAGGTGGAATTAGAAGAGAATACGGTGCCAAAGAGATTGGCTCTGTTAGGGGGAGAGTTGGCTATAAAGTTATCAGGTCGGAAGAGAGGAGGAAAAGGAGGAGTGCAGAAGTTATTACAGATGCTTTTGGTTGAGAACCAGAAGGATTTACTAGAGGAATAATTAGTCAGGACAGTGGTCTTTCTTTTCATAAATTCCGCTTGGCCCTACGAATAATAGCCTTACAGCGATTCCTAGAAGTAATGAAAGAGGAGTGGGTAATAGGAGGAGATAGTTTCACAGCTTGATTACCCTATCTCTCTCCCTGCATGCAAGAGAGCAGGAGCAATTAAACCATGATTGTAAAGAGTTATAAAGGTTGTAGTTGGAGACTTGAAAAGGTATGGGTGAAGCTGCTTTGGTCAGTTGAAGTTCGGAGAGTAGTAAGAGGTCGGGGGAAGAGGTTAATAGATGGTGCTACACAGAAGGAAAATTCGATCTCAGGCCGCGAATGTTGGAAAAATGAAGTGTGAAAAAAGCCGATCCCCCAGCAACCGCGGTGGCGTCAATTGAGGCCCCAGTAGTTTGATGATGATCATGTCGGCCCTGGGGTCCACAACCTTCCCAACCATTGAGACCCAGCCGAGAATGCCCCGCTTCAATATTAATATCAACTAACCTCATTGGAGAATAAAATAGAATGAATAGAGCAAATCAAGAGTGAAAAGGTTATATTAATTGTGTTGTCAATAGTAAGAGAGACAATTGAGACCCTGCAATTGTTTATAAATGTGGCAGAAAGAAAGATCAGCAACCTGGGATTTGGTCACAATTTTCGTGATGCCATATGGTAGCAGGATCTACCATTAGACAACACATTATGCTTCCAATAACTTCCCAGGCACCTGATGGCAGCTCTCCATGCTGCACATTCTCTTGCAGTCTCTCTTTTAAGATTCTTACTCTAATGTCATTCTTGGCCTACCCCTGGCTCTCCTCCCCCTTCACATTTAGGCTCATGTTGGTCTCATCCATTACCTCCTAATGCGCAAACCATTTCAGCCTGCCTCTACACTGGGCTTTGCCAATGATTTCATTACCCAGTCGCCCTCTTAGCTCTAAATAAGGTTTCCTATCTTTCAGTCTCACATTACACCTCCACCTAATCATTCTCATTTCAGGTCCCCTTTTAACTGCCCATGTTTCACTGCCATACAATATCTCACTCCTCACACCAGCTGCATACATTCTTACTTTCACTCAGTGTTGCTACAATAAAACCCAAGTTATCCAGAGTCAGGGTAACCGGCAGATTCCACTAACCAGCACCAAAATTAAATGAGAAAAATAAAAATTCCTCCAAAATCAGCTAGAATCGTAAGTTTGAATTCCACATGTAATGGGGGTGAACTGCCATATTTATTGCTATGATCAACAATAAAATTGATATATAGCATTTCATAAAATACAATATGTAGTATATATTTTATGTACAAAAAATATCTTTCCACACTCAAACCATCCTTTTGGGCAATGCAACACAATTCAACCGGACAGTCACGCATCTGACTTTGAGACGTGTGTGTGTGTGTTGCATGCGTGCGTGTGTGTTTGTGTCACCTGGCAGCCACCCGGTGCACTACAGTACTAAACTGTTCTATGGTGATGCAACAAGGCGGAGTTCATGTCGTTCAACAATTATCAGTGTTGTTACTTATCATCGGTATTTTTTTCTTTTACCTTACAGGCAGAGAACATCATTAACGTTCACATTGTACACTGTTTTGGTGACTGTGAAGTGATTTTGTATTTATTTTTGGTAACTGTAAAGTGCATTGGCTCTTATTGTCAACATGATGTGAGGAGTGGTGGCCACTATCATTGTTTTTACGTTTTGTGACATTATTTCACTGTTTTTTGTGACTGAAGTGAGCAGTATTCTTAATGATGAGGTGAGTGTTGTTTAATTGTTTTATGTCTATTATTAGTGTAGGAATTTATTTTTTCTGTGATACATGTGAGTTGGACTGGCTGGGAACATATCCCATTGAACCCAATGTTACAATGCTCCGCTCTATGATATTTCACATAGCAATGGGTTTTTTTAGGAAGTTACCCCATTGTAAATAGGGGGATACCTGTATGCTGATAGGTTGTCTGTCCATCCATTTATCATTTTGATAGCAAATGAGTTTTTTTATTGTATTTTATTTTCAGATCTGATACAACTAGAATAATTCTATGATTCCTCATTCTTTGCATTTGGACACAGTTCAGTGATTTTATAATAATTTCTTGTGAGGTTTCTAATAATTTTATATGTATAAAAGAGCAAGGGAGGTAAGAAATTTGTTTCTTACTAATGAAAGGGTATCATCTCACAGAAAACCATCAAAATATCTCTAGATAATATTTGTGGAATCTTTAGTGATGACAGTGTTCATCTATACAATGTATGTACAAAATTTTAGGAATTAAATATATACCAGTAAAATAAAATCTTATTGGTTTCTGTTTCATCACAGTACAATCAAGAAGTTCGTGTTTCTCAATATGAAGCCGAGCTAGAAAAGCGAGACTTTGAAATTCAGGCCCTAAGACTAGAAGTGGAATCCCTGAAGGGTGAACTAAAGTTAGTTAAAGGCAGGAATAAAAAACTTTGTGAGGTAAGTGTTTGTGTATTTTTCTTCAAGAGACGAAGATTTTTTTTAATACAGGCATCCCCTGCATCACTGAATGAATGCATTCTTCAAATTTGTCTAATTTTAAATTCTCTAATGCCAAACTAATTTTCTCATTGAAACCCATTATATATGCATTCCTATGGAAAAAAATTCAGCCAAAAGACTTAAAAGAAAATAGTTAAAAAACAAAACAAAAACATTTTAAACACCTTACATGTGAAAAATTTAATATTTTATGAATTACAGTACAGTGACCCCTCGGTTAACGAACTCAATCCGTTCCAGAAGGTCGTTCGTTAACCGAAACCATTGTTTCATTGGGTTTTTGGGTAATTGGTTCCAGCTCACCGAAAATTTCCTAAATTCAACAAAAATGGTAGAAAAGTTCACTTACTTTGAGGTGTGTATGTAGAAGGCTCCTGGATGATGATGATGATGATGATGATGTCCATTTGAAGTGGGAGGTGGAGGAGAAGGAAGAAGAGAAGGCATTGGGGTGGAAGAGAAGTCACCCCATGGCACCATTTCACCCATAAAATTTTAGTTCTCTTGGAGTATTTCAAGATTATTTTCTTTAAATCAACACTGCACTACATTATATATTGTCAATATGTAAAATATATTTCAAAATGACCAATAATTTGCTTGGAAACAGAAAAAAAGCATTTAGTTGAAGAGAGTCTCAAGCAAGATGTTACCTCCAGTGAAAACAGAGAGAGACTAACGCCTGTGTGCTGTGTTAAGAGGCTGGATGCCGCGCATGAAACTAGTCACTTTACCTTCAATTATGTTCAATAATTGTTAAAATTACTAAAAAATTGAATATTAAACTTTTAAAATTATTGAATAGTATAAACTTCTTGACATTTACTAAAATAGTAAGGAATTTAAGCCCTAGAACCGATTAGTGTATTGGCGGACTGATACTAAAGCTGGTTGCCCGGTCAGTGCAAGCGAAAACATGTTGAGGTCGGTTCGTAAGAAATTCGTTAACCGAATTGAAGATCCTTATGGAAGGCAGTTCGTTAACCGAAATTTCGTTAACCGAGGCGTTCGTTAAACGAGGGGTCACTGTACAGTATTACATGCTAACTCATATGATAGCTTGGAATCTTTGCAAGATAGTGATTAATTTGAGTATAAACATCACATAGTTTGCACAAGATATAAATATTTTAGTCCTTAGCTTAGTACTGTACAAGTACATGGCTTTTTCATGGAGGAAAGTCTGTATAACTAATCCCAGTGGTCAGGACATTATGGCATTGAATGATACAGAGTATTTAAAATAAATTCTTTGTTTAGTTCTGTACAAATATGCAAATTCCCATATAGTGAATGGTATTGGTATAAAGCGATGGTCCAGTGTACAGTGCACTAAACATGTGCCATAGCACTAACACATTGTCATAAAGAGGTCCAATAATCCTGGGTTAGAATTATGCTGATGTAAGTTGTAATGGTACCAATAATAGTACATTTTATGCATTAGTTTGCCTTTTTTAAACCTCAGTTTCGATGGTTTGGAATTTTCGGTAATCCGGAACCGATCTGTCCCAAGCTTCCTGTATTTGCAAGGTCCAACCTGTATTAAAACTTAAAGAGTATATGAATGATAGAAGTCAAACTGCCACTTTTTGTGATCTTTTATTGAAGTACAAGGGGCCCCCCCCAAATTCGCGGGGGTTAGGTTCTCAAAATGGCCGTGAATTGCCAAATCTGTGAATAACATATGCTGACCTGGGGGAACATTTTTACTTGTGTACAAAGAAATGTATACTATTATTTATTTTACCTGTATTGTATATATATATATATGTGTGTGTGTGTGTGTGTGTAGACATACACACACACAAAACACATATAAATCAATATGGGAAAATATTATCCCAAATAATCAGAATTTTTTTTTTAAATGTCTCAGTCTACCCTCACATTTTTAATAAAAAAAAGTTCTGATTATTTGTGAGAGTATTTTCCCATTATTATTTATTTGTAGGCGTTTTGTGTATGTGTGTCTTCACACACACACATACAGTATTTACAATACAGGTAAAGGAAATTACGTTATGTAGAACGAATGGCTCCCTGCCCCAGCCATGAAAATGCATGCAACTTTAAAACTACCCACAGACATTCTTGGGTACATCCAGGGTGTCATCCGCTAATAATAGAGGACCGTGAAATAAAAATCCGCGAATTTGGGGAGGCCCCTGTACAGTATTATTTTTTTATTCTCTAGTCTTTGACTTTGTAGTGTTTTGAGCACTAGTGAATTCTTTAGAAGAATTGGTGCTTTTGAGAAACAAAAGGGAACAAAGTGCAAAAACTCAGGTTATATTTTGTGGGAGTACAAGTTACATTAGCAGATTTTTCACTTGCCTTCCAGCTTTAGGTTACATCACAGATGGCTTAACAAAGATTTTGAGAAAATTTCTTGACAAATATAGTTCAAAATTGGCTTGGTTCCTAGCATGATGAAAAATGCATTAATAGTATTATTTCTACTACAGGTGATATGCTCTGCTGAAATGAAGAGCAAGGCTGAGTTAGTAGTGGAACTGGAGAAAATGACCAAAGTAAGGGAAGAACTCACACAAGAAATGTCAAACCTCTCAGCCCAGGTAGAACAGGAGAGATCAAAGGTTAACCAACTCAGCCTTGATCTAAAAAAGACACACGTAAGTGGCTTATTTGTTTTAACGAATACATTATTACTGTTTTAACATCTATATTCCAAGTCATAATTTTTCTGTTTAATACAGTTAATCCAGATTATTATTTAACCCTTTTGGTAGAAAAGTTGATTCTGTTGATTGTAAAACTATGATCCAAATTATTTAACCCTTTTGGTAGAAAAGTTGATTCTGTCGATTGTAAAAGTTAATAAGTTAAATGAGAACATGTATGGAGGTCACTGTGAAGTTTTTCCTCAGTACGGGTGATTAGGGCCAGGGTAGAGGGTATTGTAATCAAATTCTCTCCTTCACTATAAGGGTAGATGAGAATGGGCAGAGGAGACAGATAAACATCAGTGATTTGTTGGTAAGAGAGCCATGAGTTCGCCTGGAAGTTGAATTTTGGCTCTCACCAACCGAGTCATGGGTACTTGACATTGAGGTCACCATGACTCAGGTGGGTGAAGGGGTAATATGGTATGGAAGTGGAAGGAGGCACATAGTCATTGACATTATTGAGGGATATACCTTTCAGTGTAATTGTGATGTTGTGTATACAAGTATTGGCAATTGAAGCATCAAAGGTTAGGTTCAGAGGGTGGCAGGGAACTTCCTTTTTTATGTAGATAAATAATCCACGTGCATGTCCTTGCTGTAATTCAAAAGACCATAGAACAGGAGTAGAGGGACACTCAGTGCAGCTGCTAAATGTGAAGGTTCTGGCAGTGCACCACTTTTCTTGAAGGTATGGCACACCATCATCCACTATGTAGACATAAGTTTTGAGTGAAGCAAACTTGTTTTGTATGCTGTTGATGTTCCAGTTATATAAGTACCTGCAGTCCTTCAGGAGGGCTAGCTATGGCGGGTTGTTTTTGCTGGGTTCAGGTGAGGGTTCCAGGTGTCAGCATGTTAGAGGTGAAAGTGTTGGCTGAGGGTATGTATCCTTGGCCCAGGAGGGGGCACTGGTGAAGCTAGGACCAAGGCACGCCCTATTGTACTCAGTGTGATTAATGGTGTATATAGGAACTGGGCACCAGGGGACTGCTGAAATGCCATGTATGGGAGTGGGAACCCAACTTCCAGAATGAAAGTGTGTCCCCCTTATATATATATGTTATAAATTCAGATATAGGCATTATATTCACCTCATTTAGGTTGAGTCTTCATGTGATAAAGCAGTATAAATGTCATCCATCCATAACCAACAGTACTACTAGAACTACGGATGCTGAGCTATGTTACTTTACTTCTTGAGCTGCCCTCAAAAAGAGATGTCTTCTATAGGATAGTAAATTGTATGACCTCAAGTGTTGTGTTTGTATTTCAGGGTAAAAAGAAGCAAAATGCAGAAGCAGCTAACAAGGACTAAAGCCAATTTTTTCTGGAATTAATATTTTACAGTGCAGTGGAAATTACAGTTGAATTCACTCTTCCAATAAATGTTAACGAGATGTCTTTGCAATGTGATATCAACACATTGAAGAGTGGTGAAGAAAATTTAACAACCATAGTTGAGGTATAGTTAAGAAGTACAAATAATGTTAGAACACTTGACTAGATAATTGTCTGGGATTAAATATGAGTAAGATTTATATTTTATGAAGAAAATTCAAAACCCGCTGTTCAATATTCAAATAAGAGAATGTTAAGCAGATGATAATCAAATTTGTGTATGCTGTATAAAATGATATATTTTCAGATGTATTGTCAGACTAGCTGTTTCATTTCATCTCTATTCAGTTGTTAAATACTGTATGTGGAAAATTTAAGTTCTTTTGTAAACTTTACAACAGAATTATGGACAGTAGATTATTATAATTTTCTTTTATATTCTAAGTTTTTTATGTTGGGTAAGATTTTATATTTCTTACTTACACTATATTACCAAAGTATAAATGGGATCTGAAATACTGTACTTCATGAGTCCATGTTAAATCCCATCAAGAAATGTATATTTTTATTTCTATTATTGTTTTATAACACTGGATTTCATATTCATGATTTTTTTCCAGTAATTGTCTGCACAATCATATTATGACTAGCTACTGTATATTCTGTGAATGGGAAGGAAAATAATGTGTCATTTGCTTAGATCTGTGAAGATGTTTGATAAAGATATGGACAGATTTTTTTTTACTCCAAGAAAGGTGAGAGTGAGGGCTTTGTGTGAATCATTCACTTAATCAGTCACTTGGAAACTTGACTGACATGCAAAATATTGGCTAACTTATTTGTACTCAATTTATTCTTCCCTGATACTGGTAATTCAACTCTGATCAGTCCTAAAATCAGTTGTCAAAGAATGAAAATCTGCTCTTGGGTGTCATATGTTAACATAACACTGATGGAATTTTTTAACTGCTTTATTAATTATCCCCTCCAGCTCTTGGTGAAATACTATTAAAAAATTCTTGCTGATTAAATCTATACTATGCAGTCACTCTGATAGCTTTAGTAATAATTTAAGTTCAAAATTTAAATGATAAAGAGAGTACAAGTGTGTCCAGAAATCTAATAACATTTTCGTAAATGTAGCCAGCAATTGATGAATCAGTAAAAATGTTAATACAGTATTGTCACAGAGATTGGAGATGTGTCTTGTGTTCATTGTAAAGGAGGTTCTCACTAATTATATTTATTATCTGACTGTGTATGGTACATTTTTGGCCTTTGAGTTAATTTGCATGTGCCTTGTCCAGTCATCTGACGGAACACCTCATAAGAGAGAGCCTGTCTTTTCCTTGGGGCTGGCTATACAGAATGTATTCTGAGGCAAGGACAAACAATTTAGATAAATATAAATGCTGTAGACAGTCACTCATCTTGTCAAACCATGGTATTTGAAGCAAGTTTTGACCTTTATCTGATGCCTGCTTTCAAAACCATTGAGTCAAAAGGTATGTTGGGACAAACCATAAACTAATTCACTTTTATTGAACCTCTCATTCATGAACTTTAGCGGACTTCAATCTTCAGGTTTTTCCCTGCCTCAAGCTGTCAACAAGTGTTGCCTTCCTTCCTTTACTAAGGAACTTTTAAGGCTAAACTTTCCCATAGTGAAACTTCGGAGCTTCACTCTAAATGGGCAATCAGAATGGGAGAACAATATGAATTTACCCAACTACAGTCAGATTAAGCACTGCCAATCATCCCCCAATCAAGTTGTGTGTTTTGTGGTTCATTTTGGTTAGTCGGCATTTTATATTTCTGAAATTTATATAATTTGGTACGTACAGTATATGGTCTCGGAATTCCGTGTAAAATAACTCCGGAAATGCTGAGTTATATAAAATTATCTGGGAAAATCTCAGCATATTTGGCCACCTGGGAAACCTCATTATCCGCGGTTAATTGAGACTGGAAAAATGACCCTGATAATGAATCCACTTGAAGCTGGGAATTAATCCCATAAGAAATAAAGGAAATAGGTCAAACTGGGACCATGACATTGTACACGACACTCAAAAAAAAAAAATTATATATCTTTTCAAAATTATTTACCTTAGAAACATTTGATAACATTATTCCAGTGGTTCATTGAGACAAAATACTTATTATAATGTTTAAAAAATATATATTTTTAACATTAAAATATTTTTTTTTTTTAGCTTTAAAGGTAGAGATGTTTGGATGATGGAAGTGGATGTTGAGGGATGGAGGATTAGTCGGAGGATGAAATAGAAAAAGGACTAGATGGATTGTCCACTCCCACTCTATTTTGGCCTAATCACTTCTAATTTTACATCTCTACTATAGCTAGTGTGCTTCCTTTTGAGTGCTACACCACCATGTTTGTGTTGGAAACTCATGGCTAGAATAATGGTAAAATAATTCACAACATGCACTAAAAGACAACAAAGGCAGGAGTAAACACACCACAGCACTAGTCTGGACGAAACAAAGCAGGAGACTGGCGTGGGGGACACGTGTGTGCAAGCATGATGCCAGGAAGAGGATGAAATTCAAACGTTTCGGCTAAAAATCCATAGTTTTAAATCCGTAGATTTTATCCGGAGTTTTCAGAATTTTTTGAGTGGTTTTTGAGTGGAATCCACTTAAATCCAGGGACTTTTTACGTGGATGGTCACAAAAAGTTGATCACTTAACTGCGAAACCGCGGATAGTGAATACTCTTAACGAGGACCTCGTGTACTCAATACGTAATAATAATAATAATAAATGGGTTCATTATAAACAGTTTTGAAGTGAAACGATTGATTTAATAACACCAGAGTTAAATGATTTAATGAGTAGAAAGTGAGCCTAATTCAAACAAATTTCAGATTGAACTTAAAAAATAAAAAATAAATGCTCTGGTAAAACAACAAAATTGATACATAGTCCAGTGGTCCCTCGGTTAACGAACACAATTCGTTCCATAGAGTCGTTCGTTAACCGAATCTATTATTTCAAAGGGATATTGGGGAATTGGTTCCAACTCACAGAAAAGTACATACAAAGTATAAACAAAATGCAGTACAGTACACTTACTTTGAGGTGTGCATGTAGAATGATGGACCCATGCTTGATGCAGTAATTTCACCAATAAAATTTTAAGGTCACTAGCTGTAATTAAAGATTATTTAATTTAAATCAACACTGCATTGCACTATATATTATCAATATGTTAACTAAATTTCAGAATGACCAATAATTTTAATATAAAAATGTAAAAATACTCTGTATTCAAGAGACCAACAAACACGATGTTTCCTCCACTGTAAACAAAGTTAAACAGAGAAGCTTTGGCGGGTGAGTCAAGCGGCTGATGGGCGCACAAAAAACTAGTTCCCTGTACTGCATATATTATCAATATGTTTACTAAATTTTAAAATGACTAATAATTTTAATATAAAAAATGCAAAAATATTAAAGAACACAACCTTCTTGATAGTTACTCCACTGGAAATGAATGTAAACATCGAACCGATTACTGTATTGGCGGATTTGCCGATCAGCTGATGCGCACAACAAAGCGTGTTTGTCATAAGAAGTTTGTTAATTGAACTGAAAATCCTTTGGGAGCTAATTCGTTAATTGAACCATTCGTTAACCGAGGGACCACTGTACATCATATAATAGCACATATTTTATGTAAAATATATCTCCTTCCATACGTAAAACATCCTCTGGGTGACGTGACACAGTTCACCTGGGCAGTCACCCAGCTGACTCAGAAACGTGTATGTCTCTGCTGCGGTGTGTATGCCGTGATGTCACATCAGGGGAGGGAGCACGGTTGGGCTCGCAACGTAGTTACATTCCATTACCTCCATACATAAGTTCACTTCACACACACACACCCATGGTCTTCATAATTGTTATTTTATAGTTTTATGTTATATTGACTTTATTTCTTAATTTTCACAACTTTTATATTTTCTTGCCATCTCACAGTCCACCTGATCCTCAGTTTTCCCCTTCTCAGTGAGTCAACCTATTGCTAAACCGAAATTTTAGACGTAATGTTAAGTGAGAAAGGGTGTAAAAAATTTTTTATCGCTAAACCAAGTTAATGTTAAATGAATTAACACTAAACGAGAGTTACCTGTACAGTACAATTATACTGCCATGATAAACGCAGTATAGCTACAGATTATTTTTGGAGGGTTTTACAGTAACTTGAACTCTTACCAAGTTAACTTAGACTTTGGTACATCCTGATATCTTGCTTAGGCTGTCCATGGCTCAAGCTCATCATTCTTTTATTTCATTACAAAAATGGTGTATCCTGTATAATATTTAGTGAATACAAATTTGCTAGAGGGTATAATAGTACTTGAATATTAAACACCGTTGCAAAGTACACTAAAAATGTTTCATAAGGTCACATACAGTTCCTAAGGAGAAAAAAGTACTTATGGAAATGTACTGTAAAAAGTGCTTGATCAGAAATGTACTCCAGAACAAAAGGAAGTGCTCCAAAGATGAAATTATTGTTCTTTGATGAAAATCTGCTCCAAGAATTAAGCCTAAATATATAAGTTAACTAATAAAAGGAAATGAGATCTATAATTTATATATACTGTATACTGTACACACACTCCTTGGGTTACAGGTGGGTTCCATCGCAGGAGGCTATCCATAAGCCAAATTATCTGCAAACCGGAAGTGACCCTTACATAGGCAATCATTGAACACACTTAGTACACATAATGTACTGTATATAATATTGCTATACCTACACAATACAATAATTTTTTATTCATTAAAAAGTAGCAATAGAAACACTAACTACAAAACTAGTGTCTGTATTAATAATTCCATTTATCTTATATCCTGGTGCTGATTTGCTCATCTACACTATAAATAAGTTTTCCATCTCTCAATTAACACATGATCACTGTTTTGTTATCATCGTAGATTTTAAAGGCACCGAGCCTTTCACATGTTCATTTATATGAGCCCTGTCCTTAACAATCATGTGTATGGTTGAGGTAGCGAGATCAAATTCATGAGAGAGCATGGAGATAGTGTTTCCTCCTTCATACTGCTTAACAACTTTCATTTTCTGTTCTAGATCTATTGCTTTACATTTATGAGATGTCCATAACAACGGATACTTGTCCTCAACCCGAAAATAGACTAAGAGGAGAGTACAGTACTGTATCCGTAAATTTGGAATCCGTGACCCGGAGAGTGTCTGTATACTGTATTTACATTTTATATAAGCAAAATTTTAGATTTTCTAAATTCTTTTACTTCCTGTGCAATGCTTAGAACTGAATATCAGTCCAACACAGCTGACCAAGCATAAATGTGCGACAGATATAGATACTCTATGTAATCTCTCTGTTAGCCAGAATCATTGTTATTACCTTAAGGAAGTCAGCATCCCAAGGTCAAAGACTTGTGTGAGCAGAATTTTTCCGCCAAATAACAATCCTGTATAATGGCGTTACTGTAAGCTAAATGTTAACTTGGTAAACATGAAATCTTTTTGTTTAGCACAAAATAAAATGATAGATGTTGGATTACACAAATTATTGTTTTGGTTGTATAAGTCAAGGATATGTGAACTACTTGGACATGGGCACTGCACAGACATGCATCACAGAGCAATTGGTATCCAAATAGCATGTCTGACGACATTTTATCTGCATCAGAAAGCTTAAACAATTGGAAATTTTTGTGTACAGTATACTCTCGATTTAACGGAATCGGATATAACAAACTCTCTATTTAGCAGAAGGCATTATATCCGTTATTTTTCACTCGATTTAGTGAACAAGTTCGCTAAATCGAGATTAATTTTGTTAATATGTAAACAAACTCAGGCTATCACACTGCGCAGAACCTAATGAGCCCCTGTAAATGCACTAGTGAAGAGGACTGTACATAGAAACATTATTTATGACTTACCTTAAATTTGGGGGTTTGGTGTTTGTTTTAATTTTTTTTTTATTATTTCCAAACTTTCTTCCAATTGATAATTGCACTCTTTCCTCCACACCACTTCCTTTCTGAGACTTATGAGAGACTTTTGGCATGATGGCTAAGCACAGTACAGTAGTTAGTTGACCAAGAGGTAGCAGTGAACAACACATGCGGTGGCAGCACGACACAGATGGAACAAATGTAAACCAATCCCGTTCCGCGGAATTTAATGGAATCGTGCTCGATTTAGTAAACTTTTTCGCTAAATTGAACT